ATATGAGCCTAGATAGTGAGAGGGCCACAGGTAGCCATAGGTCAGAGTGGGTGCACAGCCACAATCGCACCGGATTCTGGTAGCCCTCGATCAGGGCTACAGGAATATACCATAATATGACCCCGCATCCAGGGTTTTCATGGAGATATGAGCCCGCATTCACCCTAGAAATTTTGGTTACACCCGCATCCGTTGAATGCGGGCCCGGTTCTCGCCGACCAGCGCAGCCACCAGTGCGATACCACCACCATCGTGTAGCCAAGAAGCAGGGCTACTCAGAAACGTGCGAATGCGGGGTGGAATTCTCGACGGTTCCCTAACTATGGCCTCCGCATTCAATCCGCATCCATCCGCATTCGTGCCACTGAGCTCAGTGGCAGGTTTTATAGAGATAGGGCTACAAGAATGTCCCAAAATATGTGCCCGCATCCAGGGTCCTTGCTGAGATATGGCCCTGCATCCACGCCAACAGCACCAGACTGAGACTTGCACTTGGACTTTGTTGACGTCGTGGTCATAGCTTGTAAGCAGGGTCGTTGTGAGGTCATATACTGGTGATGCATACCTGATACATACCCAGGAGTACTATAAGTATTGGCTAGGCTGCAGGCAAGGGGGCAGAGGGGGCAAGATGTTGAAGTAGGTGCACAGCCACAATCGCACCAGATTCTGATAGCCCTCAATCAGGGCTACAGGAATATACCATAATATGATCCCGCATCCAGGGTTTCCATTGAGATATGAGCCCGCATTCACCCTAGAAAGTTTGGTTACACCCGCATCCATTGAATGCGGGCCCGGTTCTCACCGACCAGTGCAGCCACCAGTGCGATACCACCACCATTGCGTAGCCAAGAAGCAGGGCTACTCGGAAACGTGCGAATGCGGGGTGGAATTCCTAACGGTTCCTGAACTATGGCCCCCGCATTCAATCCGCATCCATCCGCATTCGCCCTTCTGAGCTCAAAAGGGGGTTTTATAGAGATAGGTCTCCAAGGGTAGCTTCCTTTTGGATGTCTGACGCGTAATCCCAGCTGTCAGGGTTCTTCGGGACAATGAGTCTATTGTCGTAATAGACTAGTCCGGTATCTGGGTTGAAGGACCACTTTGGTCCTTGAGCTGGGAGGGGTTCCGTTGTCGGGTTCTTCTGCGCTACCGTTGGTCAGAGGTAGCGGCTCAGAGTCGTTCGATGGTTTAGGCTAGATTGTCTGGATCTAGGCAGATCGACTGTCGAGTAGGCGAGCTCAACCTTATGTTAAGACGACACCTTCGAGGGTCGTGGTAACGTTCAGGTGCAAGGGCCTAGCAGGCAAGAGATGAGACTCGAGTTCAGGGGTGAAGGTGATAGATAACCAGGTCGAGCTGAGGACCATCCTCAGCTCTCCAGGGGTCCTAATATACATAGAAGCCATGCCAAAACGGTGCGTACTAGGGGAGGCAAGCCTGCTACCTATGGGACCGTAACAATGAGGCGCTGCCTCATGGTGTCCATACCGTAGCTGTACCGTATCCGCGTGTAGTCCATCCACATCAGTAACATGAGGCGTAGGTGAAGCATAGGTGAGGTGCGATCAAAGTCCATGTCCGAGACGCCCGGACCGTTGTAACATTCGAATCCTACAAGTATCTCTTATTTTGGTTTTTTCATCCACAGTGACTAAAGGTGATATCTTTCCCGTTTTACGGGGTGGACATGTAAAGACACTCTTTGTAATACTACTTCAAGCTGTGCGCGCGGTCTGTGGGTAAGACTGTAGTAACGGCGCCGTCATTGCTATTGCACGTGCCGCGCGCGCGGCGCGTCGGGCGGGTGGCTGTGTCATTGGCGCCTAAAAACTCTTTTTTGGGCGATTTTGGGCGCTAAAACCCCATACACGCGCGTTATTGCAATGCCCGTGGCCTAATAGGCGCGGTTATTGAAATAACGTATGTATAGTATACCAAGTCTCTGATAACATCTGGCAAGGTCTGGTCGCCCGACTAAGGAGCTACAGAGGTCACAGAACAGGTTACACTTTACTGATGAATTTTTCGCGGAATGGCCCGCCGACGACTCCGGAAAGCCGTCCGAACAAGTGGAGCTTCAAGACGACTACTTCAAGACGGATCCGCAGATGAATTTGTCCTCTGCGACGCTGCGCACGTTGCTTTGCGAGCGGCGTGAGGATGAAGAGTCTGACTCTGACAGTGAGATCAACGGCGGCGGTGAGGGCGGCGGAAAGGGCGGCTCTCGTGCAGATGACAGTGAGTCGGACATCGATGAGGATGACGACGAGGTCTGGGACTTTTAGCGTTGTCAGCCTCGCGCTACGGCACCAGTATTGTATTTGCTCATTAATAACGCCTGTTACAAATGCTTTCTAACACTTTAGACGGGTTATTAACCGCACTGTTAAAAACCGTTAATAACCCTGGTTAGAAAATGGACGCCGGGGCCATTGGTTATTAACTGTTGGTTAGAAAGCCCGGCGACTTTTTCACGGTACCCTAGTCCGCAACATCTCTGGATCATACTACCTACCGCGCGAGACGTCGTCTTCGGTACCTCCTGCCTCCACTACAGGCTTGCCTCGTGAATACTCGTTGCCCTGGTACTAGAAATGGGCCTCACGCAGTGAGTGCGAGCCCGGGTTTTCCTGATGTGCTCGTACTGCGAAGTGCACGGACGCAAGGCGGACTTCCAGGCGAGATGACTGAGACGGTTGTAAGCCGCAATGGTCGGTTTCATGCACAGCAGAGCTAAGAGCATATCAGTACTTTACAACCTACAGTACCTGCACAAACACGCTACAGTACTACCACACCACCGCACTTGCTACAAATTCGGACCGCATTACCCTATTAGATGCCCTAGTACTCGACGTGAAGCAGGCTCGAAAACAAAGCAGAACTCAAGAAAGTGTTGTGTGCGTGTATACCAACATAGCGAAAGAAAAGCAGTCCCGACCAAGCCGAGCGTCCGTGAAGCGCAGGTCCGAGCAGGTGTATGGCCCGAGCACAGTGCAACAGCCCCCCTCCGACGCCGCGCCCACGAACGCGGCGCAATTCCCATCCCGCGGCGTACGACGTCGACATGGACGCGCTACGAACACAGCACACAATCAGCCTGCCCACCTTGACACACAGACGAGACTCACCGCTAATACCGCACGCGATCCTCGAACCCCAGCCCCTCCTCCCGCAACACCCGTGCGCCCATCTCCTTATCCAACGCATCGAGGCACAACCACCCCGGCTTCCCCTCCTCCCCGCCCACAGGCCGCTCAATCCTCCAAAACCGGCGCTCGACCGCTATCCTTGGGGGACCCGCCGCGAACGACGCCTTCAAGTTCGCCGCCAGCGCCGGGGACCCGAGCGGCGACTTGCCCTTCAAGCTAAGCGCGCCCGAGACCGCCTCAGCCGAGTCCGCAGACCATATCGAGCGTGGGGCGCGTGGGGTCCCCCCGCCGGACGGCGTACGCGAGACTAGCGCGGGCGCGTCGCGCACGACCTCCGCGCACACGTACCGCAGCGCGGGCAGATCATCCGCGAGCTGCCGCGCGAGCGCCTCCGTGCGCAGCCACGCCGGACCGCTTGTGGTCTGCTGGGGCTCGTCTTCGTCGGGCGGGACGCGGTCGAACGGGACGGACGTCCTGTCCCAGCGAAGGACAAACGTCGTGAGCGAGTCCGCTAGCGGCGTCAGCATCGCGCCGAGGTCCCTCTGCACGCGCACTACTCAGCATCCACATCCCCACCGACACAGAAAACGGACGCACCGTGACCGCGGGCCAAGTGCCCGCCTCCTCGACGCGCACCACAAGCGCCCTCACGCCCGCCCACCCACTCGCGCTCCCCTCCTCGCCCGGATCAAACATCGCCCTCAACGCCTCCGTCTCGTTCTCCGGGTCCCGCCTCCCCTTCCTGCTCGCGCTCAGCGCCGCATACGCCTTTGGCGCCCACCACCCGCGCCCGAGCGTGAAGCCCACCGTCGGCGGCCTCGTATCCGCGACGATGCGCCGCACCATCTCCGCCTCGTTCACGCCCACCCCGCCGCTGATGTCGATCATCGCGCCGAAGCCCGTCGGTTTCCGCTCCTTCGTGCCCGGCGCAGTGCCCGCGCCAACCCATAACCGCGGCGCGACGTTCCCAACCTCGAGGTGCTCGACCGGACAGGTGAGGCCCATTGCATAGAGCCCAGGCGCGAACCCGCACACGCGCAGCATCGGCGAGAACGAGCTGTACATTTGAGACGTCCGGTTCGCCTCGCGCGTCGCGTCGATCCCGGGTAATGGCGCCGCGCCGGACCACGCGCATCCGTCGTATGGGGTGTAGACGTACAGCTTTTGCACGCCGGGGAACGCGTGCACGAGCGCGGTCACGATCGGGACGCCGACGAGGCGTAAGCGGAGTTCGCGCACCGCGGGGTAGCGCAGAGTATCCGTGACCGCGACGAACACAGCATTTGACGCGTGCAGTACGCGCAACGTCTCCATAGAGTGCGCGAGGAGGGGAAGAGGATCGGGGAGCGGTAGGGATGTACGTACATGAGAGGTGGCGGTCGCGGCTGGTGTCGTTGCTGGTGTAGGCGCGGGTGTAGGTAGTCCGGTCGATTTGCCGTTGGGCAGCGCTGGGACGTACGCGTATTGGTGCGCTCCGGTTGGATGTGGATCTGAGCCCGCAGGAGTGGCGCCGCAGACGGCCGCGACCCAAGCGTCGTCGAAGGTGAGCTCGACCTCGACTAGTCGGCACTCTATATTTCGCAGGAGTTCGCAGGCGCGAGGGCCAAGTTCCGACGCCGTGAGATGCGTTAGGCTTGAGGACGCGTGCGCGATTGCGCGCAAGAGGGAGATGTCGCGCGCGAGCAGAGATTCGGCGTGCGCGAGACGGAGAGAGGTTATTGATTCGTGCGCGGATGACAGAATTTGCGCGAGGGCTTGTGTGGGGAATGATTCGGTGAGCTCGGAGGGCGGGATAGCAAGGGTGAGATTGCGCAGATGGGAGCGCGATGGGCCGGCGGATGGCGAAGGCGTGCAGTCTCGTATTGAATCTGGAGACGACGAACGGGCGGGGGTTCCAGGCGTCGACTCAGCGCTGCGGTACGCCTCTTCGTCCTCGCTATCGTCCGTGTCCTCCTCATCGTCCTCTGCGCTTTGGCGCCCATCCCCATCGTCTTCGTACCGATCGAGAAAGCGCGCGAAGCGCTGCACGTCCTGCGCGGACGTCAATTCGAGCGCACCTTGTGAGTAGTAGTCCGGCCATCGTTTTGATATACTCCGGAGAGGCATCGCAGTGAGATCCCGAGTACGAGTGCCAGAGAGCGGTCGTCGAGGAGATAGTGGAGGAGAGAGAGGTGCGAGCGCGGGGACGTCGTGCAGAGAGGCGGCCTGGATGGAGTGGGAAAGTGCCGCTGTCTCGAGTATGGACCGAGCGCGGAGCGAGGAGAGATGGGGACGAGAGACCGCAGAAAACTCGGAGGTGGCGGGGACGTCGGCTACTCGAGGTGCGTGCACGGATGCGTCCAGTTGTGTGCTCCTGCGCGACTGTGGGGGACGCGTAAGTGAGGAGCGCAGAGACGAGCTGAGCGAGACGAGAGCGAAGCGAGAAAGGCGAAAACGGGGGGCGATGGGGGGACGGATGAGGAGGACGGGCTGCTCAGATCGGGCGAGCTGCTGTAGAGCGCCCGAGGCCCCCGAACGGCGAACGGCGACCCCGCCCCGCCGCGTCCCCGCCCATTCCGAGTCCGCGGCCAGGAACACTCACCTTCAATTATCGCTCGTACCTCGTCCTCGACCTTCCTCGTCGGCGAGCGGAGGCAGATGGCGGTGCTGAGGTTAGGGCCAAACAGCATCCGAGGCGACACACTGATGACCTCACCCGTTCGCACACCACCACAAGAAGAAAGAAGTCTTGCGATTCTGAGCACGCGTCCGGTCCTCCAAGACGCGCGACAGCTATATATAAACGTAGCGTGCAACGGGTAAGTTATGCACCATCCTCGTCTCGCGAAATTCGTATGTTTATGCCACGGATATCACAGCAACACAACGGTGCAAGGAGCGGCCGGCGCACGCCCAACGGTAGTTCGTACTCAAAACAAGAACGTCAAAACCTCTCGGGCCACGCGATGTTAGGCATACCGCGTACGCACGTACGCAGTACGTACGCCCACACGGTCGCGTCCTCTGGTCGCCGAGTTCTTTCTCTCGCCTAGTGCTCGTCGTTCGCCCGCTGCTGCAGGTACGCCGCCCGTTCAGTATCCTTGAGTCGCGCGCTAGCACCTCTCTCCCATAGTTTACTCGGCCCTGCGTGCGGGGCGGATCCTCCACGCAGAAGAGGCTCGCCCGGGCCCGGGGAATGGATGGGCGTAATCAGGTCAATATCCACGCGTGAGACTGGCCTGTAGCGCGCAGACGGCCGCTAGGTAGGTGCTCAGCTTGCACTCGAGCTTGTCTTTAATCGGAGCGAGTCGGAGGAACCTGAGGAGCTCGGGCGGAATGGTGATGGTGAGATCGCAAGGCCAAGGACGAAAGGTTCGCGCGGTAGAGTCGGCGGGGAGCTCGCGCCTTTAGAGAGTATGGCGTCCCGGATAGGATGTCGCATTCCTCGTGCGTGAGCGGCTGGCTAACATTCACGTAGTTCAGTCACGATTCTGGACATTGAGAGAAACACGTACAACATCTGTCTCCAGAAGCAAGGAACCCCGCGAGACAGCGTCCACATGTTAGCTTCTCCGGGCAGAGCGTTGTCGAGCAGAACGCTCATCAATCGCCCTTGTCCTCGACACCTATCCTGCGCGGCGTCCATGGGCCCGGGTCCGCGGGGCTAGGTGCGCGTCGTGCCTCGGAACCCCACGTTCACGAACAGCTCGCGAGGAAGGAGAAGCCCTAGACGACGGCTTCGCTCGCCCCATTCCGCTGGTAGCATGTCGCGTCTATTGTGGGTGAGGTGCTCACTACTGTGCGTTCAAACAGACTGTTCAGTTTCAGCGTCGAATCTAGAAATCGTCGAAAACACATACGACATTGGCTCCCCAGTGAGGAATTCTGCGAGGCCACGCTCACATGCTGGCTCCGGACAGTTCGTCGTCAGGCTGAATGCTTCGTAAATGTTCTTCCCCTAGACACCCTCCCTGCACGGCTCCCGTCGACGTCCATGGACACGAGTCGGCGAGGCTGTGCGCGCCGCACGTCGTGGTTCGGACCCGCACGTTCACTCCTCAGCCGCGAGGAAGCAAAAGCCGCCAAACGACGCAGCGCGCGGGTCCAACGTCCACCTTCGGGCTGTGCTCGTCAGAGCGAGATGTCGACGCGTCGGCGGACCTTCTTGATTCCCCCAAGTTCGTGTTGTGTTTTTGCCGCCTGCAGTGTCTCCGTCCTGCACCCGCACCTCGCCCATCTCCCACCGGCGCATCTCATGGACTCGTGCTCCGCCCACGCGTCCCCCGCGCAGAAAGAGCTCGCGATCGGTCACAGGACGGACGGGCGAGTCGATCCGCGCGCGTACGGCGGGCTGCCAGACTACGATGCGCACGGGCAGGTGTGCAGCTCGATCTCAGTCAAATATCTGCCAGGAACGAGGATGGAGAGGCGACAGGGGAGGCCTGAAGGCTCCGGCGGTGGGGTCGTCGGGACCTCACATCTGCGTAGATCATTGCGTGGCGCCGGCCGTCGGCAACTCGAGTGCGGTCGACCGTGGATTGCTCAAACCAACTCGCCACTGGCATGCAGAATTCCGCGTACTCGAACGGCTCACCATCGTGCTCTGCAACACGCAGGTCAGCGACGACACGAGCCTCGACACTCCCAAAGAAAACACTTACAACCCTTCCTAGGCCACTCATCCGCCCAGCCGCACACCCCCAAAATCCCCCACACCGCCGGGCACACCGCTCTCCCCATCCCAACACCCTCCGCCTCCGCATTCAGATCGCCAGACCGCCACCGGGCGCACCTCACACCCTCCGTCCTTCCGCACACACCTCACGCCCAGCGCCGCACCGGTCCCAAAGCCCGACGCAGCCCTGAGCGCGGGCCCCTCCCCTGGGCTGTCTCCCCCTCGCCCGCACGAGCGCAATGCCGCCGTGATCTAGGTGTTTGCAGGCCGAGGGCGAGGCGAAGCGGCGAGGACGGGATGCTCCGGGTCCGAAGACTCGTTCGGGCACAAGCAATCCGATCGTCCACAGGACCCCGTACAAGCCCGACGAACACGGCGGCCCTCCACTACGCCGACTCCATGAGGGCGCCCTCTGCAGATGTACACGCGCGAGCTTACGCACCTTCCCCAGCAGCTCGAGCTGCCTTCTCCGATCTCAGGCGCGCCGTCTCCCCTATCCGCACCCGCCCCGTACCACTCACCTATGAACACCCCGTCCCGGCGCAATCACACCGAAGACGCCATCCGCACCCGTCACCTCAGCGCGCCCGACCCCCGACCAGCCCCCACACGGCCGCATATCCGCTCGTCCACCCCTTCCGCGCTCAGGCGGCAACCAACGCGGGACACGCCCGCCCCGCCCCGCCACCCATCGCACCCGGCTCAGGAAAGCCGCAGACCCGCCCGTCCACACGCAGCTCGCAGCCCGACTCCGCGAATCCGGGACCCCAGGCTGCGCTCGTCGGGGCGCGGTCGTGTGCGTGCTGGTCCCGCAGCGCGTAGTCGCGTGTCTGTACGTAGAGCATGAGCGGGGTGGGTGCGAACGGGTGGGGTTCCGCGGGGCGCGAGGGGGGACGAGTGCCGGCTGGAACGGGAGGGGTGCGTTGGCGTGTGCCTTAGCTGGAGGATGTGTCGCGTTAGTGGAGTAGGGTATTGGACCACGCACCGGGGCCGCGCGCGACGGCGATGTTCGCTCCTGATACTTGCGCCGAAGGAGTGGGGATGACGCGAGGGACGACGCAGCTGCTGTATAGACACATACTATATGTACAAATTCCATCCGTCCGCGCTCCTCGTTCACTGCTTGCTCGCTTCGACGAAGCGGCGCTCGGCCTCCTTGAAGTTGATGACATTCCAGATCGCCGTGAGGTACTGTTCACGGTGTCAGCGCGGCCCAAATCCGACGCGCAGAGGCACTCACGTCGGCCTTGAGGTTGTGGTACTGCAGGTAGAAGGCGTGCTCCCAGATGTCGATGCCGATGATGGGGACGTGCGTGAGGAGCGGGTCCTGGTTGGCGGTGGTGACGACCTCGAGCTTCTTGGTGTCGGGGCTGTAGCCGAGCCAGCCCCAGCCGGAGCCCTGGATGGCGGCGGTGACAGCGTTCACCTTTTTCTTGAACGCGTCGACGCTGCCAAAGTCCGCCACGAGCACGTCCTTGAGCGGGCCCGGCGCGAGCTCACCCCCGCCGGCGCTCTGCGGCGCGAGGTTCTTCCAGAACAGCGAGTGGTTGATATGCCCCCCGCCGTTGAACTTGAGCGCAGGCTGGAGCCTGATCTGGTCCTTGGGCGAGGGCGCCTGGGCATAGGACTGCTCTGCGGCGTTGAGGCCGTTCACGTAGGCCTGGTGGTGCTTGCTGTGGTGGAGCTCCATGATCTGGGCCGAGATGTGCGGCTCGAGCGCCTGCGGGGGGACGGCGCGTTAGCAGGGAGGCGCGGGAGGGCGGGAGGGGGACGGACGTCATAGGCGTAGTCGAGCTGGGGCAGCGAGTGCAGGCCCCGGGCGGCGGCGAGGGAGAGGGACGGGCGGGGGACGGCGCGGGTGGCGGGGCGGGCAGCGCGGGCAATGGCAGAGAGGGCAGTCATCGTGTGTGCTCAGGTAGGAGAGAGGAGGACGGGCGCGTCGAGATATATGGCCAGATGACGTCATCGAGCTCGCCACGTGCGCCTTCGACCGCGTTCGCCCGCTTCGACGTCTGCTCCTCCGCTCTCTCTCCAGCTGCAGGTTAGCCCGCTACTGGCAGCGTTGGTCGTGATGCTATGCCCGAGCTTGCGCTAACCTCTCTCACTTCACAGAGTACCTCGAGCGTTGTTGGTGCAGCGCGGACGAGCGACGCCGATCCTCTCTCGAATACGGCCGATGGGTGGTTCGCCAGCGCAAGTCCTCGGCAGACCGCTCATCCCGTCGCTTTCCCGTACGAACTCTCTCCAACAACCTTGGGCCTTCTCGTGTATCGACACCGCACTCGCTCCTGCGCGTGCCCCGCCCTCGTTTACTGAACTTGCCGACTCCCCAGCGCAAATCGTTCCTCGTGCCATGCCCTTTCCGCTCGTATCTTGCTCGCCTTGCTCGAACTCGTCCACCGCAAGTTCATCCTTGTGAGATCGAACAACACGTCCTACTCCACAATCCTACTCAAACGCTCTCATCAGCTACGCACTCGCCGGTACTTGATCGACCGTCCCGAGTCCCCTCCTACCGCTCTCACCCACTGATCTGTACCACCCCGGATCATGTCTTCCTGTGCTACTCTGTGCGGGTTTACTTCCTGGAAGCGCATATGGACACTATGCACGTATGCCTTATCAATCTCCCCCAACCACTCGTATTCCGTAGCAACTCTCCCGGACCACGATATTGCCCAAGGACTAGTCGGCCATGGATCGCCAATGACGTCCATGCAGCTTATACGATATCGCAAATGTCTCTTCTCTCTCGACTACTATGGGTGGGTACGTGCATACTACGTGATCATCTACCGCCGGTCGCAATATGGCGTAAAGGTCCGTCTCATTCATCGTGCTCGTATCCACGTGCTGCTTCGTATATATCTCCTCTCCACACTCCATCCAGGTCAGTACACGCATGTCAGGGACACGATCGTCGTGCAGGGCCCCGCATCTCACACTCTACCTCGGTATACAAGATCACTCGGAATTCCCTGTAGGACGGTCAAGGGACGTCGAAGCATCGATAGCAGGACGCGTGTCGCCCTCCTGCGATGAGCACACTGCGGTACGAGAACACCCATCTATGAATATACAGATACAGGACTATTGACAACTAGACAATACATGAAATCTACAGGAGCAGAACGCGGGTTCGCGCAACACAGAGACAGCAGACGGCGACGACAATGCACGATCAGCACGAAAACAGCTGACGTCTTGATCATCTCACAGAATATCGCCTGCGACGCTGACCCTCTCTCCAACACGGCCGATGTGCTCTTCTCCTGCTCCCGTCGCTTTCCCTCATGAACTCTCTCCAACAGCCTTGGCCGTCGCCGTTGTCGTCTCTTTGTACGACTCCGATTCCTGCGGCTACAACATCCAACCCTGCCTTTCTGACACGTATGTCCAGCTCCACGGCGTGAACACGTCGGCCATGGCCATCTCCGTGCTCGTACCCACCCCGTCTACGAAAGCTCCATCAGCGCAGATCTGCCGAGGGTGTTGCCTGGTCCCGAGCCCGCCCTCTAGGCTGCCCTCTGTGTCTACCTCTCCGCGTCTCCATCCGCTCGGTGTTTCGTATATTTCATGTTCTGTTTCGTATATTCCCATGTCTGTCCCTCCGGTCCTCTCGTATTGCCCCTACATCGGCCGTACGTCGACTGCCTCCCTCGGCGACGTGCATATAGCGAGCTCCGCGACCTGCTCATGCGAACACCAGTGTTCACCGGTCACCCCTCCCTCTTTCGGAAGAACCGCGCCCCGCAGAGCGCGGGCGGGGGTGAGCTCGCGCCGGGCCCGCTCAAGGACGCGCTTGTGGCAGACTTTGGCAGCGTCGCCGGTGTGTAGCGCGCGCATCCGGGTTCTGCGCGAGGCTGATCACAGGGCGCAGCGTTCAAGAAGGTGAACACCGTTACCGCCGCTATCCGGGGCTGGCTCGGCTACAGCCCGACACCAAGAAGCTCGGGGTCGTCACCACCGCGAACCAGGACCCGCTCCTCACGCACGTCCCCATCATCGGCATCGACATCGGCATATGGGAGCACACCTTCTACCTGCAGTACCACAACCTCAAGGCCGACGTGAGTGCCTCTGCGCGTCGGATTTGGGCCGCGCTGACACCGTGAACAGTACCTCACGGCGATCTGGAATGTCATCAACTTCAAGGAGGCCGAGCGCCGCTTCGTCGAGGCGAGCAAGCAGTGAACTCGGAGCGTGGACGGATGGAATTTGTACATACAGTATGCGCCGATATACAGCACCGACGTTTCCTATCGGCCGCACCTCCCATCCCGGCCCCTCTGGCGCGTGTCGGGAGTGGATGCGATCGTCGCGCGAGGTGCGTGGTCTCTAATACGTCCCTTCACTCACACACCGCACGTATCAGCGCAGGAGCATATCCCCGAGTACGCCCCTCGTTCTAGCTCCTCTCGCGCATACGGCCGATGAGATGTCCGTCTGCTCAAGTCCTCGGCAGACCGCTCACGCCGTCGCTTTCCCGTACGAACACTCCAGCGACCTCGGACGTGCTCGTCCTGACGCAATATACCCCACGCCCGCGGCTACAACATCAGATGTCACTCTTCTGCCCGGTATGTCCGGCTCTCGCGCGCGACTACGTCGTTCATCGCATCGTCTCCATGCCACACCGTCCACCTCGATATATTCGTAGCCGCCGACGCACAGCCCAGAGCAGGCTGCGTCGGCCGACTTAGTGTGTCCCTTGTGGTCTACGTGGGGGTACTTCATGTGCTCTTCGCCGTCTAATTCATCCACTTCGTCGACCCCCGGCCTTCGTCCTCGTCAGCCCACTGGGTTCTTCAACGGCCTCTTAGAGCTCTCGTGCCGTTCTGCTGCCCGGAATGCCCTTCTGGCATGCTACCTCAAGTTATATCTGGGAAACGGCACACCTGCGAAGTCGAGCCCTCCTATGGGCTCATACTCAACCCCTGTCCCCGACGGCGCATGCTACGCGCTGTCGACCCTCGGCCAGCCATCATTTGCATCCCATGCCCATCTCCCGCAGGTGCGAGATCGTGTGTCGGTCCGCCTCATGCCTCGTTCCTGTACCCACATACTACCTCATATATACCTCCTCTCCCGACTCCACGCAGGTCCTCTGTCAATACGCGCATGTCAAGAACACAATCGTCATACGCGGCACCACCATGTATATACAGATACAAGACTATTGACAACTAGGCGATGCATGAAATTACAAGACCAGACACTCGGCGGCACAGAGACAGCAGACGGCAACGACAAAAGCACGATCAGCAGGACCACAAGAAGGTCCACAACGCGTCCACGGGTGGCCGTGACGGCTCACAATCCGAAATTGAACAGCGCGCGCTGCACGGACTCGAGCTTCTTCTTCTTCGCGAGGAGCTCTGCGCGCTGTGCGTTGATGTGCGGGTCCTCCGCGACGTACTGCGCGCAGCGCGCGTCCGCCTTCGCCGACCCGAGCCCCAGCTTCTCGATCAGGACGCCCTGCAGGCGCTCCGCCAGCGCGTACAGGAAGTGCTGGTCGATCGAGAGCGGGATGTAGTCGATAATACGCTATTCGCATGTCAGTGTCGACCTCCGCAGCAACAGCAACGGGCACGGTGCACACCTTGTACGAGACCTGGAAGTACGCGCGCACCTCCGCCATCACCTCGAGCTCCTCCTGGTACTCATCCGGCGGGTTCAGCTTCCCCAGGTCGTCCTCCTTCACGGGGTACCCGAGCCTCGTCAGCTCCGCGAGCGCGCTCAGCAGCGTCTCCTTCTCCTTCGGGGCCAGCTTACTCGGCGCGCGCGAGAACGTCCCGCCCCCGCTCCCGCTCCCTCCCGCGGACCCCTCCTCCTCGCTGTCGTCCTCGCTATCCCCGTTGGACCGCCCGCTGCTGCCGTTCGCGGCCCTCCCGGCGCGGAACGCGCGCGCCTGCTTGTACTGCGCGAGCTGCTTGTCGCGCTTGTCCGCGAGGTAGTGCGTGTTCTGCGTGTACGGCGCCGCGCGCTCGAGCTTCAGGATGGTGTGTACGTTCGCGAGCGTCTCGTTGGCGCACGCGTTGACCTGCTCCATCAGCGCCGGCCTACCCACATCGTGTTGTCAGCAAGAAGCGCAGTATGAGAAGACAACGGCGTACGCGACGACACCCTTGAGGTGGCTGAACCGCTCGAAGCGGTGCTTGACAAGCTCGCCGAGGCTCGTCTTGAAGTCGACCTGCACGCGGTCGAAGCAGTCCAACACGTGTGCCTCCCACGATTCTTGGAACTCGTGTATGAGCGACCGCTTCGCCGGATACGGTATGTTGTTCGGAAGTTCTCGCGTGACGGACCTACAGGTTGACCAGGCCGTGAGTCGTGAGCCGTCTAGCCGTCGCACAAGACAGAAAACGACGTACGCGCGGGCACGCGCTTCAGCACGGCTACTACTGCACGCGCCAGCCAGACGACGACCAGCGGCTCGCGGGGATTACGCCCGCCGCGGCGCGCACGGCGGAAGCGGACTTCTTCCGCACGACGGTGCCGTGGAGCGGGTCGACGTGTCCGCACCGGTTCGGGACGCAGAACCTGGTGCGGAGCATCAGCGAGCTCCTGACGCGCATTATCAGCGATTCGTGAGCTTTGTTTACATGGGTGGGATGTGCGGGGGTACTGACGGTGGGGGATGGGACAGGCTGCCGAAGCTCATTGGGGAGGTCGCGGCGCAGCTGGCGGCGACGAACAAGCTGCTCGAGGGACTCCCGCCGGCGGTCACGTCTGAGCCGTCTGCGTTCGTGCTCGACCTTGTCACCAAGTTCCGCAACGACGTCGTCGAGCTCGTCGAGGGCTCCCCGCGGCACACGCGCCTCGTGCAGGCCAACCGCGACACGTACGAAAAGTTCAAGTACGCGATCCTTGGGAGCGCGCCGCCGTTCCTACCGTACGAAAACGCGCAGGTGGCGCCGAAGACGAAGACGAAAGCGAGGCACTTGAAGATCGACGACGAGGACGCGGGGAGGGTGTTGCGCGTCGCGAAGTACCTGTACCTCGAGGACGTGCGCGAGCACATTCGCGCCCCTCGAGGACGTCGAGCCACATGTCGCGGCGCTTCGTCGATCCCGCGGGGATCGTGTCCGGCTTCGTGAGCACGCCTGGTGCACGGTTGCGGTGAGCAGGAGTCGTGCTGAGGTACGAGGAATGCAGTAATTACCGATGGTGCGCACCCCTTGTGGGTCGGCGTGCTTCGCGATGCGTGCGGCCTTCTGGTTCTCGATGTCGTCTATGGGTGAGGTGAGTACTTTGAAACGACCTTGGACCTCAGATAACAGCTTACCGCTCATAGGAAGCGCGACGAGGATCAAGCAGTTTCCCTCGACATACGACGTTACAAGGTCTTCGACGAGCTTCACGACCTCGGCCTCCGCGTTCTGTACGATACCTGCTCCCCATCAATCAGCCATACACGCACGGAAGACAGAACGGCCGAGCAAACGCACCTGGGAGATCGACAAACGACAAGTCGACGAGGTCCGGCCCCGCGAGGTCCACGCAGATCGTGTTCCTCGAGAACGCCAACGCCTTCGCCCCCGTCGTCTTCGGATCCGTGCTCCTGCGCACCTCCTCCAAATCCATCCCCACAAACCGCGCGACCGCGGCCTCCCGGCTCCCCGTGCCGCCCGACGCGCTGAGGATCGCCGCCTGCGCGCGACGCAGCATCGGCTCCACGAGGGTCTTGTCCGTGAGGCGCGGCCCGAAAGGCACCTCCTGCACCTCCTCGAGCCGCTGGCCTGTGCTGTCGAACTCCCACCGGACGGAGATCTGGCAGGACCAGGCGTCGGCGGTGTACCCAAGGCGACATTCCATGGGGCACCGCGTGCACGTCCCTGCATCTCGCGGGACGGATATCTAGGAGGACGGAGGACGTGAGTCTTGCTGTCAGCATATTTGATTCGTTGGGGGGACTTACACCGGAGACGCCTTCAACCAGACTGGACTTGCCCGCGCTCTGGTTCCCGATGACGACGATGCGAGGGAGATCAAGGTAGACTTGTGCACTGGAGGCGCGACACGGCGAAGTGAGTGATGGCGAGCCTGAGCGAACACGAAAGCGAACGAATCACTTACCCAAGTGCACGAAGCTGGGTGACGAACTGTATGAGTTCCTGGCTCGTCTTCGTAAAGGTCGTGTCTTGCAGCAAGGAGGCGTCGCCCTGGGCCAACATTCCCGAGCCTCCAGAAGGGGCAGGACTTGAGCTTGAAGAAGGAACCATAATGCACACGGTTCGTGTCGGAGGTGGGTACGATTGTTCGAAGAATTCTTGCTCCTGAGTGTCTGAACGGCGCGCAGAGTGCGAGAACGCGGAATGGAATGGGAGAGCTCGAGGTCCGTTCGCTTTCGCATCCCAGTCGTTTCTTATAGCCCCTCGAAGGCGTCGCCGCCCCAGCGCGGCCGTGGCCGACATGAGGCGCGTCGCGGTGTGTGCTGCGGTAGCTTCGACGGGCGGCGTGTTCGTAGCCCCCGCGCGGATCCCCCTCTGTCTCCTCGGAAATGGGAGCAATTCGGACGACTCTTTCTCATCCATCACGCTTCTTTTGATAATGCGGGCAAGGAATGGGCCTCGAGGAGGTGGAGAAATGGCAACCGTCGACACCTGCCGCCGCCACCTCGCATCGGCCGCATCCAGAGCCTGGGCTCCGTAGCTTCTCTCCCGCTTCGGTGCGTTCATGCTTTGCAGTACGAGTCGCCGCGTATGTCTGGAGAGCATAGGATGTGTGAGCATTTGGGATGACATGCAGTGTCAAGCGGCAGGTCGGGGCATACTGAACCAGCGTACAATTTATAGGCTCTAAATCGCCGTGCAGGGTCGTGGCTTGCACGCGCCATTCCCGTCTTATGCGCTCCCGATTTACGTAGCTGCCGGCGTGGTGCTGTCCTACATGCCTAACGCTATGGTGCGTGCGCGGTTCTTGACCATGCTTCATGGAGGACTGACATCGGCGCTGAGTGCGAACGGTAGTATCACCCACTTCGAATTGCTGCTACATCGCTACAGGCGGCCTGCAGAGACCTCAGGACATAAGTACTTTAGGCCTCAGCAAACCACTCAAACATACAACTTACCTTCCTTCGACTAAACACCGCTGCAGCCACTCAACGACAGAATCGGGAGTCTGGTGCAGGAGGCTACTCGACGCGCGCCAGCCAGCATCCATCGGCATCACTGCGCTGCAGTTTCCTTACTCTCCCAGTGATATCGCACCCGGCGCGCCTCCTCACTCAACTCGAAATCGACAAGCAGCAGCCCGCCATCCTCCGCCTGCGCCGCCACATACGGGTCGCGCATCTCTCCAAGCAAAAGCTCCCGCCCGCGCAGCTTCGGCGCGCGGTCCAGCAGCCTTGCATAGTCCAAGAGGGTTAAGGCGCACCGATTCAGCACTGCCGGATCCTCCAGCACGACCACCCAGTGCCCGACGCCCTCCTCCCGCCCAGAGTACCACAGCCGTGGCGCACCCGGAACGACGGCCTCGTCCGTGAGAAGCCTGAACGCCTCCGGGATGCACGCCGGCGTGTACATCACGATCACGGAGGTTTGGTCGCCTTCCGGGGGGCGTGCGAATGCTTCGTGCAGCAGCACGGGCGAGTCAGGAAGCGCCGCGAGCCGGATAGACCTGAGATACCACAACAACACCTCCCCGCCCTCCCCGAGGGGAAACTTGAACAGCGGGGTCGTGGTTCGCGCCATCTGCGCTGGGGAAACGGCAGCGCTCAGACGTGTTTCAGCCTGCAGCTCGCCCGCGATCGCGTCCCTGTACGCTGGGGCGACGGCAGTGTAGTGCACGTCGAGCTCGGCAAGCGTGGAGCGCAGGGCGCGGAAGAGACGCCCAATGCGGAAGACGGTCTGGTCGAGCGAGCCCTGGAGCACTGGCATCCCGAATGCGATGTTCGACGCGAAGGTGGTGGCGGAGAGATGCGCCGCGACGACGCGGTCGGTGAACACGGCGCCCTGCACGACGAGGAGTGTGTCTATGACGGATATGAGGAGGCACGGGCAGTACGAGACCTTGCGGTACACGTCGGCCTGTCGAGCGGAGCGACTCGTCAGCGTCGCATCAGGACAGAAGACAGACTATATGCGCCCACGCACCTCCTCAGAGCAGTAAAACGCGAGGTAGTCAAGCTGCCCCTGCATCTCAAAGAGATGCCCGCGCGAGTTGGCCTTCGTCGCGACCTCTGTGATGCCCATGACCGGCTGCGACCCGTCCCGTGCAGGCATGCCTGCAAACACCACGCCGTCCGGTGTGAACGCGGCTGACGCGCGCTGGGTGCGGAGCGTATGCCTAGCAAAGACCTGCCTGTGCACTCCGAGCGTCATCGCCGCCGCCAGCGCTTTCACCGGGTCGTCCGAAGGGCGCATGCCCGCCAGCACCAGGTCGCGAGCGGTGCGTAGCTCCTCGGCCGTGAACTCGGGCTGCTCGCCTTCCATGATGGAGACGTAAGTGGCGAACGCGGGGCAGCAGTCCGTGACATACTCGGGCGGCGCGAGCTCGTACGGCCGCCCGTTGTAGACAGCGTCGATACGGTCCGGTTGCTGCGACTTGACGACCCGGGAGAGCCTTGTTTCTACCGACGGGTCCCTGCGTTTCCGCGCAGCAGAGGCGATTTTATCTCTGTGTACTACAGGCCTACGAGTTAGGTTCCTCCACAGATCGACGCGGGGGTCCAAACGGCCCACATTCAAACGAGACCCATGCAGGACAGAGGGGCACGCCTGGCCGCGGGCCTGCCAAAACCACAGCTAAGTCTCAATGTCGATGTTCAAAGTGTCCCAAAAAGCGATGCACTCACAAAGTACGACGAGCACGCATTTCGTCTTCCCAGTGCCTTCGGACCATCCTTCGACGCTCAATGGGGTGCATTCACGCCTCAGGTACAGGCTGCAAATCGCCTTCTCGTATCGCTCGCGTTTCTCTGCGGGCGGTACTTCGGCTGGGCACGGCGGCACCTTAGGCAGCTACCCCTCGTGGTCAGCGCTCATCCGCTTGAACGAACTTGTAAGGCCTACACACCTCGAAAAGCTCTACCGCAAAGTCGTTCCCATCTTCACTCCCAAGCGCTCCAGTGACGTCTTTGTCTGCGAAGATAGTCGCGCTCAGCGCGTGCAGGCTGTCCGGGGCCGAGTCGGCGTGAGCGATGTTCTTGATGTACTTGTACGCCTCCATGTGTGGGTGCCTGTGGATCACGGCCCATGAGGAGCACATGGCCGTAGCCGATGTTGAAGATGAGGACATCGCGGTGGAAGCGGGTGGAAGGCAGCGTTGTACGCGCCCTGAAGCGCTCAGGTTTGCCTTGTCGAGCTCCACAGAGGCAGCGGGATTACCTGTTCGAGGGCTTGATCTCCTTCAAGTGCCCTTAGATGCGCCGGCGACAAAACAGCAGACATGGGTTTTTAACAAAAAACAGCGCACAACCTCTCAGCAGGCGGCAGCTCTGACACGTTGTAGCGCTAGCAGAACTCGTAGAGTGCCTTTTACCCTTGTACTCGCGCCATCGAGCCGATCCTCTTTGGCTAACAGCGACTCCTCCTCGCGCAGAGTCGCCTCCGTACCCAGGTTCTCTTGGGAAAATTGTGCGCACTGCACCTTCGAGTTTCTCGCTATCAACCTCGGTGAAATACCGTTCAGCGCGCCCTCACCACAACAAGCGGCAAACAAGAACTCGAAGAGCATCGGCTCGTTGGCTGGCACATGCGCCTTGTTATCCCCGATGCGCTGGAAGGTACAGCCAGTGAGCATGTTACTGCCGAGCGGAGGCACGTAGTGAAGAGTAGAGAGCACACCTTGTGGGCGAGGTCAAAGTACGCCGCATGGATTTCGGCGAGGAGCGTGAGCCCCTCCTCGTGCTTTTCACTCGTGTCGTAGGCTGAGCGAGAGGATGAACGCGCTACTGGCTGAGGTGCTACGTTGCAGATGCTAGATCTTCCAGGGCCGTGGTGTCCGCGTCATCCAGTAGAAGAGTCGAGCATTGCTTAGCGTGACCGCACGCCTGACCAAGCCTGACCAGAGCTGGGTGAGGTCGCATGTCGGGAGCGAGTCGAAAGCGGACTCAAGCTCGGAGATGCATTATTTAAATCTCGCAGGTGCGCAAGTGCGCGCGACATGTTTTCAGTCGACCGAGCTCTTTCTCCCTCTCAGGCTCTCACTCTCTTCCACGACCCTGACCGCCGCCCGCTGCTCGCTTCAGACACGATGTTGTTGACTGCATCAAAAACCTCGAATCCTGGTCATACAAAATATTCGAGGTAGGTGGCTGACATTCATTCCTGGCTTTGCCGTATACTGAGACTGCGAGAGCTCCCCGACCTTCCCTCTCCAAAGGCAGCCACTCCAAACCAGCTGAAAAAAGCGTACGAAGGACGCGTCACCGATCCCTATCTCGGTGACTGCCCTAACATGGGTCGAGGCTTTTCGGCTGGACAAGTCGGCAAGCCGGGCAACCTTGCCTTGATCATCTGTCCGTGCCGTCTTCCTTCTTATAGCCAACCCTACTCATCTGTCCGTCTCCAGACCATGTCTCGTCTGAGCCTCAGCATAGACCACTCCGCAGACCACTCAACCCGGTACTAGGGAGATAAATCCCCGGATGAGTGTGTATCATGTTGCTCAGGCTCTTGCTGTCGCTCACATACTGCATAGTGCGGGATGCTGTCGCCTCTGCTGGGCAGAAATGCAAACCTCCGTCTACCGGAGCTAAAGCATCTGAGCTAGCCATCACGCAGACGTCTACATTTGAAGCCGCCATACACGATGCTCGTCCGCTCTCCCTCCTCGGTGCACCCCTTGCTATCTACAGTGAGGCGTTTACCCAATTCCGCGCTACCATGTCAGACGATGCACTGCAGTTCAATCCCACAGAACTAAGCTCCGCTCGCCGCCTAGTTGACAAAGCGGCCAAACACACTCACAAAGAGGAGCTACGGGTTGAGGCTATGGTCGACCTATCAACTGTTCACGAAGATATCCTCGTTGAGGTGACACTCCAGCTGTCTACCAACCCTCCTAAGAAGATCATACCCGATGGGAGAATCCGGGCTACGTCAAATTACCAGCACCTCTCGCCTATCCTCTCCCTGACTGAAGTCAACTCGGAGGTTGGAGCCGGGACCTGCGACCCTATCGATAAGGCCAAGCAGGATTACCGGGCTATCTATTGTTCGGAGAAGGTAAGCCATCGTTGCATGCTCGCATCCTCACCGTTGACGCCTCATCCAGTTCAAGCCGTTCCGCGACGTGAGCTGCTGCCCGTGTCTGAACGCTGCGCGCTCAGCGGACCGGCTCCCGACGTGCTATGTCGGGCCGCACCTCACACACGTCTCCGCCGACGGCACGGCGATCTCGCTCGACTACACAGGACGCCTGTGCACCGGCGAGCCAGCGAAGACACTCTACACCGCCCGCGCACGCATCACCTCCGACCCGGCGCAGGACCCGCGCGAAACCGACGTCGTCGTCAAGTTCACGAAGGCGTACTCGCTGGAGGGACACCGGCTGCTCGCGGTGCACGGGCTCGCGCCGAAGCTCTGGTTCTGCGAGTGGGTGGAGAGTGTGGATATGTACGTGGTCGTGATGGACCACGTCCGGGACGCAGAGACTGCGGACGAGGACGTGGCGATGTCGGTGGCGGACGCGGCGGCGGTGCGGACAGCGGTCGAGCTGCTGCACGCGGCGGGGCTGGTGTTCGGCGACCTGCGTGGGCCGAACGTGTTGCTGCGCAAGGACGGCGGGCCGCTGCTCATCGACTTTGACTGGTGTGGGCCAGAGGGCACGGCGTGCTATCCGCTGGGCGTGAACATGCACAGCGCGATCCCCTGGCATCCGGATGTCAACACGGGCGCGCTGATCAAGAAAGAACATGACCTGCATCTTCTGAAAGCGTTGACAGGCTCCTAGTTCGATTATTTATGTATATGGCCCATTAATGGCTGCTCTATAGATGACTGTACATTAAGTAGTGCTTATCGAAGCAAACAAGTAATCCAAGCAACATGGATACAAAGAGAGATGATCTCAACGCCTCTCTTCACAGGTAGGAGTGCTACTGGAACAGAGCGCAATCTGTGCAAGCCAACCGTACAACCCCCATCCGAGCGTAACGTGCATACCGCACCACCGACCGGATGTGCTCACAAGCCGAAGTTGTACAGCGCCCGCTGCACGTTCTCCAGCCGCTTCTTCTTCGCCATGAGCTCGTCGCGGGCAGCAACCACGCTCGGATCCTCCGCGACGTACGCGCTGCAGCGCGCCGCCGCGTTAGCCGTGCCGAGTCCAAGCCGCTCAAACAGCCGTTCGTGCAGCTGCTCCGCGAACGCGTACAAGAAATAGTAGTCGATCGACATCGGGACGTTGTCGATCACGCGCTGCAACGTAGCCGTTAGATGCATGAACAACGAGCACGACGCGCGAAGACCGACTTTGTATGCGACCTGGAAGTACGCGCGGACCTCGGCCATGAGCTGCAGCTCCTCCTCGTACTCGTCCGCCTTGTTCAGCTTCCCCAGGTCTTCCTCCGTCAGCCCGGTGTAGCCAAGCGCAGCAAGCGCGGCGAGTGCTTCGGCCGTAAGCTCTGCCTTCTTCGCCTGTTCCTCTGGGGACAGTGTGGCGACCTGCAGCGTCGGCGCAAACGTCACCACAGGTCCAGCGCTTGAGGGAGATGCGGGCGTGGGCGCGGGTGTCGCAAGCCTGTTAGCGATGGCCTGTGCTGGGATACCCGAAGCAGGCTTCGCCGCGGGAGCAGGGGTAGCCGTCCGAGCCTCAGCGTGGGGAATCCTTGGCATGTTGACATCCTCCTCATCCGACGAGTGTGCATCCGACGAATACATCTCGCCGTTTTGACGGGGTACCGCAGCCTGCCCGTTTGCATGAGCCCCTGAGGGCGTCGAGGCTGAGGCAGGCCTCAACCTGTTGCCCTGTGTGGGGCGCGGACCCGATGCCCGCCTGTCCTTGTGCCTGCGCGCCTTCTTCGCAGCTGGCGCATTGTCCTGAGTGCCCGCTATGATGCGTTCCACATCAGCGCTGCGTTACCATATCTCCGGCATGCGAGCATAAGGGCAGACACTCACGGCCAAAAGTGAAGACCGGCGCAGCGGTAGCGGCAAGCAGGGCGGGCGTGACGCGCTCGGGGACGCCCTTGCCAGCCCGCGCGTCTTTGTACTTCGCGAGCCACTTGTCGCGGCACTCGGACAGGTAGTGCCCATTCTGCGTGAACGGCGCGTGCTCGCGCGCGAGGACCGTGCGGATCTGCGCCACGGTCGTCTCCGCGCAGCTGTTGATGAGTTCCATAGTGACTGGCCTGGGCAGCGTCCCACTATGAGCGGGGCAGGGGGTAAAGGAGATGGGGATGGGGATGGGGACGTACCCGATGATGGCCTTGAGGTTGCTGTAGCGGTCAAACTCGTCGTGTATGACATCCGCAACGGTGTCCTTGAAGATCTCTTGCACCTCCTCGAAGCACTCCTTCGCGATTTCCTCCCAGTCCTGCTGAAACGTCTGTATAAGCGAGACCTTCGCCGCATATGGCACGTTTCCTGGAAGCTCGCGGGTCACAGAGCTACACGCCACAGTCAGTGCCTGCTTAACCCCGTCACGTACCGCGAGTCACGTACGTCCTAATGTGCCGCCGCACGTCCTCCAGATACATGATCCCCTCGCCCGCGCTCTCCGGCGCCGCACGCTTCCGCGTGCCCTTCTCCGCACACGACGCCCACGTATACGCGGACACATCCCGCGGCGCGCGCGCTGCATCCTCGTAAGGCACGAACGGCGGTGCAGACGCACGCACCGCGTCCTTGAACGCAGCGTACGCGCGGCGCGTGCGCTGCACGAGCTCCGTGCGGCCGTGCGCGGGCGCGCCCTGGATGCGCGCGCCGAGCTCCGTGGCAAAGCGCGTGACGCGCGCGAGCACGAACGCGGACGGCTCCGTCGCGATCGCGGGCGGGAGCGTGTCGAGCTGCGCGGTGCACGCCGCGAGCTGCTCCGCGACCTTGCCGAGCTGGGACGGGAGCCTGCCTCGGGGAAGCGTGAGCGGGAGGGCACATCAGCGAAGGACGAGGGGCCGGGGAACGTACGACTCGCGGATGATCTGCGTGAGGAGCTTGCTGATGCTCTGCACGAGGTTCTGCGTCCCGAAGCGGTGCTGGTGCTGCGACGCGGACCACGGGTGCGTGCTCTTGAAAAAGGCGGCCTCTGCGTCGCGTGCGGCCGCGTTCGAGATCTTGCGTGCGCGCTCGTCGTCGTCGGGCTGGCGCGTGCAGTAGTACCCGTGCAGGAGCGCGTGCTTGTGGCCCTCGATGACCTGCAGCCACATCTCCCGGGCTTTCGTAGAGCCTGTGGTGATCGTATCGGGCTTGGTGAGGACGCCTGTTACATTGTGTCAGTGCAAACGGAGCGGCGGGTGGACATGCATGTGGTGTAGTACCGATAGTCCGGTGACCCTTGGGGTCTGCGAGGTGGGCGAGCCGTGCGGCCTTCTGGTTCTCGATGTCGTCTGCGTGGGTAAAGTTAGAGGTGATGTTTCTTGAACAGCGTAGCACGCACCGCTCATGGGAAGAGTGACTAGGATGAGACTAGTGCCTTTGATGTAATTGTTCACCATATCTTCGACGAGGTTCACGACCTCGGACTCGGCGTTTTGTACGATTCCTGGCGTGATCAAAAGTTCAGCTGAGGTCGCAGTGAAGTTAGCCCGAGCACGTATCCGTACCAGGCAAGTCGACAAACGACAGGTCCGTGAGATCTGGGCCCGTGAGCTCGATGCAGACGATGTTCTGCGAGAACCTGAGCGGTTGCTTCCCCTTGACCTTCTCTTGCCAGCCATCCTCGAGGAAGACCTCAAACTTGACGTCGGGGTGCAATACGGCCTCCTGTGCACGGCGGAGCATGTGCTCGACCTCGGCCTTGTCGGTGATACGAGACCCGAAGTCGACCTCGTTGACTTCGTCGAGCCGCTCTCCCTTTCGGTCGTATTCGTAGCGGATCTTGATTTGGCAGGACCACTCGCCGGTGGAGTGTGCCAGCCGACATTCCATGGGACAACGGGTGCATGTTCCTGCATCGCGGGGAACGCTGATCTGTGGCATGAAGGGTATGAGAAGGTTAGTCGCTGTTAGGGAGCCGTCCATTCTGCCGCCGATGGTGCTGCGGTAAGACCGCCGACGCTCTGCACAAAGGGCAAAGAGTGAATGTAATGGCAAAGTGGTACTCACGCCTGAGATGGCCTCTACAAGGCTGGACTTTCCGGCACTCTGATTCCCAATGACGACGATACGGGGGAGTTCAAGGTCGATATGGGCGCTGTAGCATCTTTGTGAGAAAGCGGATCGGCGAGTGGGACAGCGGGCGCGACATACCCTAAAGCCCTGAGTTGGCCTATGAACTCAATGAGCTCCTTGGAGCTCTTGCCGTACTCCGAGTGAAGGAGATTTTCATGGTGGGTGGCCACGACGTTGCCTTGGGGTGCGGCCTGCCGTGGCGTCATGATCGCGTTGTTTTCGAAACAAGAAAGAATGGAGAGACAAGCAAGAAAGAGAGCAGAAAGAAAGAACGATGATGGTGAGAGATGTAAGCAGCTGTCTATGTCGGGAACGGAGGAGGATGTGTCAAAAACGGGGGAGGCGGATGCAAGCCGCTGGATATATGCGCGGCTACGCGTGCCGGCATACATGAGCTTCACGTGACCGCGTACGTTATGCAGGCCAAGTTGTCTTCCGCACGTGGAATTCGCATTCTTCACTCGGATTTACGCAGGCATGCGCCCTTGAGAGCGGTAGCAGTCCAGCATCAATTAGAATATGATTATATTCGACGTGCAGCTAAACAGACGCCTTGAACTCCGGACGCCGCCACGCTGTTCGGCCTACATGGAGTTCGGACTACCGCACACTGCATCTCGCATGTCACATAGCGCCGGGCTCGATAGGAAGGAGGGACTTGAGCTGATGTTGATGCAGATGAGGGAGCAAACAGGCTTGCGAATGTCAAATCACGTGACGTACTGGATAGGGACATGGCCACCTTAAGCGAGGGACAGAGTTTGGAGGAAGTCGATACGGATCCTCACAAGAAAGAAACAGAGAGTGTCGCAGAGAGTGGTAGGAGCTCATGCAGGAAGATAATGAGTTCGACGCAGAAGCAAAGACTAGCATAAAGCTTAGACCCAGGCCAATCTGAGCGGCTGAGAGAACAGGTACGCTGGCCAGTTCGATGAGAGCGGCAGAAAGGAGAGCAACGAATGCGGCGACGAGCAAGGACCAGAAGACGATGAGGAAGAGATGGAGGGCGATGAGAAAGAGGGGCGCAGCGCAAAGGCTTATTGACGTCTGTTTGGCTTTTGTGGCTTTGGTTGGGGACTCTGCCTGAGCGTATCTTACTGCTCTCCCTCTCCCCTCCATTCCCCTCCGTCCCCTGCCCTTCCCCTCTGCGACGACGACGACGACGACCGCCTAGACGACGACCTCGACCGCCTCTGCTTGATGATATGCCCAACGATGCCACAGAAGCTGCGCTAGGCTTGCTCGGGCTCACCGCTGCCTTCTCAAACTCCCTCCCGGCTCCGACCCCCTCCTCGTCCTCCCCCACCGTGCCCGCCAAACGCAAACAGTCCGCATCATCCTCCGCCAACGATAACGCTTCCACTACCTCCGACACCATCACCTGCATCTGCGGCCTCTCCTACGACGACGGTTTTTCTATCGCCTGCGACTCGTGCGGCCGCTGGTGCCATGCCGCCTGCTTCCAGATCGACGAGCAAAAGGTCCCCGACGAGTGGCTCTGTTGGGAATGTGACCCCCGCCCGGTCGACAGAGAACGTGCCGCCAAAATCCAGCGGGCCCGGCGCACCGCTACGGCCTCCGCCCACGCAAACAAGCGCAGAGCCTCCCCTGGCGTCGAGCGTAGGGCCCGCAAACCCAGCGGCGTTGTTGCCGATGCTAGCCACGGCCACACCACCAAACGCAAGCGGCGCGCCTCCATCACTGCTGCCGCTCATGCTCAACACCCCCACCAAGGGGAGGACGAGCACGTTGACATCGACGAGCCTTGGCAGCAGAGTTACGTACCCATCACAAAGGACATCGTGAAGTCGGACGACGCCCGTGACCGACTACGTAGGGTGGCTGCCGACTGGAGGGGTGTTACTGCGATAAGTCCCTCTCCCTCTCTCACCCCCGGCGGTTCGACGCCCGTGCTGCTCACCCCCGACGGGGTCCCCCTTCACCCACCAATCTCATTGCAACCGCTCCCGAACACTTCCTCTTACCCCTCGTTATTTGCGCCTGGTAATGCATCGGTACGTCCGCCGTCGTATGCCATCCACGCTACCCAGCCCATACCCCATTCAAAGTTCATCGCTCCGTACCCCTCCACCGTCATCTCTACGGCCGCCTACCTGTCCGACCCCCTCAATGCGTACGCGCACCTTGGTATGCCCAAGCCCTACGTGCATCTCATAGGGCCCCCACTGGACGTTGCACTCGACGCCCGTTTCACTGGCGACCAGAGCAGGTTCATGCGCAGTGGATGCCGTCCAAACGCCGTCATTCGCCCAGTCCTCTGTCACTCCAAGAAACAGTCGCCAACCGAAGAAGAGTCCCTCTCGTTCGGAATCTTCGCACTGCGCGACTTGAAACCGAATGAGGAGATCGTCCTTGGGTGGGAATGGGACGACGGCAACGTCGTGCACCATCTTCCTGCACTGATTGACAGTCCGTTCTCTTTCCCGTACGTCGCAGCAGCAGCACGCCGTCTCCGCTGACACCTACTGACACCCCCTCCAGTCCACATGAGATTCAGCACTTTCGCAGACAGATGACCCTTATGCTGCATGCCCTCTCATCAACATTCACGACCTGCGCATGCGGTGCCAAGGCGCGGGATTGCGCCCTCGCGCGCATGGCCGAGTTCGTCGATAACCAGACGCCGCTCACACCGTCGCCATCACCGCCTTCGCAATTCACGAAGGAGAAGAATGCCGCGCGCAGTAGCAAGACCGCGGATGACGGCGCAAGCGCAACACCAGTTGACCTGGGCCCGTTGGTTGGCATCGAGCGCGGGTTCCGAACGCGCGAGCGCATACCGTCTTCGGGCGGCATGGGCGGCGTGGAGATGGTGGAGGCGGGCCCGTCGCGCGTGCACGCAGAGCCGTCGAGTGCGGGCGGGCGGAGAGTATCGTTCCCGGACGACCTTCTCAGTCCGCCAGTGAAAGCGCGACGTGCGAAGGGCAGGGATCGGAAAGGGAAGGCACGCGCTGACGACGAGGAAATCACGGAGGAGAGCGACGGCGACCTGGGTCGGGCGAAAGGTGCGCTCATCCGTCTATGCCGACCAAGGGTAATGACTCTAACATAGAACGCAGCGCGCACGCGCATTCGTCGGCGCGCCTCTCCTGAGCCTGAACAAGACGCGATGGACGTCGATGACGACGGGTCTCCACCGGAAGATATGCTCCCACCGAAATTGCGCAAGACGTGGATCCGCGAGAGCGCGGTGCGACTGGAGCAAAACCGGCGTCGCCTGTCACTGTCCAAAGACCATTCGGAAGAGTGTGGGGACACGGGAGACCACAAACCAGGAGGAGCGGATCAATCCTTCGGTGCGCTACCTCGCCCGCTCGCGGGCGTCGACCGAACTGACCCGATGTCGCCTCCTCGCTTAGACTCACGAGAGATGCCACCGCCGCCAGTGCCCCCCGCACGAACGCCACCGCTCTCATCTGTCCCCACGAACCACCCCCGCCCACATCCACATCCGCACCCGCCCCCGGTTCTCCCCTTATCCTCCGCCGCTTCCGCGTCCAAGCCGCCGCGCCCAGCTCAGGACGCGCAGGCGTCGCCTTCCACGCCCTTTTCTAAATTATCACTACTTTCGCCTGTTGTCCCCGCTCCCTCGAGCACCCCCTCTCCTTCCTCCCGCTCCCATCCTCTTCCCCAGCTACAAACGGAGTCTGCGTCTCCATCGCCATCAGCTGCTCCTCTTCCAAAGCCCGCGCAACCGCGCAAACGCAAGCCGACAGCCTCGGCACCCGCTGAGAGCAAGGAGGTGAAGAAGCCGAAGGCGCGGTCCCGCAAGGACAAAGACAAGGAAAAGGCTAAGGCGCGTGACAAGGCAAACGACAGCGACACCAGCGCTGCTCCGCGGACGCCCTCGACGCCCGTGCGCGAGCTTGAAGAGCCGGCGGCGCTCCAACCGTCCCTCGTCCGCAAGCAAGGTGCGGCGAAGCGACGGAAGAGCGCGGCCGCTGCATCGCAGTCCCCGCGCGTCATTGTGAAGGAGCTCACGCCGTCGGTGAAGGGGACGCCATCCTCGAGTGGCTTTCCGTCCCCTGCGACAGCCGCTACTGCGCTGCCGCCACCGATGCCAGTGGCGGAGGTCGCTTCTGCTGAGCCAGACTTCGCGCGGAGCGAGCCTCCAGCCGGCGAGTCCGCGCCGCCTCCATCCGCTGCGCCCGCCCCGTCGTCCGAGGTTGTCAAGTTGGAATCTGCGCAAGAGGACGTGCAGATGTGCGACGCATCCGCGCCTGTACCTGCGCCCACTCCGTTGCCGATAGTGGTCGTGGAGGATGCACAGATGGCGGACGAGCAGCGGCCGCGCAGCCCCACTCCGTCCCCACAGGTCCCTGTGGTTTCCAAGCCCGGGCCCGAGCATCCTGCTCCCTCACCGCACGCAACTGCGTCGCCCGCCATAGCGTCCCCCGCCCTTCCATCTCCTGCCCCTTTTCCTGCGCCCGAGCTGCCCGTGTCTCCTCAACGACCTCCATCTCCGAGTCCGGCGGCCACGGCCACGGCCGCAGAAGAAACGCCTGAGCCGCCTCTCACCGAGAGCGTGCCCGGCCCGGTTTCTGAAGCTGGCGCACCGGAGCCTCAGCGAGCGAAGTCGCCGTCGCCACCGCCTCCGCCACCGAAGGTGAAGCTCTCTCTGCGGGACTTCGCGATGCGCAAGAAGAAGCAGCGCGAGGAGCAGCAGGAGAAGGACAAGCTCGCGACGCCGTCCCCGCTCGTTGCCGCACCCGCACTTCCTGCGGACGCCACCATGCACGACGCTCACGGACCAGAGAGCGCGCAGGACGAGGCGCGAGAGGCGGAGGAGGGCCGGGAGGACGTGCAGGGCCTCGCGCTGGACGTGCATGGTGACGGGGATGTTCACATGGTGGACGAGAAGCAGGAGGAGCAGCCGCTTGAGCGTGAGGAGCCGCATATCATGGTCGTTGAAGCGCATGTGGTGGCGTCTCCCAGCGCTGAGACGTCGTGCTCGCCGGCCCGTCTACCGATGGCGGTCCTTATTCAGCCAGAGGTGTCCCCGTCTGCATCCGCGGTTGAGTGTGTGGTTCCCGACACACCCTCCTTGCCGGCCGGCCTTGTGGCGGAGAGCCCGAAGCCTGACAGGCTCGAGGCTATCAGTTGCCCGCGCCATCCGTCGCCGCGTGCCGAGCCCGTTATCGAGCCCGCAGTACGGGATGACTTCTCGCAGGAGCAGGACCGGGACACCTTCATGGAAGACTCTTTCCGGACCAAAGTCGAGCTGCTCGACGAGCACGTCTCCAACGGGCTCGATCGCTCCATCCGCGAGCGCCGACCGTCGTCCTCCTACACTCCCTCTCCCCGCGAAGCGTCCCCCGCCTCTCCGTACCGCGACCGATTCTCCGAGCCTGCGACTCGACGAACGTCTGTCTCCAGCTACCGCCACGACAGCCGCACGCCTCCCCCGCTAACCTCCCCTAAACTCAGACCCATTGCGCTCCAGCCTTCGCAAGAGGATGGCGAGATCTTCAGCCCGCCTCCGCCGAAAGCGCCCCCTCTCGCGCCCCGCTCACACACGCCGCCCACGCAGCCGCGCTCGTTCTACGCGGGCGGCGGCTCCCCACCGTCGTCGCGCCGCTCGTCCCCTCCGCCTCCGCGGCGCCCGCTGCACCCCGCGTCGTACCGCAACACGGGGTCCGCCCGTCCGCTGCCGAGCGCCCCGCGCGCGCTGCGGGCTCCCGGCGGATACCTGTACGCGGGGAGTGGGGGCGGGCAGAACGCGCCATACTACGCACCGCGCGGGCCTTCTGCAGACCGGGACCGTGAACGCGAGCGAGACCGAGACCGGGAGCGCGACAGGGATAGAGAACGTGACAGGGACCGGGACAGGGACCGGGACCGGCCGCCACGAGACTGGGGCCGCGAGCGCGGGGATGGCGAGCGCGACCGGTCATGGATCCCTGGGCCGTCGCGCGGCCGCGGGCGAGGCTGGGGCCGCTGAGTGGGAGGAAGAGAAGTGTGTCGGTGTGCTGTATCGATTAATGCTGGCCCTGCGCGCCGCCGCCGCTCGTTGTCTGGGATCCGCTGCTCAGTCGGTGCCTGTCTTTGTTCTTGTTCTTCTCGTTCTTGTCGCTTCGTGCTCGTTGTGCTGTTCCCCTCGTTCGATTATGATTATAGTAAGTATCCGTAGCTGACGGTGTCGCGCCGTCCTTGTAGTTCTCCCCTTTGAGTCGTACGTATCAATAGTAATTCGAGCTTCTGACTGTGTGAGGGAGTCGTCTTGTCGGAGATTTCGTCACCTTTCACTGCAGCGAGGGGAAACTCGGCGACTGGACGTTGAACTTTGAACTCGGGAGTTTGAACGTCTACTGTCCATGTATGGCGTGCATGTACTGGCAGCATGAGAGCAACGGTGTGCGGATCGGGTGTGGACTTTGTGCTTCTATATAATATGGCGAAGAAAAGACAACGGGCCGAGTGGGCGTGCAGCACGCGCCCTCTTCCTTTGCCTGAGTCGCACCGGCCACACACGCAGGAGATTGTGATCCGTTGTGCAGACTCATTGATTGCGGCCCCCTCAGATCTCAGAGGTCAACCGGTCAGGCTTTAGCGGACTATGGCGGCTGGTCAGTTCGCACTCTTGCTCGCCCAGGGTACATATACCAATGCATACAACGGATACATAGATAATTGGACTAGGAGCCTGTCAACACTTTCAAAAGATGCCAGTCGTGTTCTTTCTTGATCAGCGTGCCCGTGTTGACATCCGGATGCCAGGGGATCGCGCTGTGCATGTTCACGCCCAGCGGATAGCACGCCGTGCCCTCTGGCCCACACCAGTCAAAGTCGATGAGCAGCCGCTCGCCGTCCTTGCGCATCCACACGTTCTGCCCACGCAGGTCGCCAAACACCAGCCCCGCCGCGTGCAGCAGCTCGACCGCCATCTGCACCGCCGCCGCGTCCGCCACCGACATCGCCACGTCCTCGTCCGCGGTCTCTGCGTCCCGGACGTGGTCCATCACGACCACGTACATATCCACACTCTCCACCCACTCGCAGAACCAGAGCTTCGGCGCGAGCCCGTGCACCGCGAGCAGCCGGTGTCCCTCCGCCGAGTATGCCTTCGTGAACTTGACGACGACGACGGTTTCGCGGGGATCCTGCTCCGAGTCGGAGGTGATGCGTGCGCGGGCGGCATAGAGCGTCTTCGCTGGCTCGCCGGTGCACAGGCGTCCTGTGTAGTTGAGCGAGGCCGCCGTGCCGTCGGCGGAGACGTGTGTGAGGTGCGGCCCGACATAGCACGTCGGGAGCCGGTCCGCTGAGCGCGCAGCGTTCAAGGCCTGTGTCACGGCGGCGTAGTGCGCGTCCAGCGCGCGCATCAGCCGCGCTGCACGCCAGATCGCCGCATCGTACATCGGCCGTGGCCCAGGCACATCCAGTGGGGCAATGGATATGTAGCTCGTGAACGACGTCGCGATGATCTGCTCCGCGTAGACCGCACCGCCAACCATGATGTTCGGACCGGCGATGGTGACGAGGAGACACGGGCAGCAGCTCACGTCGCGGAACGGCTTGAACTGGATGAGGCGTCAACGGTGAGGATGCGAGCATGTCCGGTAGACGGAGGTTTGCATTTCTGCCCAGCAGAGGCGACAGCATCCCGCACTATGCAGTATGTGAGCGACAGCAAGAGCCTGAGCAACATGATACACACTCGTCCGGGGATTTCTCTCCTCATGTACCGAGCTGAGCCGTCTGATGGATGGTCTATGCTGAGGCTCAGACATGTCGTAGTCTGGATCTGGACAAATATCATGCAGTGCAGCGGGCAACTGAAGGGAGAGAATACATACAGATGATCAAGACCAGATTATCCGGCTTGCCAACTTCATTGATGGGCTCTGATCCATCGATTGGTTCCAAGTCGTCGAGATACTTCGTTGTGATGTGTTCTTCATAGGCTGTTTTCAGTTTGGCGTTGGCTCTTGCAGCGGTTGGACGTTCAGGGAGCTATCACAGCATCAGTATGTGGCAGAGCGAGGCTTGAACACTAGTGACGGTACCTCGTATATTTTGTATGACCAAGACCGGCCATCCAAGCAGCGAGCGACCGACTGTCTCTTCGAGAGGGCATCGATCGCAGAAGATATTCCGGTGTCCGTGGAGTCGGAATGATATTGCTCTCGGGCGATGAAGTTGTAGGCGTCGGCAGCGTATGGTTTGAATAGCACCACCCAGGTTGTCCACACAGCCATGCCCGCAGCGAGCAGGGGGGGCGGTGAGGGTTGTGAGAAAGAGCGGACAGGCTTGGACTCAGCTCCGGGACTGCTCATGATCAGGCTGAGAGAGTGATTATTCGAGAGACGAACGTACTTACTTACTTGGAACGTAGAGTAAAGGCAAACAACGCCAAACAGAGCTGCCCCGCGCAGCTCCCTCAGGCTCGAGCACAGTCCCTCTCTCCACGTTCGCACACCGCACCCTCGCCAACGTGCGCGACTTCTCCACCCTCTGCTACTCGTATCACTAGCTGAACACGCCGCTGGACGACGACGGGAAGCGCAGCACACCCATGGACACCTCCCCGACCGCGCTCTTCGACTCGTACGAGCAGGACTTCAAGCAGATCATCCAGAGCATTCGCACCAAGCTCGAGGGCGACGCGCAGGATGCCCAGGGCGGTGCGTCATTCCGCCCGTGCGTGTGCGTGTGCGCCGGGGTGCTGACGAGCGTGCAGAGCAGCGCAAGGCGGCGCTGAGGCGCGTCGAGATGGAGCTCGACGAGGCGGATGAGATGGTGCGTACTTGGTCCCCACTTTGCGTGTGATAAGTCTGCTCTAGGCGTCATTCTTCCTTCCTGGGAGTTGAGGCCGGCTAAGTCTCCCGGGGACGCACTTTTGGCGGACCTTGCGTCGTCCCCCGGCGTGCACACGAATACCCTACTAAACTGCCTGCCCAGGTCTCGCAAATGGAAATTGAGATCCAAGGGATCCCGCAGTCGCTCCGGCCGTCGTACCAAACACGCATCAAAGCGTCGAAAGCGGACCTGCAGCGGTTCAAGAAGCTCTCGAAGGAGCAGCACGCGCAGCTGTCGCGTGCCGAGCTCCTGTCGCGCCCCGGGCTCGCTGGGGGCACGAGCGACGAGCCGTATGGGGCGACGAGCGACCGGACGCGGCTGCTTGCGGGCACGGCGCTGCTCGAGGACGGCTCGCGGCGGCTGCAGGATAGCCAGCGGATCGCGCTGGAGACGGAGGAGCAGGGCGCGGACATCCTGCGCAGCCTGCGGGGGCAGCGCGAGCAGATCCAGAACGCGCGTGACACGCTGCAGCGCGCGGACACGTCGATCGACCGTGCGTCGGGGACGCTGAAGAAGATGATACGGCGGTACGTCCCCTTGTGCGGCGCGCGGGCGCGCGCATGTTCATGGGTTGCGCAGATGGTTCTGACGGCCGGGGCAGGATGTACCAGCAGCGGTTCGTGACGGGCGCGATCATCGCCGTGCTCGTTCTTCTTATCCTCATCATTCTTTGGGCGAAGCTCTGGCGGTAGACCTCTATGCGTCACGCACTCCGGGTGGACGGACGACGGTGGACTTGCTCTCGATGTGGGGCGTGTAGTATGCGTTGGTGTTGTGAGGTGTGGTAAATTATGTATATCCTTTCGGTTGCGCTGTATCCCTCTTGGCTAGCTGGCGTCTCTCTTCGCGCTCTCCGGTACTATACTCACCCCATTCTTGCCTTGCTGCCGTGCGAATCTGTGCCGGCGATGGATAACACTGACGGCGTTGCAATCCAGTTGGGTGCGATACCTACCCTGGGGCGTCGTCTTGATGTTTACTTGGACAATTAAGATGGTGTCCTCCTTTGTTTACTACACCTCCCCGTATATACGCCCCGCGTTGTGCGCTCTGCAAGGGGCAACCAGGCCGGGTCTCAGTGACTCCAACCTCAAAAAGTGCGGAGACGGACTCCGGACACCAGGGAGACACTACTACTACTATAGCCGAGATAAGATTACGGGAGGCTGATAGATACGAGCTTGCGCTACTACACTTAGTAGCGCACTCATCGTACTCGCATTGCAACGGGTTTGGTGAGAATCGTATGATCCGCGCGAGTAATTCTATGGTTCAATGTCAATATTGCAGACGGTACGCGCAAGCAGCAGTGGCTTCGCTCGTGTGATAGATGATCTCAGTCTTCGAGTCGTGTATGGCGGGCAGGCTGAGGGGTGGGGAGGTGTCGTAGCGTGGCGTGGGTGCTGTACCGAGGTAATACGCATTAGAAACAAAATCTAGAGACATCCGGGGCACGAACGGCTATTCGCGAGCCAAGCGCGATGTCTGCGCAGGGTATTCAAGACGAACGCGAACTCGCGGTGCGCGCCATCGGCGACGTGCCACCCGGTGCGCAACGCGCGAGGGTTCCGCGCGGATCTCCAAGTGCGGGTATTATCGTCATGTTTTTGCCACTCGGAAACGCGCACGGCGTGCTACTATGTACTTAGTTTTAGTGACCGGTGGATAGCCTCAGTCTGAGCCTCCGGACAGCGACGAGTCGGAAACTTCGTACTCTAGTGTATAGCGCAATGCAGAATTTAATCTGTGTTCTTTTATGATACTTAATATAATATTAGACTCAGTAGGTGAAATGCACCTAAACGCGCTACTACTAACCACTGACAATGAACTCGATAGTGCTAGAGCGTCCTTCGAAGCGATCGCTCGCGATGCATTCAGCCACATCCATATCGAGCAGTATAGCGCTTACTTGTACGAAGCGCCGGGTTAGCTCCCTTGACGCAGGCCGGTATAGCACTAAGCCCCCGTCTTTTGCTTCAAAAACACAACAGTTGAATAGAGAGACGTATTATGTGGGATATCCCAAGATTATGAGCTCCAATATGGGGGAATGAGGAAGCAGTACAAGATCTAAAGGATTTGAGTCGAAAAAGTCATTTTCAGGACCCCGGAGACCCGAATGCCACTGCTACTACATAGGTTGGAGTCAGCGCTCCCCTGCCTGGTTGCCCCTTGGCGCTCTGTCTAAGTTCTACAACTCGCGTGTACCCATATGTGACGTACGTCGGCTAGTGGTAGTGGACACGCCCCCACCAAGCGATGGCTGGCTGAACTTCCGATTCATCTCCGACCATACTCGCGCCCCAAGATGTGGGGTGATCGGACCCCGCGGCACACTCCGCCCCCGGGGTTACCCCGCAAATACGGGACGCGCGCCGGTCGACTCGTCCTTCCCCCCCCCTCCCTCCTCCCACCACTGCCATCTGCTCTTTCATCGAGCCAGGCCACTCGTGTGCACAAAAGCATCTACGAGCAGGATCACCGCTAGGCCTCCAATACCTCGTGCGCGTACATTTCTCTCCGCAGTCAAACACTCGCGACACCCCACACTCGCACACATGGCCGGCCTCCTCGCTGCATTCAAGTACGTGTCGCCCATCGCGCGCACCCGCGCATATATGCGTGCAACTGTTTCAGTGCTTACGCGGACCCGCCCCCGTCAGCGCGTCGCTCATCCGCAAGCCGATGGTCACCCAGTGCGTGACGTCTGCCGTGCTCTTCGGCGCAGGCGACGTCCTCGCGCAGCAGGCGTTTGAGAAGAAGGGCAGGGACCACGATGTGCGCGATTATGTTCCCGCTCCTCGCTGAGCAGAGGGTGCTGACCGGATTGCGCGCGCGGCAGTTCATGCGGACAGCGCGTCTCTCGTTCTACGGCGGTAAGTCCGCCCTGCGACCCCCCGTCTCTTCCCCGCCCGCGAGCGAACGCGCTCGCCGCGCGTGGTGTGTAGTGTCGACCAGGCATTGAATACTTGTGCTCTCTTGGCAGGTGCGATTTTCGGGCCCGTCATTACGAAGTGGCTGCAATTCCTGGAACGCCTCAAGTTCGCCTCGCCCACCAGGGCCGTCGCCTATCGGGTACGCGCTGCCGAAGCGCATCCTACGTCGCATGCATGCTGACCCGCCGGATACGCAGGTCTACCTCGACCAGGGTGTCTTCACGCCAAGTACGCACTCCCCCTCCTCGCAGCGCACATACAGACGCTGATCCCGCCGCGTCCCACAGTGGTTGTGGGCATGTTCTTCAGCTCCATGACGCTCCTCGAGGGCAAGAGCGTGCGCGACGTGAAGGAGCGGATACAGGAGGCGTACACGCCCACACTCATCCGCAACTGGTGCGCCCCTCCCATCCTCAGCCGTGTAGACGCGATGCTGACGCGCAGGGCCGGCGCAGGGGCGTCTTCATCCCCACGCAGATCATCAACTTCGCGGTCGTGCCGCCGCACCTGCGCTTCGTCACCGTCGGCGTCGTCTCCCTCTTCTGGAGTACGTCCGCATCCGAGTCCGCTCTGGGCACCTCTGGCCTGCCTTCTGACGCGTCTTTTTTTTTCGCCGCAGACGCGTACCTGAGCTCTGTGAACGCGGCGAAGCAGGTGGAGGCCAGCCCCGTGGCGGAGGACGCGTCGGACGACGTCGTTGTCGTCGGCGCGGACGAAAAGAAGACGCAGTGAGGGGTGCTGTCGCCCTAAGGTGCCTGCCCCGACGGTTTAGAGCCCTTCGCGCACATCTATACCTTTGTGTACATACCCGCTAATCCCCCATAGACTGTATAGTTTTCTGTTTGCCGTTAGCTGCCTTGGTCCGCGGACGGATGCGTAAGCACGCTCACCCAACGCTCGGAGTATGGTGGCAGGCGATGTGGATAATGACCTTTTCAAGAAGGTTGTCATTGTACGGCTACACAAAAAACAACATCTGCGTGCGGGGCTGAAAACAAGCAAATATGATATACAAGAGAGAGATATAGCAGAAATCAATACAAGTCCGCGCAACCATACACCAAGCCAAGGAACAACACTGCTGTCCACCTACGTACAACCTCTCAGCCAGCCAGAGTACACGTAGGAGCGACGACGCTACAAGCCGAACTCGTACAGCGCCTTCTGCGCGTCGTCCAGCCGCCTCTTCTTCGCGCGCAACTCCTCGCGCAGCGCGGCGACGTCCGCGCTCTCCTCCAGGTACTTCGCGCAGCGCGCCTTCGTGTCCTCCGCGCCCAGCCCGAGCCTCTCGATCAGCACGCCCTCGCCGAGGACGGCTGCGAGCGAGAAGAGCAGGTGCTCGTCGATCACATGCGTCACGCTGTCCTGGATGCGCTGGACGGTGCAGTCGGTCAGCATGCCATGCACGGGGGAACAGCCTGTGGCGAACACGTACCTTGGAGGCGACGTCGAAGTACGCCCGGATTTCCGCCATGAGCGCCAGCTCCGCCCCGTGCTTGTCGGACGCACCATCGCGCTCCTGAGACAGAGGGCCCTGCTCCGGGACCGCGCTCGTCGTGTGAGGTGGCCGGTGCACTTGAGGTTTGGCACCGTCATGCGCCTGAGGAGAGGGGGTCGCGGGGGCTTCGGCGGGTGTAAAGATCTGGCTCGACACAGACTTGGGCACCGCGGGGGGGAACACGGGCTTGAAGCCCTGGCTGGACGCCGAGGAGGCGCTCCCTGGGACTCTCTGTGCTCCCTGATCAGCCGGTGCCGGCGCATGCAAGACCGGCTGCAGTTTTCCAGCTGCAGCCTGCTCGAGCATGAAACTGTACGACGAGAGGTGCTTTTCGCGCAACCCAGCGAGGTCGTCGAGGTTCTGTGTGGTCGGCGGGTTTCTCTCGTACTTCAGTTGAAAGCGGAGCTGCTGCTCAGTGGTCGTGCCGTGGACGTTCGTCAGGTCGAGCATGATCGAGCTGCCAAAGGAGCGCTTGTCAGCATCCAGGCAACCGGCGTGTCCGTGGTACATGCGAAAGGCTCACCTGATGGCACGCTTCAGGTGTTCGTAGCGGCCGAAATGGGCATCGACGATGCGCCCTAGCTCGTTCTTGAATGCACGTCGCACTTGCTCAAAACACCGCGTGGCATGCCTCTCCCAGCTGTCCTGGAACGCGAGGATGAAGGCGCACTTCACAGAGTACGGCACGTTGTTGGGGAGCTCGCGTGTGAGGTACCTGTGAAGCCCTTCCCGTCAGCCCTCTACCACACAGCGCAGTTGTTCGCTCTATCTGTCGTACCTTTCAATCCGCTCCCTGACCGTGTCCAGATAGATGATCTCGTCCGGCGTCCACACCGCCGTCGGCACAAACGGGACATATCGCTCTCCATCTGCGCGCACGAACGGCACAAACGGCGGAGCAGTCTGGGCAATGCCGGCCGAGAACGCCGCGTACATCTTCTTGGTCGCTTGCACGAGCGCCGTGTGCTCCGGCGAGCCCTGGACCACCTTCCCGACCTCGTCCACAAACGCCGTCACCATGCGGTGGACGTGCAGATACGGCTCCGCCGTTTGTAGCGGCAGCTCGCGGAGCTGCTGGTCGCACTGCGTGCGCTGCGCATCGACTTCGCGCTCAATGCCCGGGAGCCTGCCATCGTCAGGATACAACAATCAGCCAAGCGCGATATGAGGGCCACGAGACACTCACGAAGCACGACTGAGCTCCATCAGCCTTTCGCTGAGGAACTGGACCAGGCTCTCGATCCCGTAGCGGTGGCGCTGGGGGGTGTCGCACCACGGCGCGACGGTGGCAAAGTAGCGCATCTCCCGCTCGCGCGCCTCTGCGTAGGAGATCTTCTCGCGCCGCTCGGCGTCGTCGGGCAGACGGACGCAGAAGTAGCCGTGCTTGGTGCGGTACTCCTGCCCGGCCATGACCTGCACCCAGTTCTCCTTCGCGTCAATCGAGCCCTCGGCCAGCGCGTCCGGCTTGGTCAAGACGTCTGCGAGGAATAAGCCGGGTCAGCAGACGGACCGACGCGAGGACGCTGGAGGGCATACTGATTGTGCGCGCCCCGTCTCGGTCGGCTTCTTTAGCGAGCTGGACCGCCTTCTGGTTGTGCAGGTCGTCTTGGAAGGCGCGCATCTGCGATCAGTACTAGATTGGGCGCAGGGGGCTAAAATGATGCATACCGCTCATAGGGGCCACGACCAGGATGATGGTGTTGTGGTTTTGGATATAGAATCGAGCGAGGTCCTCGACGAGCTTGACCTCGCCCTTCCCGTCGTCGTACTGTATGATTCCTGCGCGACCCGTTGAGCCTTTCCGGCAGTACCCGATGCCGTAGATGTGCACGTACCAGGCAAGTCGATAAAGGACAGGTCCGGGAGGCCCGGGCCATTGATGTCCACGCAGACGACGTTCCGCGAGAAACTCTGCTTGGCCCCCTTCGCCAGAAGCTTCAACGTCTCGCCCTCTTTGTCGATGAAGTACGAGGGGTCGTGGTTCTGGTTCAGCACGGCGGTCTGCGCCCGGCGCAGCATCAACTCGAGCTGGCTCTTGTCGGAGAACGGGTCTCCGAACGGAACCTCCTTGTGCTGGGTGAGCGGCTTCCGGTGCTCGTCGTACTCCCAGCGGAGCGAAATGCGGCACGTCCAACTGCCGTTTGAGCTCGAGAGGCGGATCTCCATGGGGCAGCGCGTGCACGTGCCCGCATCGCGAGGGACGCTAATCTACAGTGTGCGTTAGGAGTTGTATCACATTAAGTGCACACACAGCATGCGGGACACTTACTTGGGCGATTGCCTCGATGAGGCTCGACTTGCCTGCGCTTTGGTTGCCAATGACGGCTACCCGTGGTAGGCTGACATCCGTTTGAGCACTAGATCATCAAAACAAATATCAGGACGGTATAAAAGAGATGCTAAATGACTCTACACGTACCCTCCGGCACGCAGAATGCGAAGGAGCTCGATGTAGTCCCTGGCCGTTTTGGCATAGAACGTGTTCGCCATGCCACCGGACTTGCTGCCCTCGATGGCGAGCGGTACCTTCGCTCTATGAGAGTTGGAAGGGTGCATGGCAAGAAGCGCTATGTGGCAGGCGGATGCGATGCACAGTATGGAATCCAGCGTGGTACTGGGGAAAGTAGTGAGGCACGCACCAATGTTGCGCCGCCGCTTTTGAAGCCTCTGAGGGCGAGTGCCTTGAACGATGCATTGCGCAAGCGTGGACAATGTCTCTTTGTATTGCGAACAGCAACGTTACGTTACCGCAACAAAGAAGCTTTAAGGACTATCGCAACCCGCTGAAAATGCCGCTGCTAAACTTGAGCAAGAATAAAGCAATGTGACACATCATGTGAGTGCGCATCGAGCTTGGCCAGGGTGGGGCGCGGGGCGCGGAAGAAGCGCGGCCGAAGCATGCTGGATGCGGAGAGTGTGCCTGGTAAGGACTTGCTTGTTCATTTCGAGCGCCAGCGCGTCCGCCAACGTTTTGATCGGCGAGTCGTCCGAACGGCGCATGGGTGTTCGCACAAGCTCGTGAGCGTTGCGTAGCTCTTCGGGCGTGAACCTTAGCTCCTCGCCCTTCATGATGGAGACGTAAGCGGCGAACACGGAGCAGTAGTGCGAGATTCTCTGGGGCAACCGAAGCTCGTAGAGCCACCCGTTGTATACAGCGTCGATACAGTTCAGGCTCTGCGACTTGACGATCCGGGAGAGCCTTGTTTCGGTCGACGGGTCTCTGCGGCGCTTCTGGGCGGGGCTGTTTTCTCCTTGTGTGCTGCGAGTCTGTGAGTCAGGCTCCTCCAAACACTGCGGAGGTCCGAACGACCTACATTTGAACAAGACCCACACGGAGCAGAGCGGCACGCCTGGCTGCGGGCCTACCAAAACCAGATGTGAGCCTCGACGTCGAAATTCAAAGTGAGCCGGCAAGCAGTGCACTCACAGAGCACGACGAGCATGCATTTCGTCCTCCCAGTGCATTCAGACCATTCTTCGACGCGCAGAGGGCGTATTCACGCCGCATGTGGAGGCTGCATAGTACCGTTCCCGTTTTCTGCGGACGGTGCTTCGGCTGAGCCATACCTGGGAGCTTGCATTCCGACTTCTGGCAACCTGGAGGGCCGTGCATCTGCGACGTTTGGGCACTCACATCATCTTCCAGACGGATGTGGTTCGTAGGTTTCAGTACAGATTCACCCGGAAAGCTCGAGAGCGAGCAACGGGCTCAGGCCTCGGCAGGCACGACGTGTTCCTTGCGCATATATACAGATGGCGCGAAGAATCGCCGAAGATGCAGGCGCGGTTCGGCGCGATCCTCGTTGCATTCGTGCACAATACCATATATCGTGTCTCGGACGCACACGCATGTCGACAGCTGGGTCGACTTTAAGACAAACAGAACAAGTTCTCTCGTCCAGGAGGATGAGGGTGAGGAGGAAGAGGTACTAGGCTCTGCCAAACTCGCGTGCGACTGTGCGCCTGTGGCGGCTCTGTTTGGCGTTGCTTGTCTGTGCACTTCCTCCAGCGCGGGCGTCTCCGCGCACTCATCTCGAGGATCGCTGAATGCATTCATTTACGGCTGAGCACAGTACCTGCACATAGACCGACCATGGCTGCAGCGCTGCAAGAACGCCTCCAGACCGAGTCTGCTGAATTCCAGAAGATTCAGGCCGAGCTCTCCTCCGTCGTCGAGGCGCGCCAAAAGCTCGATGCCCAGCTCTCCGAGAACGAGCTCGTGAAGAAGGTGCGCCAAATCCACTCCTGGATCCAAGTTTGAGGGTGCTCATCAGCGAGACATACGCTACAGGAGTTCGCGACGCTGACGGCAGACAACACCGTCTACAAGCTCGTCGGGCCCGTGCTCGTGCAGCAGGACCAAGCCGAGGCGCGCCAGAACGTCGATACCCGCCTCGACTTCATCAAGAGCGAGATGTGCGTGCTCTCCGCTACTATCCAACGGGGTATACTCACGGTCGACCCACAGAAAACGCGTGGAGGGGCAGTTGAAGGATTTGGGCGAGAAGGGGGAGAAGAAAAAGCTTGAGGTGCGCCGGTAGCTACCACAGCGTGCCGTCTTCGCGCGCGATGCTGATCGTACGTACGTACGTCGTCCTTTCTAGCTGGTCGAGATCCAGGCCGCCCTCCAGCAGGGCGCCGCACCCGCCGCAGCATAGCACCCAACGTCATCCCCCGCCGTCCTGCCCACCTGTACCGCGACCCTTCCACCCCCCTCGACGCCTGCCCTCCCCTTTAACCTCCCGGTGATTACCGCCTGGCGGGCATTATATAGCAGAGATTGTAGTCTTGTAGCGTCGTCGCGCGCCCAACGAATGCATTACGCCGAAGCTGTACTTGTACTTGATTGCGCCTGCTGCTGGCGGAGGGCGGCCTCGGCGGCCTGGCGCGCATGCAGCTCCTCGCGCTCGCGCTCGGGGCTCTTGATGACCTTCTCGACCGTGAAGCGCTTCCGCGCAGAGATCGGCGGGCAGTTCCGGATGAGCACCGTGTCCTTCATCCGCAGCGCTGCACGGGCGCAGGACGGCTCAGCGTGGTGGCGGGTGAAGAGAGGAGAAAGGGAGATGCACCGTTTTCCTCGTCGTGTGTGAGGTACTTCTTGCTCCTCTCTAGCCGCTGCAGCACGCCGTGGGTTCGAATGAGCACATCTGGCGGCCGAGTGAGGAGACGGAGACGCACCTTGCCGGTCTTGGGGTGGAAGACGAAGCGGGACACGAAGATGGTGGCGGTCTTGTTCATGAAGCCGACCTTGGTCACTTGCCCGACAAACGACATGGGCGGCATTTTCGACCAGCACGAGTGGTGTGGACGTGGGGGGAAGGACGAGAGCGGGAGCGGGAGCTTTGGGTTCGCGGATCGCAAGCAGCGTAGAAATGGGCGCTTCCTATACTACGCGCAGGTTTGTTGGCGGATCAAAGACGATGCTACATATTTAGATCCCAGATGATCACTTTGAAAGGGCGGGATGCTGATACGCATTTTCGGAGATGGAAATACGGCTGCTGGAAGCGCGCCGCTTGCGAGTTCGGCAGACCCTACCTCTTCCTTTTCCTCCTCATCCTCGTCCCCCTGGACGAAGAAACTTGCTCTATTCGCGTTAATGGCTAAGTCGACTCAGCTGTCGACACGCGTGTGCGTCTGCGACATGATACATGGTAAAGCGGACGAGTGCGACGAGGATCGCGCCGAACCGCGCCTGCATCTTCGCGCCATCTGTATGTATGCACTCGGTATGCACAAGGAGTACGTCGTGCCTGCCGAGGCCCGAGCCCGCCGCTCCCGGGGCTGTTGTCGTCGTGCAATGGGCCTGAGCCACGCTCACCGGGAGAGAGGGGAGGGTATTGACGTTAACGCCGCCGCGGGTCCCCGCGCGGGTCCACCCGCCTAGTGCTGGTGCGCGCGCGGCACTGACGGCGGACTGCACCGGGGGGCGCGCACGTTTCCAGCAGGCACAGACAGGGGAGCGCACGCACCGCTTCCTCCTCGGGGTGCGCATTGGTGACGAAACGAATTCGGGCGGCGGAAGAAGAAGTGATCGTGCAGTCGTCGTGGTATGTTGACCGTACGCGTGATACGGGCGACGAGACGCGGAGAGGCTCATGCAGACAACCAGCTTGCGGCAATTGTTGCTGCAAGTTGGCTGGCTGTTTACGAGTTCAATCTGTCTTCACGACATGCGGCAGCGTCTGACGCTTTCAGCTGCTCACGCTCGAGCTTTCCGGACGAGCCGGTCCCGAGACCTGCGAACCCCGCCCGTTGGGAAGATGATGCGAGTGCACAAACTTCGCAGATGCGCGGTCCTCCAGGTTGCCAGAAGTCGGAATGCAAGCTCCCAGGTGTGGCTGCGTGACTCGCCTTGTCTGATATGTTTCGCACCGTTGCTTCCTTTAACGCTGAATTCTACGTTGTGCATAGCCTGAAAGCCAGAAAACTGCTCAGGGCCTCATAGCCCCGCGATGCAGCTCGAGCACTCGTTGATGCGCCCAGGGCAGAAGTCACCTTCGCCCATATCGACTATCCAGCGGCTCTCAGGAGTGCATGAGGTGCCATGCTTCTCAAGGTACCGCCATACAACACAAGACGCGCTAGTTGCGGTATATGTAGATAGGGAACATCGTTGACCGTTCCATCGAAATCCCCCTTGCCTCACTTTTCTCGCATTAGGTGCCCACCATGAGCAGTGCCGCCTGGGACATCTACGCAGAGCAACTCATCTCGTTGCGCTATGGCTACCCCCTTTGGTACCCCGACCCCTCCCCTGGACGAGCCCCCGTCCAGCTCGGTGACGTAGGATGGGTGAAGGAAGGCAAGTTTCTCACCCTGTTCAACGCTTTACGGGAGGCGCACGATGCCCAGCCGATGGGCGCAGTCCCCACTGATTTTGTCCCCCTGAACCCGCCCGGGGGTGTGCAAATCGAAGGACCGCGCGAAAGAATCGGGCAGAAGGTGCTATCCAGCGAAACCGTACGCTGCAACAACATCTCCGGCGGTATTGCGGTGAACGGGTGCGTCGCCCGCTATTCGTGCTCAACTCTTCTGACAGGCATCCAAAACTGACCTCCTTGCCAAATCTCTCAGACTGGGGTCATCTGGAGTTTCCGGAGGCGTCGACGTCACGTTCAACTGCTTTGGAAACTCCGGCGCGCTGCTCGTACTCAATCCGTGTGGGATGGGCCACGAAATTCTCTCGGACAGGACCGTCATGAACTACATAGACGTGAACTTCGACAGCTGGCTCCACTTCGCCAACCATACCATGGGGCTCGACCTCCGCGAGGACGACATCCGGTTCGTGACCGGGACGACGATGACCTCCCAATGGGCTCTCGCCGCGTTCCGTGGCAGCTACAAGCACAAGCAGGGTGCGTTCACCGGCAACCTCGCGGGCGTCGGCGCGGCGAGCTTCTCGATGTCGATCTCGGACCAAGCCCTTCCCGTGAGCCATTACCGGGCGGGGCCTCCGGAGCCAGAGTTGGAGCATGCATACTTTCCGGGCTTGCACCACACAGCTCCTGCCATCACGTCGTCCGAGCCGTCCTCCCCGCGTACACAGGCGCGTTACGACCAGTGCATCTTCTTCAACTTCTTTAAACGCAAGTCACGGATTGAGAAGCGTCTCGAGAAGCTCCTTCGTTTTCTCAGAGCCGGAGCCGGGCCGCACCAGCTACCGCGGAGGCCTGACGACACCGAATCCGGGCCGCAGCTCCTGGCTGCAGCGGCGGCCGACACCGAAATCGAAGAGGACATCGTGCAACTAGCAGAACTGCTGCTTCAAACAGATTCCGCAGACCTCGCTGCGGAGCTTGCGTGTTTCAAGGTTCGTAGCGGTGTACTTTGTGAGGGCCGTGTGGGGTGAGTGACTAATTGGTCGACTATTCGCGGGAGAAGGATCCTGTAGACGTCCTCGTCGACTATATTCTGGAGGTGCGCCCCGAGCATGACGCCTCACGCCATCGACGCATGCGCTGATGTGTGCAATCCCAGAACTCGACTGCGCGCACCGCAATAGCGTCGGACAAAGATCTCTACGAGGTGCTCGCAAGCCAGGTAAGAACATTGAGGCACTTCCCTCGGGCGTGAAACGGGATCTTATTGTGATACTGCTCCTGGGATACGTAGAACATAGAATGGCCCGACCCGCAAGACCTCAAGAAAACCTTAGAAGAAATCGCTGCAACGATACATGTCAGTCCGAACGGTGGTACGTATTGTTACTAGACTCGCATACTGCTGCGCCTACTCACTCTGTATTTCAGTGGGGTCAATCTGTATTGAACCTGACGCAACAGTACTGGAAGACACCCAGCTCGGCGTCACTCCGGAGCTCGTGACGCCGCCGCTACCCATCCCTGCCGTGAATGCGATGGACGCACTGTTACCTGAAGATCTGTCTAAACCAGGCGCATTCGACACCGCCGTCGACACCGTTGAGGGCTACTCCGAAGAGGCGCAAGGGGACACCAATCTCGCGCTGCTCGCGGCCAAGCTGCTTACATCGAGGAGTTTAGACCAAGTGGACTCGGCCGCACATCTCACTTTGCCCGTCGCGTCCCACTTGCGTCGCCTCAAGATGATTTCCGAGCCCGCCCCCACAAACATGCCCCACCTCGCTTTGAGGCCATTTACAGGCTGTGTAGGGCTCATGGACCGCTTGGAGGAACTCACGGTGCTCATCCCCACCATCGCGGCGCTCTCAAAATACCCCGAACGATTTTCGCCTCGCGAAGTACACGCGGCATCCGTCATCGCCGAGGACAGCGCCGTCAATGTCTCCCACATGCTGTCGGCGCTCACGCTCGCGCCGCACGCATCTGTTCACCCTAAAGGGAAGCCCCAGGACGTATCCATCCCATGGCATGTCCCGCCTCCTGACAGAATCGTGCAAGCAGCGGATATCACTGGCTCGCTGCCTCTCGAGATTGTCACAGGGGATCCTGACAAGTTGGCGGGGTCTTCGAAACTGTCCCGGGACGCCCTCTTCGCCACGCTGGTCCGTGCTCTGCAGCACCTTTTCAATGACGCACAGGTCGAGCGCATTGCTTTCGTCGGCAAGGCCGGCTCGTACCTTTTGAGTGTTACACGGGTCGTCGGCTTGAAACATCCCCCGGAGATACGTTGGCTCGACATCGACGCGTTCGATGTCCCGTTCTCCCTCGACGACATTCTCTCGGCCATTACGGCGTCTTCTTTACACGATACCTTCCTGAGGAAAGGACCCACGGATGCGATGCGGCTCCACTACGAGCTGCACAAGGACAACCGGGCTACCTCAGACGGCGGCGACAGCCTTGCGGATGATGAGAAAGCGACCTGCAAGGACATGTTGCTGTTCTCTGCCAGCGACGCTCTCAGCACAGACGACGGCACTCAAGACATAGGGCATCGCATAAGGGTGGCCATTACCTGGGCGGCGCATCAGTTGAAGTCGCTTGCGGACGAGCAAGTGTGGTTAGAGAAAGCGTGGGCGCAGCTGTGCAGTGACCAAGTTGCGCTGCAGTCTCCGCACGCTGCAGCTATCGCCTGCTACCCTCCCGACGCGCAGCCTGTCGCATCTACGGCACCCGATCTCGGACACCAGGTGAGCCTTATGCCGCTGAAATTGCATCTTAGCGTTTGAGTCGCACTAACCGTGTTTTGCACCCTGACTTGCAGAACGAGGCTAAAGACAGCCCGGTCCTTTGGCGTCCGTCCCCTTCGGCAGACGACCCCATATGGGCGTACCAGCCGGATAGACAAGATACCTCCTCTGTCGATTCTCCGTAGGGCATGCGATTCATTACTTTCTCCAATAATATGATCCGGGATGTTGGGCGAACGTACAAGGGCAGTACTTATACGCCACGCTCGCAGATTTAGGACTTTTCCTCATCTCGTGTCACTACGATGGTCTCCCGTGATTATCTATGAATTTACACAGTACACCACTATGAAGAGCCATTACGGAATCAAGCCCGTTTGGATTTCTGCACAGCGGGGCAAGGTGCCTACAAGTCTTGACTCTTTCCCTACGGGAATGATAAGATCGCTCGTATACAATACAAGTCCCGCGGTGGTGCAGGCGGAAGTAACCTATCCGCGCTAGTCCGCTATGCATAGCTCGACAACTAACGTAGGCATGGCCTTTGACGTCCAAGAAAATACAATTACCCATAGGGTCAAGCTCAGCCGTCCTCGCCCAACCCCACCTCCTTGCCTTCTCCTACCTCCACATCCGAGCGCGTCACACTCAAGCTAATCGCACGCATCGGGATCGCGTCGCCCCCGAGATGCACGACCGTGCCTGGACGCCCGCCGCTCGCCGTCGCGGACGGGAGGCTGCGCGCGCCGTCCGACGAGCCGCGGAGGTGCGCGGCGTTGTATACCCAGCCGAGGTTCACGCGCACGGTGATGAGCATGAACGAGATCCCGGTGATCGTCGGGCTGCAGCCGCTCCCGACCGTCTGCAGTGGCGAGCGCACCGCGTAGAGCACGACGAACACCGCCGTCCACGCGCTGTGCGGCGATCAGCCAGCGTCGTGCAGGGGCGGGATCCGGGCCGAATATGGGGCATGCGTGGGGAAAAACGTACCTGTACAGCGCCGCGCTTTCGACGAAGATCTCCATCGCTTCCTGTGGTAGCGGAGGTCCGAGAGTGAGCGGACGTACAGCGTTGGCAGCGAGGGCTGAGGCGCTTACCAGGATGTGGCTTCCCCCGCTCGCGGTGAGGAGGCCGTGCTTCTGGCGCGCGCGGTTCGTCGTCCACATGCGGTACATTATCATGCCTGCGCGGTGTTTAGTATAGCACCCGACCTATCTATACGACGCCGAGCGCCCTACCGGTTCCGTATGTGTTCGTCCTATCAATGAGCGCGAGTCAGTATGTAGGTCCGCGAGTCAGACGAGAGACGGGCGGTCGCGCGAACGTACACGAGCGTGGCGGCGCAGAAGCCGATAATCCAGCGGCCGAACGCGGTCGCGAATATGCTTTGGCTCGGGGTCGCTGCGAGGAGCAGGTACATCAGCCCGATCGCGGTCGCTGGAGACAGATCGCAGCAGAGCGCGTGTAAGTAGAGGTTACGGCGGGCCGAAGAGCGTGGAGGGCTACCTAGCAGGCCAGAGATGGTGAATGTCGGGAAGATGACGACGCGGAAGTCCCGGCGCCAGACCAGCCAGGTGCGATAGGTCTGGGGGAGAGAGAATGGTGCGATGTTAGTATCGCAGTCGGGGATAAACGAAAGGGGACGTACGATGGTGATGTCACCGACGAGCATGTCGAGGAATAGGAATGCACACCGGATGATCTCCGTCGTTTGGCGGAGGTCGCTGTAGAAAGCGGTCGATTTTGTAGTGTCGCCTTGGCTCACGACGGCGACCAGCAGTCGATGAATGCCTACTACCCAGTGCTAAAGTGCGCAACATCTGTAAGCCCGGTCCGTCGCGATCGAATAGGGTAGACAGGCATACCGCGGTAATCGTGACCACAAAGAAGAGATTCACCATGATCAGTGGCGACCTTCTGAGATCCCATATCAGGGAACGCCATCGCGGCCGCGGACTATCGGAAGCGTGGCGGCGGACCCAGAGGGAGAATGCAACGAGAGCGAGCACGAGGAATATACCATATAATGTGCATTCTACGCACGCAGTGACAACATTGGCGGTGAGCACTGAGACCATCGTGGCGGTTGGTGGCACCAGGGCCTGGGAAGGGTTGGTCTGCGCCTGGGCCTTTAAGTTAGGAACCCAAAGGTGAGCGCTCGACGAGCACCGGCCGGAGTACATCAGGAGAAGAAGTCGTAATAGACGCACCCTTCGCATTCCCGCCGCAGGCGCTACGAGCGCGACCAATGGCATCTCTGTAGTCTGCTACAACGGGACACCGATGTCAACGCAGGTCTAGTCATTCGCCCCAGAACTCAAACAGCAGCGTTTGATCCATTCTGCATGAGAGTGCGTCATGAACAAATCAACGATGTCTACACGCATGTCTCGTTCGAGGATGAGAAGAGCTCACCATTACCTATCTCTGTAGCATTTCCTGTATTTCCTGTAGGGATCCAGCGCATCGACAACCGCAGCGCCTCACAACATCTGCCAAAGTTGACACTCGCAGATGGCTACCGCGCGGTTGAGTGCGAGGAACGGAGAACACGGGGAGGCACTACTGTGCGTCATCCGTGGTTCCCGCTGCACTGCTTCACACAGGTGGCATCTTGAGGCTTTCGGTGATGGGATCCGCCTGCGAGTCTGAAGATAGACATCCGGGGTGACCGACCATCTGCCAGAGAGACGTCCAAGTGGCGAAAGTGTTGTTCGAGGAGGAAGATCTGCTTAATGGGTTGGGGTTATGGCAGAAAAGAACGCAGTGGTGAGACAACTGAGACAGATGTCGTCGATGATCCGAAAGCCAAGTGGGCGCGAGCAGTGTTCCCAAGTCTGGATCGAGCGTTGGGGCTACGTCCGCGAGAGCGCTTCGCAGATGTTCCATCGGAGCGCAGTGAGCAATATGCTTGCGGTAGAGTCAAACTTAACCGCCTCTCCAACACGCGAGTCATTCAACATTAGCGTTCAGTCACTACCGCGGCGCAGCGACGTTAGATTGAAGGATACAACGCCAGACCATATGGTTGCAACGCACCAGTATGGGCCAATCCTGCAATTTGCCAGTCCACACTCCAGTTCCCGGTTGCATACAGCAATCCTTGTCAGGCCTACAATTTTGTGCTTCAGGTCCGGTGTGGCATTATTATTATAGGCGAAGAAGACGGTAAGGTAGTACTGGCAAGGTCGCTAAACGCAGCGAAGAGACAAGGAAAAAGTGCGATGGAACGTCGCGAAGGTTTGCACCGACCAACGCAAGCGCCCTGGCTGTGACACATTGGTAACGCCAGTGACGTGTCACGGATAACAGACAGCGAGCTCGCCTCGTCCGACGGCCCGAGACCGTCGACCACCACCTTCATCTCTTACGTTGGTCGGAGCACGTAGGCAACCTGGAAGGTGATAAAGGATTGCCCCATACTTCATGAAATTCCTGTATTTGCAGACATCGGTTCATGAGGCAGCAGGTCGGTTTACCAGGAAATATCTGAACAGGACGTTCTAAGTTGCTGATGCATATGCACAGGATATGTAATGCCGGCAGAAAATACACATCTCTATGTGTATGTTTTCCGCACCTAAACATACTTGAATTCTTCACGAGCCACCTTCCCTTGACTCCCACCTTTGTCGCCACGCACCGCCTTTCCACCATACCAGCAGGGTGAGCAGCCCGGAGAGGATTACCAGCCCACCCCATAGCGAGTACAAACCTCCGTCACCAAGCGCGCTCTATGTTTTATTCCAGAAGTCCGTGGCTTAGCCCTGTTATCCAGACAGGGGGACGAAGCGCGAAGAATGCGCGACCGCACACGCACTCACCTGCAAGGGGACCGCGACTTCCGACGCTACGAGCGCACAGGCGCCTCGAATCGTGCTGTTCGCCGCCAAGGCCGAGGACGACCGGCCTGCGTTTGCGTCCACGATGTACGCGAGCGTGCAGGAGTAGAACGAGCTGGGCTCCGCGTGTCAGATACGACCTTCAGGAAGTCACATCGCAAGCAAATAGGTACGTACATGGAGAAAAAGCCTATCAGGAACAGCATAACGCATATTGCTGCGACGCTGACATGGCGCTCGCACACCCAGCCGTACGCGATGACGGAGGGCGGGAGCAGGAGCATGGGGACGGCCGTGCTCTCGAGACGCGTCTGTAAGTGGTCAGACACTGTAACGTATGCTAATCATCAAACTTAGACACACACCTCGGCCTGGATAACGCCGCCATTAAGCGCTTTGACTTTGCGGTAGACGTAGTCCGAGTATCGGCCTCCCAGTACGCTTCCCAGGAGTGAGCCTCAGCGGTCGCAGGCAAGTCAGATGCGTAGCCCGTAATAATTCATGCACGATGCTTACCTACACCGAAAGCGAGGAGGGTTAGCCCGATCTTTAGCGCGTCGTATCCGTACTGGCTGGAAAGCGTTCGCGAACACGTGTACGTGATGGAGTAGGTGCACGAGAAGACCAGCGCTGACAGGGACCACCGTCAACAAAGTGCAATTTTTGTCGGAGTAGGTGAAGACGGCGCACCTGAAGCAAGGAACATCGCGACGTTATTCAATCGTCGCAACACATGGACGATAGGTTTCACTGGGTTCACGTCCGATAGCGACAGCTTTACCTCCTTCAACGGTCCCGCCACCGCATCGGCATCAATCTGGACCTCCTGCTGTTTCTCGACATCGCCCTCTCTCCGGCCCTCTCCTCCATCCTCTCGTCTCTCGTCTCGTTCTTCGGCTTCACGCTTCTCCTGCTGCCCACCACTAGGCACCGCGGGGGACACGGCCGTCTCCTGCGACACACTGGACGCCTCGGACGACTGTTGCGCACGGAGGCGCCGCCTGAGCGCACTCTGGTACACGAGGCTCCGCTCGCGACGGAACGTGTCCCTGAACGGCACGAAGAGCAGGAAGCAGGCGCCGACGAAGATCGCGAGGAACCAGAACGTTGCGCGCCAGCTGAACGCCTGCGTGAGCACGCCGCCCAGGATGGGCCCGAGCGCTGGGCCGAGCAAGGGGCCGCTGTGCGATGGTGAGTAGAAGAACGCTTGGATCGTTGTTTGAATGATGAATCACCTATAATAGATGCCCATCATCGTCCCGCGCTCTCTAGGCTCGTACATGTCTGCTAATGTCGCCGCCCCCAGGGACAACACGGGGCTCAAGCTATGTGTCAAGGTGAGTCGCTGTCTCGCTCGAGGACTCGGACGGACTCACCCAATGGCTTGGACGCATCTCATGCCGATCAATATTCCTATAGACTTCGCGAGCGCACAGACCACGCATCCGACGAAACACAGCGCGGTCGAAAGCAAATACACTCTCTACCGGACACCGTTCATCAACGCACCGCAAACATCGGAAGCAATGAGCTCACCTTCCGCCCCCAGAACTCGCTGAGTGTCGTCCACACCAGCGGAACGCACCCCTGGAGGAAGATGAAGAGCGCCAAACTGAGGCTGATCGCCCCACTCGACGCGTGCAACTGCTGCTCGATCTGCGGGATCGCGGCTACGTTCCACGCCACGTCAATGGTGAGTAGTGCACAACACCCGGGGGATCATACTCACGAGTGTAAATGTTCGCGCCAAGGCCGTTCAAGACGCTCGCGCCCGTAACAGTCGCGAGGACTAGCGACTACGCCACAAGGTGAGCACGCACAGCCATTGATGAAGGATGACTGTACGAACCTTCCGCGTGCTTGACCATGTCCTAGGGTCGTCCTCGACCACCGCATGCTCAATGTCGAGCAGCACAGCGCTAACGTTCACAGGTGCGTCCACACGGGCCTCTTCCCGCCCCTTCTGCTGTCCGTTGGCCATGATAGGGCACTATGACAGGTGGCGCGTTCAACAGATTCCCCCACAGATCATGGACGAGTCAAACAAAGAGCCCTCTCGGCAAAAACGCGCTCGTTATCACACGCGCCTGAGGCGCCGGGACGTAAAATGGATGCAGCGGGGACGCCTCTCGCGCCACGGAGTCACCTGCTGTCGGGAGGTGCGCAGTGGTCGAGACATCGGATTTTCGGACTTACATACGCGCGTGTGATGTCTGCATTCTTTCCGCCAGAAGACCTCGGCAGAAGGCGGCATGACATGACTCGTACACAACGGAATTCGAGTACACACCGCGATAGCAGGGTTTTGTCGTTGGATCAGCCTACCAGACGAGTCAGTCGGGGACCGGTCGCAGAGCGCGGTACGTCGTACTCGCTTTAGAAGTCGTGGTATATGATTTGTGGGGATAGCGAGTCTGGTGCGACCTGTTGCAATAGATGACGTCAATGGCACTGGACACGCCTGCCTCGTTATGATATCCCACATGAGAAGACACAGTGCTGGGTGGTCGTGTGACACTCGAGTTGCGGAGATGGCGGGGCTAGCGCTGATCGCTGCACCCAAGCCCGACACGCGCGAACTTCCCCTGAATGTGGCTGCGTGGTGAGTAGCTTCGAATGCCGGTTGCAGCTCAGATACTTACAATCTGTGAAATGGTGGGCGAACCGGATCAATCTTCAAGGGTTGCGCGCCTTGCAGATGCCCTTTCCCTGGTCGATCGTGAGTTGTTTGTCTACACCTCATTGTATGGATTGCTCGTTGGGATGAATTGACATGTTGTTCAAAGTGGAATTTTAAGAAAGGACGCTCATGCGCCAAAGGGTACTTAGCTGACCATGCTATAAATACAGTCTGAGTGCGCGACGCTTCGGTCACTCACCTTGCTCGATCACGATGGCCTCCTACATGCACGCGCCACCGAACTCGTATCGATACCCCCCGTACGTTCCTCCAGAGCCTGGCCTGACGCGCACCAGTATGGCGTTCTGTGCATCGGTAGACCTGCTCGTCCGGAACACTGGGCGATTTGGCTCTGCTGCGGCTCTGTTCTTTGCTGCCACAACGAAGAGGCTGCAAACCTTGAACCACGATATCAGCAGAACAGCCCCGTTGCATGCCTTGTATGTACCTCACGGAGTCGGATCGGCCTTTCTTGGTTCAAATTTACAGTCCGCGGGCGGAGACCACCGCGTATTGACATCGCTGCTTTGGTCTGAGCTAGAGAGGATCAGGGGGCGGATCAACCAGTGAGCGTCATGCTGGAAATTTACCCCATGCATATGGTCTGATGCGTCTTATCCTACAGCTACGCGGCGCAGGCGAACGGGCCGAATTCGAGACAGTGCGTGTGTCAGGAGCTCATAGTAGGTTGGCAGCACGCATGGGGGTCCACCGTGATGTGTTATCTCGAGGACGTCCGATTGCTATTTTCTGAGCATGTCTCGCGGCAAATAACACAGAGCTTCGGAGCGTGCCGACCGGAAATGCTAGCACTCGTTAGGTAAGTGTTTGTAGTATATCCCTACAAATCACGACCTAAATTCACACTCACGTCATGAACTCCAGCGATATTGTAAGACGGCGTATCTTCAAGTGCGCTCATAAAACGGATGAGCAACTCCGCTACATTCTTCAGTACGAACGGGAGCTGCCCGGCACGCTAAACTGGGCCCTCCAGCATGCCTATCGGCAGGGTCACCTCCAGAACCTGGTAAAATTAGCCTCTGGCCCTGCGCAAACACACCGGAAACGTAACGATGGCGCTGCCACTAAGAACACTTCGGCATCGGCTTCCGGATCAAGCAAGCCCGACATGACACGGGACCAAGGAGGTCAAGCTCCAGAGGACACAAGCTTGAACTCGTTCGCGAGAGAGAAGACGCGGCATCATGCCAGGTTGGATAAGCCGCGCACTGCGTCAATGTCGACCTCTCAGACGTTCAACCGCACATCGACGACCTTGGGCGAGGGGGCTACCATACAACTGCAGCGTCAAACCTCCTTGGACACGCGAAGCCTGCGCGCCATCGCTCCGCTACCTTCACGCGCTCGAATTGTGCACCCTCCTCCTATGGGGCAGCCATTGACGAGAGAGCGTGACGATGGGGTCCACAGCCGCCGAATGCCTGCCGTTCAGAATAAAAAGAAGATCATAGCTCCATCCAGCGACGTTCCCGGAGAAGCAAGCGGCCGCAACCAGCAGAGAAACGCGAAGTTAGCCTCGTGCGGTCATAACAAGCAAGCGACCCGCTCAGTGTTGGAAGAATATATGTACGAACTGGAGCTGATAGCGGAAGCAGCGGGATACTTTGATATCGCCCGACTTGTGAGTGTCTCTGTGTTTGAGCGGAGAAAATCCGGCTGGAGAAGCTCATGTCTGGTTTATCTTATTTCTCGAAGCGGCTGTTGGACAACGTCATGAACGCAGTCAATTGCCACTTGATCTTCACTTTTTCCGAGGAGTTGCAAAACGGGTTTACTGCGGAGCTGATCGAACTGAGCGAGCCTCTACGACGGAAGGCGCAGGATGCTGACCAAAATGGACGACTTGCGAGAGTCTAGCAGAGGGTCGACGAGAGTGACCAGTCAATTATCACGCACCCGGTGGCTTATTTATATAACCTCAGTGGTATGCGTTCGCGATTAGGGGAGAATATAATTGGACCTGTTATAATACCACAATAATAGTTAGACGAGTACGAGACCTGCAAGTGAGTGCGATGATGCGTAACAGACGAGTCAGCATATCTCTAAGTCTCCACCAAGACATAACACTCACCTCATATTCAACGTTCAGCTATAGCAATACCGCTCGAAGCAGCTCACGCAAACCCCGTCCCTCTGCAGCCCGAGCCGCCGCCTCGCCCGATCCACCACCGCGCACGCCAAACACGCTGGCCACTCCGGGTCCTTCGTCTCCCCACTGGCCGCGAACACGGGGATGCCCTGCGTCGCAACATCGAACACCTGGTTGAGCACCGCCTGCGCCTCGTCCGCGGTGTACGAGAGCTTGGCCGTCGGGTTGTTCGTCAGCGGAGGCTCCCCGAGCGGCGCGCCGCCGTTCGCGATGTACACAACGAGCGCGTCGCCCGCGTCTGGGGCACTGTTGCACCCGAAGAACGTGGGCCGCTTCGTGAGGTTCTGCGCGATGTACTCGGCTTGCGTGGACGGCACGGGCGGGAACGCGTATGCGGGGTTCAGAAGCTGCACACGTGTTTGTGTTGCCTATGGAGAAAGTAAGTCCGCGAAGCGCAGGAGGGAGATTGGTATGCTCGACGCACGATGAGCGAACTCCCATCCGCGAAGTTATCTGCTGTGTCCGCCGGCTGGATAAAAGGATTGTGAGTGGGACGTGCGTGGTGTATACCTAACCAGAGTTACGTACCGCGTCGATCGCGATGATAGTATCCAAACCGCGCGCCCTGACGAGCAAGGGCTGTAGTGGCGTGGTCTGGCCGTCCTCACCACCGTCCACAAGTGACAAGATCGTGCTGTTCGTGTCGACGAACGTGCCCTGCGCCAAACCGAAAAACGGATTGGGGATATCGGCAGAGTCAAGTCGGAGCCCTGTCTGAGGCATCGTCTCCTCAATGAGCCCGATGATAGGCCCTATGGCAGAGCTCGCAAGCGCTGCCGCCTGGGTGAAGATAACGAAACTAGCTTCAGCTATACGACTCGGAGTGGTGCTCCGATGACGGATCACGTACCGAGGTGTTCATAGAGTTGAAGAGGTTGGACGACGCGCCCTGAATGAACGAGAGCTGGTCGAATCCGAGCGCGCACACGCTCCCATTTGGTGAACCAAGGAATTTCGTTGGCGTGAACGCACCCAACATGGGGTCGAACGAGCCGGACTCATCTGATACAACACCCGGTCAGCAAATTCAGCACCCCATAAGCGGTGTCCTCGCACTCACAGGCGTTAAACTCGTATATCGGGTTGACCAATGGCACGATCTCGTCAGGTTCGACGATGACGACAGTCCCATTCGGCCGATCGACGAGGGAATCTGCAATCACGATAGGAAACGGTTGCGCGAACGCGCGGAACGTCGATCTGCAGAAGTGCGTACGTATATCAGAAGTGTCCACAAACGTGCATCGCGAAAATCACGCGGGGCACATACACGTTCGCGATACCAGAGAGCGTGAGACCTGCGCCGTGCGCGAGCGTCGCGTCCGCGAAGTCGTCCGCAGTCGTCCCATTCACGAAGTGCCGTGCGAGCGAGCGCCCCCACACGTCCGCGACGGACACCGGGAAGCCCGCCGCCCACTTGCCGTGCACCTCCTCGACGAAGAGCTCCAGGAACTCCGCCGTCTCGTTTGAGTTGGCACCCGGCTCCAGCAGGTTTTCGGGGGTAATCCATCCGCCAAAGCCGTCGGCGTCTGCTTGTTGTGTTCCAAATATGAGGTCCGGAAGCGTCGGGAAGTCGGCCTGCGAAAGTGACGAAACCAGCCAGGAACCGCCGGAGAGGCCTGAGAGGTACTGCGCAGCCTGGAGGAGCCCGCCCAATCCGGCTTGCACTGACGACTGGTTCCGGCCGTCGAGGGCGCTGAGTACGCCCGCCCCGAAAAGAGCAGCGCGAAGGCCTCCGCCACTCGTCGCGATCCCCAGATTGGGGAAGGCACCCTCCCCTAGTCGGCCGCTCAGAATCGTATCGACGTATGCGGGGAGTACGACAGGCGTGTTCTGCTGGACGTTGCGCAAGTAGCTTGCCCAAGCGTTTGGGAGAACGAGCGATTGCCTTGCAGAGACATAGCGTGCCTCCTCATCACCAAGAGCTTGTGTGTACGCGTTGGAGCCTGCTTCGCGCACGAGTGCGGTCCCATCGGGACATGGCTGCAGTGTCGGAGCGTACTTCTGGGCAGCGAGGGCCTGAGCAGAGACGCGAGAGAGATAACAGGCACAGGCGATGAAGCAGACTCCGAAGGTCTTCATGGGTCCAGCAGGTAGGGGGAGGAGTCGAAACCCGACAGAGTGTGCTGAACCTTTATACTTTCCGTCGCGTCAACAGATCCCAGATTTGTGGTTAGCCGAACTGATAGCAGGTGATAGCGATGCTTTTACGGGAGGATTGATAGGTGTAAACTAGGCAATCAGAGGACCCGTAGTCAGCCGCTGTCAGCCGACAGTCCGCACCTTCAACATTGACGCAGCCATGCGGGAAAAGATGCCGGGTCCCACGAGTGATGCTCCGGCAAATGGAAGACGTGTATGAAAACCGCGCGGCGTGAGTGTCCTTGCCATGGCAGATCAGGGCAACACAAACCATATGCCACTTTGGCTGGCACATATCGATGGGGGTGGTTTGCAAGAATAGAAACTGGGCAGGTTCGTGTACCGAGACATCAGGTCGTCAGCACACGTCAGGGCAGTTGTCGCCGAGGGGACCGCACTGTGTAAAACCCGTCAGAACCCGCTGCAGCAATGCTGTATGTAGCAAACCTATCCTAAATTAAGCTTTCGTTGTCGAGGGAGGTCCCAGGGGCGGAGGGCGAGCGTCTGCGTCCATTTGGCGGGGGAACACATGCATCCCGTTTCGGTGATTGCATTCACACTGCATGCATAGCCTGTCCGCTACTACAGCTTTGATTCCCAAGCTTCGTCAAAATCACCGGATCGGCGCTTTGAGGAACCCAGGAACACCGTCGCGAAGCACGCACCTCGTGTGAGCAGACAAGTCACGGGAAGACAAGACGTCGCGACTGTCTGCTTGCCAGGACTCCGATTCAATTGCCTCTTCGACTGAACCCTATGTGTTACAAGGGAAGGGCGGCTGTACAATGAGACGTTGATAGATCGTAGTCGGCTTGATGCTGCGAGAGCGATGACAAACTGATGGTGCAGCACCTTGGCCGACATGGGTCAGCCTGGACCGTCTTCTCCGCGAGTACGCTGAGTGGCGGGCCCCGCTCATTACTTACGGATCAGTGCAGAATGCGTACGCGTCTTCAAACTGGCTTTCAAGAGCTGCCTTCTGGATCGTCACCGAAGCAGGTACAGCATGTCGTGCGGCACAAGCTCAGTCTCATGGCAGGTTTGATGTGCTCATCTTTCAGGGCTTGAGAAATACTCCTAGAAGTGAGGGAAATTCATGAGCAGCCGTGTGTGGCATCGTCAATCCGAGCTCAAATTTACACTCACACCTAGGCTTCGGGAAAATGAGACATTTCGCGAGTGTGGCAGCTGATGAGATACAAGATGCCGGACTCATCACCGGAGTGTGCGTGCATGAGTACTTACCAGGGCACGCCGGGTTATGCGTGCCTAGGAATGTTGCATATCTCTACGCCGACTCGAACCTCCGGAGGTAGGGGGGCCTGCTAGGGGCTGGTGATGGCCGAACGACTCGAAGTGGGCTTGGTGGATTCACAATATTATTGACAATAAGCCCCCGAGCTGTGGTGGCCTGAAAGCCGTGTTGGGAATATCACTTTTATCAACTACGAGGGGGAAACGGATGTATAGCCCAGTGGTAGAGGCCACGACTGTAGAGCGCGGGGTCCCGTGTTCGAACCAATGTGAGGGTTGCTTCCCTCGCCTGAATCCTTTTTCTTCCCCGTTTGAATGAATTATTGGCAAACTCTTCGAAGACTACGCGAAGGATGAGTTACACCATTGCGGTAAGCGTAATTACTTCTTAAGACATAAGACATAGACTGATGCACATTCCTGGTTGACGGAGAGTGGTTCTGGTTCTGTCATGGATTTACAACTTTATAGTCCCAGCGAACGTATCTGCGTCCCCCACCCGCGGCGCAGCCTTTGCGCCGCAGTGCCACTGCATCCTCTCCGCCTGAACCAGGGCACGACCCGCATCCACGTCGAGCCGGACAAACTGTGGCGATCCACCCGGGGCACGAGTGATGTGCCAGTACACCTCCTTGTCCCACACACGGAAACAGAGGTACTCCAGCGTAGGCGCCGCCTCCGCGAGACGCGCCGCCCAGAACGCGAGGAACTTGCCGTGGAACTTGGACAGGATGGCAACGTGCTCGGCGCTCGGCGGGTCCCGCAGCTCGTCCTCGTACTCAGTGTCCACGGCGTGCACGCGGCACGTGAAGAACTGGACGGACATGCCCGCCAGCAGGTCTACTATCGCTCTCTATAGACAAGATGAAGCCGCGTGCGTCCGGCTAGTAAGAAATCGAACACGATAGGAAGTGGGCCGCACGCACCTGATAATGTATGGGCTCGCCGGACATGCCCCACAATCCAAGATCTATCCCAAAGTGGGTGATGTCGTGCACTACGTCCTCGAGCACCCCGTTGAGCAGGCGTGAAATATCCTGGGGAGAGAATTTGGGGTCAAGCAGAGGCCATTGTTCTTTCTTGAATCCCAAACGCAGGACAATCCGCTCGGGGCGTATGTCCTCGATAGTCGTGCTGAGACGACCTTCGGGCAAGTCGACAATACAGATTATGAGGTCCAGCCTCTCCACAGGACAGTCCAGCGCAAGCATGTACACGGAAATGAGGTCGCCATAAACGTGGTCGAGATCGGGCCATATTTCCTGGACCTCGTCGCGGTTGTGGAGGTATACGCTCTCCACGGAAGCGGGGGTCTCCAGATATTCCAGTGCCCAGAAGTCTATCTCCGGGCTGACAACTTCCAGGACACGCAAGTTCGGGAACGCGTTCACGAGTACGTCGCGTTCGCATACGCGGCAGTCCATCATCGCGAGCGCAGTCACGCGGGGAAAGATGCTCGTGTCGGGACCGGAGTTGACGTAAGCGTCACTGGTGTCGAAGTGATAGAGGGACACTCTTTCGAGCGTGGTACGATGCGGCTTCAGTACATCCAGGGGATCACAGAGGTGTGGTCGATGAGGTGGGGGTAGCTCGACTTCGGGATACTCGCCGTCGATGTGGATGTCGACCAGCGGCGACCGGATATTGCTGACAATTTCGTGTGTCCGCAGTCCGAATGAAGACAGGTACAACCGCCGCAAGGTTGTGAGTGCGGAGAATGCTTCCGCGAGGCGTACATCGTACTCCAGGAGTTCTTCGCAGAACGCTATCGAGAGGTCCTGCAGGTTCAGGAGTAGGCCGACGACGGGGACGAGAAGCGGGGCGCCATTTATGGGCTTGTAATCCTCCAATTCAACGTCCGAGTCCCAGTCCAAATCGAGCCGGAGCCTGGGGATGCAGATCGATAGCCTTTCAAGCTGGGAGGTGCCGCTTGAGTAATGACGCTGTATGAAGCGACAGAAGGAGACGAGCTGTTCGTCCGTAGTGATCGACGCGCCCATGCGCAGCAGGATACCCATACCTAGAGGGTATAACATTCGGGCTGAGCACATGAAGGCCGAGACGTCCGATTGTTTGTCGAGGAGAGTGACGATAGCGTAGTATACATCCTCGTTGAGCGTATGAGTCTGGTGAGACACCGATATGCCATGACTGTAAAGGTATCAGCACGGACATTTCGTACCGGATATCTGCTACCGTCCAGGGATGTGACTTACTTGTCAAACGTCGCAGCCATGCCAGCTCTGTTCCAAAGCCTGTGTGGGTGTCTCGAGTATAAAAGATATGATTCGGGTTTTTGGTGTCTACAAAAGCACCGCAGTCAGATCTGGAGTCGTTGATGAGGGAGAGGGGCGGCAATGTCGAGCGAGAAAGATTAAATCGATGTACTTATCGCAGAATCGCAGCAGTCCCACGGCAACGACTGACAATGGCTTGACCACTCGGATACGAAATCTGGATGTTTCTGGCTTGGAACGGTACCTATAAGTGTCGCTTTTGTTTGGCAAGTAACCAAGGAGGTGAGCTGTCAGCGTGTCAAATCCACGGAGCGCCGTGAGCTCGAAGCGCTGAACGTGCGTGCGACCGTGGAACCCTCACAGGAAGAGCTCGTACATGCGTAGCGCCGACCCGCCCAGGCCGCGCCAGGCGTAAAGATGGCGAAGTAAACTCCTGATAGTTTTGACGCGACGAACACGTGGAAACATGAACCATTGATCGAATACGATCAGCACTCTCAGCCATATCCTGCTGTGCCCGAGTCCCCACACACATCCTACTTGTTCTTCGCGAGCGGGCTGATCTGGGCCAACCCCGGGAAGAACGACGTCGGGATAGTCCTGCAAAAGACAGACCGTCAGCACACACATCCACGCTCACAGCAACTAGCACTCACGGCGTCGGGATCGCCGCGTTCGTCGCGAAGCCGGCGGTGAGATCGCCCGCCATAGTCGTCGGGGTGGTGTACCCGGCGGGCTGCGTTGCGGACTGGGTGACGATCGCGTAGCTCGTGTGCGACGAGCCGCTGCGGATGCACGACACGCCCGAGCCGAACGCGCTCTCGCACTTCACGACCGCCTTGTTCGTCTGCGACCACATGTTCACGTTATCCAGTGTGATGTCGAAGCACGGTGCGCCGTCCGCGCAGATGAGTTGGATTGGGGGGCGCGCCACGCCGTCCACAACGTTTCCGTCCCAGTTCTGTAGAGTCGGAGAGAAATGAGGAACGGCGGCGCTGTCAGTACGTGTATGGAAGAGAAAGAGAGGGTGCTCGTACCTGGAAGGTGATGTTCGAGAGCTGGACGCCGGCCCCCGTGCCAGGGGTCTGCGAGGACCAAAACTGGTTGATGTTGAGGCCGTATGCGACTCCGCGAGAGATGAAGTTCTGGAAGAGCACGTTGCGCACGTAGCCGGAGCCCAAATTGCTCTTGATCATGAACGCCTGGTTTCCACCGTTGGTGTAGACATTCCTGTAAGCATGACACCGTCAGAGAGGCGCATGCCGCAGCACTTGAGGCCGGCCTTACCGGTAGACGATGTCCTCAATGGCCGTTCCGTCGGAAAGACTACCGATAGCACTGCCTCCAGACTGGTTGCACCAGACTAAGCAGGCATTCAGCATCTCGATGCACCGAATGTAGTGATGGATAACTTACTGCGCTCGACCAAAATGTTGTTGGCCGGGGACTGAAAGAGTAGATTAGCAGCCAGTTCGGGTTGATAGAGGTGGAGAGCATACCTTCACAGTGACGCACTCGTCGCGGTTCGTGACCTCGACGTCATGGATCCAGTGGTTTGTACCCCAAACGTCGACGCCATCGGAACCACCCAGGTTACCACCTGTACGCGCGCGGTCAGCTCTCTCAAAACACATCGGCTTCGCGGGCCACGCACCGCGGATAGCCATGTTGTACACCTCTCCGTTAGAGCCAGCCTGAATTACGAGATGGAACTCGGGCGCTGACGTCACTCGTGTTAGGGCATGCTCGAATGGCGCACTATAACTACACTCACAGTCAACAAGGATGAGGTCATGAACGGACCAGTTCGTCGACGTGACCATGCGGATGAGGCGCGGTCTGTGTGCAAAAATATCAGCCCCGAACCGCATGCGTTACTCCGAGAACGCGAGTTACCCGGCGTTGCGGGCCTGGTACCCAAGACCTTGGATGCCGCCGGCGCTGTTGGCCGAGTAGAACTCGAAGTCGTTCGCGTTCTGAATGGCGATCATGTTGCCACCGGTCGTAGCTACGGGGAATCAAGAACAGAAGGTGCGTTAACATTATATAAAGGTGATAGTAGACATACATACCAGCACGGGTGATCAGCCCATCCAAACGGAAAGCCCATTTGGTACCACCACTGAGGGTAACCCAGGTCTGCATCTGGTAGTTACCTAATGCGCGAACGAGAAGTCAGCTTAGGCCGTCACCCCTGTACAATCTAATCCAAACATACCGGCAGGCACATAGAGGGTTGACCCCGAATGCTTGAGCACACAGTTCTATCACACATTGTGAGTGGAATGAAGGAAAGAACCAGACAAACACTTACAGTGAACGCGCTGCTGATGGCAGGGCCGATGTCGGCCGAACCGATGGCACCTCCGTAGTCGAGGACACTACAGATGGTGGCCTGCTTGGCCGACAACGCGGTGGTGGGCCCAACGTGTCCGGTCAACTGCGCAGTGGCAGCGGGGACGAGCAGCAACGACGCGAGCAGAGACTTAAAACCCATGGTGGACGTGCGGCTTCGGGGTACCAGATCGTGGAGGGAACCTATATGTGCTCGACGAGCCCCACCTACGTCGAACGGGCCGCATTAAGTACCCCACGGGGAGAACTGCGAGCGGAATTGTCGGGACAACCCACCAGGAGTTCTCCGAAGCGTACTCAACGGTCACGGAGTCCGCACCCGAGCCATCTCCGCCGGATCGGGCAGGTGATGGACCCAGTGCGTATAACCGCACGCTACGCGCGACTTCGAAGGACATGTGCGCAGTGTGCGCACGCAGACCGACTCTCGGAGCCGCAGCGTAAGCCGGCCCTATTCTATCCGGATGCCTAGTTGCTAGGACACATGGTGCGTACCAACCATGGGGATCGCGCGTCACAGAAGAGGAAAGCGTGAGCTCAAAAGTACGTGTAAGTACTTGAACTGCACACGTGAGAGAGGGCGCCATGCGGACGAGTGCGTAGAAGGAGGTCGAGCAGTGGAGACTTCGAGCAGCATCATATTCGTTTTCAGGTGAGCCGGCGGCTTGGGACGCAAGAAGACGCAGGGACACATGCTCGCCAGACCGCTCGAGACGCATCTGAGAGGGGAGGAAGAGCAATAAACGGCGAAATTTAGGCGTCGAGACTGCTTCTGATGAGGAGACGGTACGGCTGCCGTTGGCAACACCGTCATCGTCGATGTGCTCGGTTACACCTACAATAATTATAATGCAACCCTGTGGTTAGTTGGTCGTGTTTCAGATCCGTCTAGGCATCCTTTGCAAAGTCGGAATCTGACTTACTCACCAACCAGCAGTAGACGTCATCCCATCATCGTTCGATGGAGCGTGAAGGACGTTGCAGCGTGTAGTTCGCATATGACCGCCCCGCGTGAGTAACACGGTGCGGGACAGTCGATCTCTGTGGCCCGGAGATGCCGCCGCCCATATTGCGAGGTCATACGGCAGGCACACCGCGGTAGATCTTGCCCCTGGAACAGTCGTGTTGTTGTCGTGGTATGCAGATGATGGCGGTTAGCGACGAGGAAGAACATGGATCGGCGTTGGGCAAGGAATCGGGGGAAAGACAATGCTAAGATGATTCGTGTACAAACAAACCCAGGCTACTTATGGTAGTGTAGCCAAGTGGTTACGGCGTCACGTTTAGGCCTTTCAGACTACCACCGTGATGGGTTTCCCGCGCGAGTTCGAATCTCGTCACTATCAATGCTTTTTGCGGGAGCACCGGGTACAGTGTATGAGATTCGGAATCAAGGAAGTGAGAAAGCGAGAATATACAGCACCCCAATCACATAGCGACCTTCTTTCCCTTGACATCAGCCTTCTCCTCATAGCTCTCCTCCTCATCGTCATCGTCGTCGTCTTGTTCTGCGCGGTCGGGGTCCCACTCGTTTATCAACCGAATGCGAACGGTGCCGTCGTCCGATCCCGACGCGAGCGTGTCACCATCGGGACTGAACGCCACCAGCGTCACCTTGTCGTCGTGCTCGTTGAATGTCGCGAGGGGCTTCCCATTTTCGGCACGCCACAGGCGAGCGGTGTTGTCGCACGACGCGGACGCGACGTACTTCCCGTCGGGCGAGAAGCACGCGGTGTTGATCATGCTCTCGTGCCCGTCGAGCGCGAGCTTGCGCTCGCCCGTGAACGAATCGCACAGGCGCATCGTCGAGTCGCTCGACGCGGTGAGCACGCGCGTGCCGTCCTTGCTGAACGCGACGTTCCACACCGGGCCCTGGTGCTCGTGGACGTTGACGAGCATCTCGCCCGTCTCGACGCTCCATACGCGCGCGCTCGCATCGTCCGAGCACGTCACCAGCCGGCGGTCGTCCGCGTCGAAGTCCGCATGCCACAGCATGCCCTTGTGCCCGCGCAGCACCGCGTGCGGCGTGCCCGCCTCGACGTCCCACAGGCGCGCGCAGTAGTCCGCCGCGCCCGATGCGAGCCAGCGGCTGTTGTGCGAGAAGCACACGAAGGTGACCATCGCCTCGTGGCCCTCGAGCACGGTCTTCTGCTCGTACGTGTCTGCGTCCCAGAGACGCACGCTCATGTCGTCCGAGCCCGACGCGATGAACTTCCCGTCTGCGGACCACGCCATCGCGTGGATCGTCTCCTCGTGCCCGGTCATCGTTGCGAGGCACTCGCCCGTCTCGACCGACCACACCATGACGTTGCTGTCCGCGCCTGCCGACGCGAGCCGCTTATCGTCGGGGGAGAACGCAAGCGCCCAGACGACGTCGGTGTGTGCGTCCCATTTGCGGATGATGGTCTGGTTGGACGTGTCCCAGATGGCGATGGAGGTGTCGTCCGAGCCGGTCGCAAGCATTGTGCTATCATGCGAGTACGTGAGTGACGTGACCGCGCCTATGTGGCCGTTTGCGGCGGGCTGCCACTGCAGGACAGGCATCTTCTGCTCTCTCCTCAGTCGAGCTTCTTCCTCCGTAAGCCCCTCGAACTCATCGTCATCGTCCTCTCCGTACTGCGCGCCCGCGGGGGCGCTCGATGTCCCTTCCTCTTGGGGCGACTCCAGCTCACCAACGGTAGCCTCCGCCGACAGGTCGGGATCGAATGGCGCTGCGGGTTGGGACTCATCCGACGCTTCTGGCGGAGGTACCGGCGGGATGTTCTGCAGAGGCGCAGGATGGACTTCGTGCAGAGCCTCAGCGTCATGTGCCTGCTGAGCGGTGTCCTCCGCGGTCCCTGCAACAGGCTCAGGCGCCGCTTCTGACGAGGATTTGAAATACATCAACGAGGTGATCACAGCAGTATACAAACTGGACTACTGACCGATCTGAGGGACGCCCTCGTCCGCGGGAGCGGAAGACACGACCTCAGCGAGGCCTCCTTCGGCTTCCAGCAGTACGCCGTGGCTTACGTCTACTGTTCCAGCTTCGGAAGACAAGGCGCGGAGAAGTTAGCCTAAATGACAATATGTTAGAAGATGGCGAAAGGCACCTCCGTGGTCGTCGACTTCGATCGGCGGCTGGATTTCATCGAGCGCAGCGGGTATATCAGACGGGAACTCGCCTCCCTGCGATGTCTGGGTAGTCAGTCACATCCACTGGCGAACATATTGAGGAGGGAGCACGAACATGGAACAATGCATATAGATCCATGTCGCAAGCAATCGCTATTTCGGCCTCAGAATGCTGTTAGGCGCATCAGCAGGGTTCGAGGATCAAACTAGACGGCGAACCCACCTCAAGGATATAATCAAGGAGAAACTCTACGGGGTCGTACGGCTGGAGGTGTAAATCAGTTGAGCATAGTGCATGCGAATCCGCGCGTGCAAATCGCACTCACCATGTTCGAGTTTGGCGGGTCGTCGGAGCCCTCATCAGACGAAGGATACCCGGTTTGAACAGCGTCGTTATGCCCCCCATCGTTAGGATCCTCGCCGTCGGGCAGCTCGTGCGGTCCAGCCCCAGCTCTGAGGAACAGGCGGAACGGGAGCCGTCTCCTGACCTTGTAGTAGTGGAAGAAAATGCACTGGTTATACGGGAGGTCGGCCGCCGCCGTCCCTTTCCTATCAAGCTCGTGCGCCGGAAAGTTGGCTGCGCGCACAGGAGGACCCATGCTTGAAGGACCGTAGTTGGACTCCTTCCGCACCGCATCTTCCGCGCTGATCGACATCGACATGTCGACGCTGCCGATGCTGAGCACCTGGGCGTTCAGGAACCCCGTCTTCTGGCGGCTGCTCCCTTCGAACGCGCTGCACGCCCAGCGCGTCGTCTTCGTCGTGCCGCTCACGAAGAAGATTTCGCTGGGCTTCAGATCCAGCCCTCGAGTGTGGTTTGCGAAGTCGAACCAGTGTTCAAAGTGCTCGCGTAGGTACGCTGATACGCGATTCTTGTTCGAGATATAGATGGCGATACCGGGCGTGTCGAGCAGGAGGAATGCACCTGTTTTACTTTTTGTGACAAACTTGTAGCCCACACCCGCGGAACCCAGATCTTCGAGGCTGCCATAACGTCAATCACAAAAGCTGCCGCACAGTGATAGCCACAATGTAACAAGACTCACCCCGGCACCCCGGCGCTGGCGCTGGCTTCCATACGGATTTGAGCGACGCTTTCAGAGGAGATGACTTCAGCCCTGAGTCGCTCAAACGGCTTGGTTATGAAGGTGTCCGGTAGTTCAAACACCTTGAATTCTGGAGGAACGCCGTTCTTCTGGTGTTCAGGATCATCAGGCTTCATCGTGTTAAATAATTCCCAGAATCTGCCGTATTTGAGGTGCCCGACCACCCCTAGCTCGAGTTGGCGGTTCCCGTCCTGAGGATTGCCGTCCCAGAGAGGATAACCGTATCCAGCCGAGTACAGTTTCTGGCTGTAGACCTCATGAATTGGATTAGGAGTGGGAGGCATCCGAGCTGAGTCGGGTTCACAGAGGTAACTTGCAGGAGCGAGATGGATGTGAGAGAGAACGACGCAGCGAACGCCACCGCTGCGGCCCAGTAGTCGCCCAGCCAGATACACCCCGATGAGTATACAAGATCAGATGCTACGGATAGAGCAGCAAGGCCGTGCTCGTTCGCACGAAGAAGGACACATGCTGTGTATCAGCGTGTGGAGATCGATAGACGCGAGAGAAGTGGCAGCTGTACTGGCGGGCGGACTTCCAGTTGCTTCCGAGAAGGACGTTGAATGGGCACGCGGTGGGCGGTGTCCCGTTTTCTGGGGTGAACCAAAGCACGGCAGAGCTAGACGACTTCATTTCTGTTCGCGACACACAGTATTGATCAAGAGTGACTGAAGTTGCCAGCCGGGACGATGCGTAAGTGTCTGTAGTGCTCTGAATCAACGTATGAATGCATGAGCCAGTGATCCATGGCAGTTCATTTTGCGTACCAGAGTTCTCTTCTTCCTGCGGCCGTCCGATGGATCAGCCCGAGTTTCTATCTCATCGTGGTCGCTGGACGAGGGTGAGCCTCTGTCGGAGACGCATGTTGAACTTGCGGTGTATCTTCGTCGACCGTCAGTGGTGCGTTTGCAAATCAAAATTGCCTGCACACGAGCGCTTTACAGGACACCATAGCCAAGTGGTTACGGCGACAGATTAGAACTGCTTCGGTGAGTATCTGTTTCACTTTGTGAGCGCAGGTTCGAGCCCTGCTGGTGTCGTATCGTTTTACTTCCACTTCATGTCAACCGTTCCATACAATCGCGCTGGGGAATGTCGGAGTACCAATGACGTGGACACTTGTGGACAGCGAGCGGGAAGAGGGACGTGCGAGGATACGATGAGTGACCTTCCGCTGTGGTCATCCGCTCGTTCTTGGACGTCAAATTCTCCTCGACAACATGGCAACTTGAAACGCCGCTTGCTCTCAACTACCGCGTCCTCCTCAAACTCGCTGATTTGTTCATCCAGTAGACTCGGCCTAATTGAGATAAAATTACCATGCTTTCGCGAGGTAAGCGACCCGGCAGTGAGCGCCTTTACGTAGTACGTGTCAAATCTCAGAGATGTCGCCGCTTTGCTCACTCCCACAACCTCCGCGAATCCTCTTCACATTGCCTGGCTCCAGATAGGCTACGTCCTATACGAACTACTCGCTCTAAGAGCGACGCCTATAGGTGAGCATTCGCGAGAAGTCTGCTATATTGACGACTGGCCGCTGAAGGGCATTGTTGCTTCCGGAGCAGCCCCAGCGACGCGTTCTTCCATTCACTCTAACGCGTATACAAGAGCTAGAGACATTCCAAACACTCAAGGGTCTCGTAACACGCTCTAACACGCTCACAAATCGGACGATGACCTTGCAGCCGCTTCGTCTCAGCCAGGACATACTCCTAGAGCTTTTGCAACATGTTCCACGCCAGTCAGGTGTGGCCACCCTGATGCGCACCTGCAAGACACTCCGAGATGCCGGCACCAGGATTCTCCTATCTCACGGGGTGACAGTCGGAAACGCCACGCAGCTCCGCTCGTTTTGCGCGTTCATGCTCCGTGACGTCTCCGCTCGCGCGCCTCATCTCAGACAGCTCTACCTTAAGATACGGCTCGAATGTGATCTGGATGACGAGCCCGAGGATGACTCCGATGCGGCGAACGACTATTCCGGCTCCACGTTGTCGAAGGACACCTTGAGGATGCTCCTCACGGTACTACAGCAAACGACCAACCTCGAAGACCTTAGCATCGACTCGTGCGAAGAGCTCCTCGAGCGCGAGAACAAGCTCGTCAACGCCATCATCGCGCTCGAGCATGTCCACCGCCTCCAGGTCCACTCTGTCGGGGAGCTCGCCGGGCGCGTTCTCGATAACATCAAGTCCTCTTTGATCGAAGTCGACCTGCACTGCTACACCGAGGAGATGTACGATCCCTCACCCCTCATACCCATGGTAGAGCGCCATTGCAACACTCTGGAGAAGCTCAGCGGCTGGTACATCGAGCTCGGCGACGCAACCGTGCAATTCCCGCGTGTGCGCGCGCTCGCGCTACGCTCCTTCTGGGGACTCGACACGGCCACCCTCCACCGGGCGTTCCCGAACCTACAGTATCTGGAGCTCAGCGTCCCTGCAGACCTCGACGCCGAGCCCACGCGGCAGGAGAACGCAGCTGCCAACAACCACCCGTGGGGCGTCCTCCGTCGGCTGTGCGGCGCCGTCGATGCCCTGTACGCCCTTGGGACCGCCCCGCACGCGAAGGCCGTCGAGGTGGACTGGATCGGCTCTTACGACGCCATAATGCTCGCTCGGCTCCGCACAACACTCTCCGAGGCGCGTGCCTCTCACGCAGTGCTTCATCTGGGGTACGGCTACGGGTTCTCTTTGCCCGCTGGAAAACTACCGGACTTGCTCCCCCTCGGAGGCACGACGATCACTCATCTGGCGCTGGACATCTGCACAAGCTCCGTGATGGGGACTGCAGACGACATGCTGGTGCGTTGTTCTACAAGTTCGCGTGCATGCCCCTAGCGCATGGCTAACATTCACGCAGTCGGATACAGTCTCCCTCCTCCGCCAACATAAATTGAAGTTTTTCGTCCTCCGCCTCCACGACTCTCTGGAAGGTGCGGAGGAGCCTGCGTCCACGCAAGTCGGCCGGCGAGGCAATAGTGGCAATGAGGACGTGAACACATCTGCACGCGGGTCCAAGTTCCCGCGAGTCTTTGGACGTCCGCGCCACGAGAAGATCATCCGAATGTTCTCCGAAGCTGATTCATCTCTCAAGCACGTTGCGCTAGACGTGAAGGGTACGGAAGCCACGTACTGGGCAGTCGAGCAAACGGAAGCGGGCTTATTGGTGGAAGAACTTAGCTCCGCGGCCGGACGGGCGCTGGTTCGTGCGGAGGAGCTGGCGTCGACAGACAGGAGCTTGGGTCTTCAATACGTCCTGTGAGGCCTACAGCCTAGTTGCGGTGCTCATCTCCATGCTTGGTATTGCATCGTACTAATTTGCCCATGTTTGAAAGCCTTGTTGCGCTAACATCAAGAACATTGTGACTTGTCAGCGATTGCTTGGTGGGCATTTCATTGGCCTGATCCTTCTAAGAACAAAGGCGATGATACTTGAGCATCCTGACGACTTTGGACGTTCAAGTCCTCGCATCTCTAGTTTACTCTAGTTGTCTATCCCGAAGACAATGATGACGCAACTACTTAAATCCTTTTTGCAGGTTTGAGAAGGCCTCTTGGTTTGAGAAGGCCTCTTCATAGATCGCGCAATCTTCAGCGAGTCGTCGAAAACTCTATCAAAGACGATTGTACGGTAGGCTCTATCATCGCCACTACCGGACTCATAGTGCAGACTTGGAGGCCAGTACCTAACTTCTGAGATTGACAGGGAAGGCTGCTGTAGTGCGGTGAGCTGTATGAACCCATGAGTGCGTGGATCAAAGCAGTATCTGTGTCCTGCTTGCTAGGTAAGTTATCTTAGAGCTGCTGTCTACCGTGGCTTGTTTAGTCTCACATGCGTCGCGCCACCGCATATTCCCCAGAAACAATGACAAAGGCCACACCCCAGCTGTCCTATTGTGTCAAACGCCTGTGCCAAACGCCTGCACCAAGCCTAACGAGACGACGAGTATCACCTACAAGAGCTGCGTTCTGTTGCTGCACAACCACCAACTCCCACAATTTCTTTCCCGTAATCTGCTGCAAGCTAGCTCAGACGCGCTCTATATCGACTGACAAGTGCTCACACACGGTATGTGATCCTTAGCAGCCAGTATGATGTCGAACTTGAACTGACGCGCCACTCAGCGATAACGCCGCTCACTCGCTCAAGTACCGCAACGCCATGTCGCTAGACCTGGACATCTGCGAGATGGTGCTGGATCATCTCGATTCTCCCTCCGACATATCCGCGTTCATGCGCTCGTGCAAGCTGTTCTCCATCGTGGGCGCGCGGCGCCTCCTCCGCCAGGCTGGGGTCACGCTCCGCACAGCGGCACACCTCGACTCCTTCTGCCACTTTATGCTCCGGGACCTTGACAAGCGCGCCACAGCCCTCCACCACCTCTTTCTCTGTGTCGAGCTCCGGATTGCGGATGTCGATGATACGGAGGCCGCAGAGAAGGAGGAGGAGGAGGTGCGCAGGGGCGCCGCGCTGCTCGTCCGCGTGCTGCGTCGGGCGACCGGACTGCAGCACCTCGCCATCTACTTCTGCGAAGAGCTGCTGCAGCGTGAAGAGGCCCTCGTGGACGCGCTCGTCAGCCTCGAACACGTCAAGCAGCTCATCATCTACTCGTACGGCATCCGCGCGCACGACGTCATCACCGGCATCCGCTCGCCCCTTGTGCATGTGAACGTCGACTGCTACACGAGCACCGAGCATGACATCGACCTTGCGCAGACACTCGCACGGCACCGTAACACGCTCGAGACGGTCACGGCGTGGGGCGTCAACCTCACGGCCCAGTTCCTCGCGCGGGACGGAGAACACAACGGGATCGTATTCCCGCGCGTGCACGCGCTGAGCATCCGCTCGCCCATCGCGCTCGACCGCGCCGCGCTCATGTACGCCTTCCCGAATGTGCGCACCTTCGAGGTCGCGGGCGTGCGCCTGGACGCGCGGGACCCTCGAGTGACCATCAGACAGCTGGTCGTTGCGAACCACAGAGTGTATGCGGCGTGGGCCAAGCTCGATCACTTGTGTGGCGACGTGTACGCGCTGTTCATGCTTGGGCTGGGCCGATACGCCGTGCGGCGCGTCGACGTGGAGTGGGACGTGAAGGGCTGGGACTCCCTGCTGGCCGGTCCCCTGATACGCGCAAGACCGACGCATCTCGTGCTGCACTGGGGCTTCAAGGGCGGTGACCTGGACTATTGGGAAACGGTGACTAGACTGCTTAGAAAGTTCACTCGTGATGTGACGCACCTCGGGATCGATCTGCATCCGAAGTCGCATGAGCTAAGTGACACTATGGTGCGTACGCGTCTTCTCGCTGTGTTTGCTGTTTGAGTTCTCACCTCAGCGCTGCGCTACAGAATCCGCTGATGATCGTGATGAAGGGATTGAACCTTGCGTTTGTCGCAGTGCGGCTGCGCGCGCTCCCCCAGGGAGGCCGCAGATCTTTGCTCTCCATCGAGGGTTCCGACGGGGAAATTGAGGCCTCCGAGCTCTCGGACTGGGTGGACAAGATGGCGGAGGCGTCGCCCGCGCTGCGGTATGTCTCGTTCGATCTGGATGGACACCCACCGTGCTATTTCCAGGTACTCGCGCCGGAGAGGGGCCGGGAGCTCACCGTGGGGCTGCTTGACCCTCATGAGGGGGAGGCCGTCGTGCGCAAGGAAGGCATGGAGTGGCGGCGTCGCGAGCCGGAGCCGCCACGGTTTGAGGAGAGGAGTATTCCTCCGGCTGAGGCGGGTCCATGGGTGTTGAAAGGTCGGCGTTTTGTATAGCCCTGTGCCGTATTAGTCATGTTCAATACCTGAGTACTGAGGGAGTAATTAGTCCAGTAGGGTCGTTGCTAGCGCGATAAAAGTACTCTACTCTTCGCGATGGAAAAACAAATGAGGTTCCACCGTGGTTCGAACACGGGACCCTGTGGGCTTCCAACAAGTAGAAATGAGAGTGTTTGATACAATGCATTTCCGAAGACCAACTTTGCGGCGGTAACTATGGATGGTGTCGTGTCGTAAATGTTCCTCTTTGGTTCCTCTAGTCGACTAAGCTCACAATGTATTCCAAACCCAAGCTCCCTACGCAACTTCGCCCTGCTGCAGCGGCCTGATGTATACCGTCCCGTCGTGTGCGCCGGACGCGAGCGTCTTCCCATCGGGCGAGAATCGCACGGACGTGACGTTGTCGCTGTGCTCGTTGTACGTCCGGACGAGCTTCCCGCTCTCCGCGTCCCACAGTCGCACGGTGTTGTCCGACGACGCGGACGCGATGTACAGGCCGTCCGGCGAGCACGCGACGCTGTTGATCATGTTGTCGTGCGCGTCGAGCGAGAGCCGGCGCTCGCCCGTCCACGCGTCGCACACCTTCACTGTCGTATCCGACGAGCCCGACACGACACGCATCCCGTCTGGCGCGAATGCGACGGCCCACACAGGCCCGGTGTGCTCGTGCAGGTTCACGAGCACCTCCCCGCTCTCCGTGCTCCAGATGCGGCAGCTCGCGTCGTCCGAGCCCGTGATGATGCGCCGCCCGTCGCGCGAGAACGCCGCGGACGAGACCATGCCGCGGTGCCCCTTGAGCACCCACTTCGGCGTGCGGCTGTCGAGGCTCGCGACCTCCCACACGCGGCAGACGCTCTCTGTACCGCCCGTCGCCATCATCGTCCCATCCGCGGAAAAGATGATGAAGGCGACGACCGCGGCATGGTGTGTGATGTCGACGCGCGCGAGGTTGCCCACGTTCCACATGATGAACCTGCCGTCGCTCGCGCCGCCGAGTAGTTTGTACCCGTCGGGGGTGAAGGCGAGAGAGCGAACGAACACGCCTGGGTCGACCACCTGCGGCTGTTGGTCCAACGCCTCGACTTGCCAGAGCTTGATTGGCCCGTAGTCGGACGCGGATGCCAAAATGGCGGCGTTCGGAGAGAATGCGAGTGCGGAAATGGTGTCGTCGTGCGCCGCGAGCTTTCGTTTCACAGCGCCCTCGCGCGCGTACCAAATGATGACGCATGTGTCCTCCGCCCCGGTTGCGAGGTACCGGCCGTCCGCGGAGTAGGCCAGCGCGGTTACAGAGCCGTCGTGCGTCGAAGGGTCTCCGACAACGTGCCGTGCTGCTTCCTTGCCCTTGTCAGGTACTTGAGGGTCTTGTGGACCCGTAAAAGGCTGAAGCTTATCATCATCTGCACCACCGCCCATATATGCAGCTGTTGCTCTAGTTGTGAAGATCGTAGTGAACATGATGTGTACACTACGTACGCTGATGGTCAATGTCCATGTCTTCCGGAGGATTACCGCCATCCGGTCCGTCACCGGGAGACATCACTTGTTTCTTGCTCGGGGAGCCTTCGGCCTCTGCTTCTCCGACCCGCTTGCGGCTGTATGTGAAGTCTACAGACAGCGTACCCACTGGAAAGGATCCTGTCAATGCAAGTGAAACTACGAACGAGGGAATATTTACCATTGTTTTCATCCAACTCTACGGCGGGTTTGAGCCGCCTCAGTTCCGCTGCCACATCGTCTGGGAAGTCCTGATCCTGCGCAACCCCTTCCAGCAAGAACCCCAACACCATAGACACGGAGAAAACACACCTTGAATAGTGCATACAGATCGAGATCAGACGCGATCGCTAGCTTGACCTCTTGATTCTGTACCATCGCTCCATTAGTTACGAGCTCCCAAAAATCAACGAGGGGCCGAACTTACCGTTTCGAGTATGTAGTCTAAGACATCTTTTACCGGGTCATAAGGCTATGTCGGTCAGCATTTGCACATCCACGACTCCAGCAGGTGTGTACATACCGTATCATCCGCCGACGACTCGAATTCTAGCTCGTCTGCACCATCATCATCTTGAGCGAGCACCTCCGAGCTGGAAAAATCGTCGTCTGCCTTCGGCGGTAGCTCATGCGGCCCCGCCCCGGCTTCCATGCGCTCGAACAGGAAGAAACGCCGCTTGGCCTTATAGTAGTGGAAAAATATACACTGGTCCGCCTTTTCCTGGACTCCATACGCGGCCTGTGGCACTGAAGGCAAGGTCATACCAGGCGGCATGGTCTGGGTACCGTACGCGGGGAACGAAGCTGTAGACGGCGCAGCGGCCGTCCCATAGGACGACACGGACGTCGAGGAGCCCGTCCCGAAGGCGGGCTGGGTCGGCGACGCACCGTACGGCATATACGCCGCGGGCGAAGGTGCGAAGTTGAGTGTGGGGCTCCCGCGGGCGCGCGGCGGGCCGCTCCGGAACCAGCTGCCGGGCAGGCTCGTCTGCGCGACGCTGATGTTCATACTCGCGGAGCCAAGCGCGCCAAAGTCGCACGAGACGGTGCCTTGTGCGTTGCGTTGTGTGCCGGAGAACGCGGCGACGCCCCAGCGGCTCGTCTTCGTCACGCCGCAGACGAAGAAGATGTCTTCGCGCAAGAGCTCGAGGCCGAGCACACTGTTCGCGAGGTCTTCCCAGCTGTCGAGGTGCTCGCGCATGTACGTGACGATGTGTCGCTTAGATTCGATGAAGGTTTCTTCGCCCCGGGGACTGAGCAGCAGAAGCGCGCCCTTGTCTTGCGTGCACTGGAACTTGACATTGCCGCCCGGAGTAGACACTGCCATGGGGCTAAAGATGCAGCGATCAGTAAACGGTGGCCCCAGGTGATCGAAGATACACCTACACGTTCACCGACGCCCCTGCTTGCACCTCGACGTTCTTGATCGACCGGCTACAAAGCACAGGCTGGGTGATTTTCTCGAGAGGTCCACTGGTAACGAGGTTGGGCGGATTGAACGGCGCGTAGTCCTCCGGCTGCACCCGGTGCGGCTGTGATTCCCCTTGTGTCGCCTTGCATCGCAGTAGGTGGATGAATTGGCCATCCCTAATCCACCCCAAGTCGGCGATCTCGACCTCACGGTTGGTGCGTGGCTCTGGATCGGGCACCCACAACGGATATCCATGGCCGTGGTGGTAGAGCTCCTTAGCGTACACATTCCAAGCAGCCATGACGATGTGCCGGTGTCGTGTGGGGGTGTCCCTCGGAGGGGAAGTGGTGGGGGGAGAGGAAGATATGGCGCCAGGCAGTGAGGTTCTTCAGTCCTTGTAGACGGAACCTTATACAGCATCGCCTTCCTCCCACCACGTGTCGAAGAAGTTGAATATCGGGGCGCAGAACCGGTGCATTCAAAGGATGGAATATAGGTCCCGCGAGCAGTGAGCACAGGACGTTTGAATCGATAACCGCCGAGGAGGAACGTATGTGGGAACATCCGCTCAAGCTGCGCATGTATACCACTCGATCTATCACCAACGTCTCATCAACTTCATACTTGCGCACAGGATCAGTGTGCTTTGGGGTTTTCTAAACGGAATGAGTCGCAAATGGATAGGATGAAACAGAACTCCAGGGCGCACCAAGTTTTGGCATCGAGAAAGTGCCAACACCGAAGACGTCAATTCTCGCTGAACGTAGGCGGTGCATTCTATATTCGGACTTCCGCTATCCAAATCGCATGGCGCTTGAAGGTAGCGTCAGATCCCATACCATCCCAGGAGGGCGTCCATGGAACGATAAACGGATGAGGGAGACTCATCTGCGTGCGTTGCCAGCACTGCCCGTTGCGTAGAAGTGAACAGTGAAAGAACGCCAAGGGATGCCCGTGAGCGCGCATCCACACGCGGACATTCATTCCAGCACACCAACTGCACACGCAAACCATCAGCGTCTATCCGCAACGCAACGCAACGCAACGCAACGCAACGCAACACGCACCAGAACGAATGGACACTTCCGCCTCGGCGCTCATGGAATGGTGATAGCAAGACAAGGTGCACAGGTTGAGAGCACCGGTGGCAGATCGGGAAACAGGGACGCATCCGTATACCATATGTCACTATGCTTGCTAGCACGGTACGTCCGCCTATGGGCCTCTTGCTGAACGGAGGCAGCGTATCCTACATTCAGTATTCAGATTCCGCAAATCCAAACCGCATCCATCTGCTTGAAGATATCGACAGAGCGCAGCTCATGACTTATGCCATGTATGAATACGTTGCCAACACCCCCCATTGCGCAGGCATGGACAGCCGACTCTTGAGCATGCACCCATACACGCAACCTCAAGTACCTGCGCAAGCGGCCATCAGCGTCTCCTCCGAACATGCCAGAACGAAACACGCACCAGAACAAACGAGCCCATCCTTCCACACTCACCGTTTCACCTCCCGCGCCGAGACACAACGACAACTGCGTCCGCGCAAAAACCACTATACGCACACAGAGACGACACAGCACGGTAAGATCGGGAAACGAGGATGTCAATATAGCGGGCGGATACGCGTGCGAGTACGACGGGTGCGGGCACGGCCGAGCGGACGGCGCGGCGGTGACGGGGTGCGTAGGTAGTTAGGCGGGCCTAGGTAGGGCGGTACGTAGAGTGAGTAAGGCGGCCGTGGAGAAGGGGCAGGATAGCACAGGAGATATCCAATGGGCGGGGCGGGAAGACGGGAGGGAGGATGAGGGCCGGCGGGGGCTGCGCCGGGAATGAGAGCAAGGAGGACGCGCGCGCGTAAGGGAGGGTGCGGGGTAAGAGACACAGATAAAGATGAAAACGAGAGTCCAAGGCGGGAGCAGATGAGAAAAGACAGAATGTGTGTGTAAAGTCCGTTCCGAGCCAGTAGTGTCCGACGTGCGCATGAAGCAGGAGTGATCGTAAGAGTTGGTGGGCGAGCGAGCGTGGGGTGTGTCGTGCGATACGATGGCAGGTAGCGATGGCAGCGGGCGATGTGGGGGCGGGGTGAGCGAGCATGCGGGGATAATACAGCGGGTGCGTGGGCGTGCATGCATTGTACATGGCGGGTGGTGGCGGGGACGTAATGGTGGTGGTTTATGTTAAGTTCGGACAAGTCGAAGAGGCGGCGGCGGGCAGCGAGGCCAGGGAGGAATCGTACACGAAAAGTGCACGGTCAGCGCACGGGCGCACCCACAGGGAAACGGAACACCCACTCAGCCGTGTAGTGTTGCTCGCGACCCTGCGGCTCCTCCCTGAGTCGTGCGGGTGCGTTTAACAGATAACGCAACACCGCCCCTTGTCTTCCCACCCGTCGTCGGCGTTGCTCGCACCGCGCCGATGGCCCATGCTTCCGCTGAGCCGACCCGCCTGGTGCCCGGCGTGCGCCGGGACGCCTTCGCGCATCAACATGCTTGCCCGCGTCGCGGCCTCGAAAACGTCGTCGACGCCCTCGATCTTCAACGCAGAACACTCTTTGTACGCTCGCGCGCCGATCGCTTGTGCCACCCGTTCTGCCTGCTCTGTCGACACGTACTGCGACGCATTTGGTGAACCTGGACGGCAGTTTGGTTAGACGTAGCTACAATAGGCAATGGTAACCCGTATACACTTACCGGGAGGTGGCCGCAGATCCGACTTGCAGCCTACGAGGATGACAGGAATCGTGGGACCGCAGATCGAGCGGACCTCCTCTATCCACTGCGTACTCCGCTCAGTCCAGACCAGTCGAGACGTGGGCGCGTAATACTCACCTTAGCAGCAACGTTGTCAAGCGAGTCGGGCGTGTCGATGGCGAAGGCAATGAGGATGACATGCGACTTTGAGTACGACATTGGCCTCAGGCGCTCATACTCTTCTTGACCGCTGCGGAAATCGAAGAGGGGCGGTCAGCATATCTGACACGGCGACAACGGAATAGAGCTCATGTCCGTGACTATGGCCGGGTATCCACACTCCCGCCACCGGCGTGTACACACGTCGAACGCGACATACGTCCAAGGATTAGACATGGTGACACCTGTCCAGTACCAACGCAATGGAACGCTGCCGTAACGCAAAGCGAAGGCGCCGATAGGTGGACACGAAGTGATACGGTCAACGCGCTCCACAGATGGGCGTGCGTGAAGCAAGTCCAGCGACACACGGCCTGGACGGTGTCGGATAACGTTGGACGTAAAGGCAGATCCAGCGCGGCAGCCTGGAGGTCCACTACGTGTACCTTCCGCGCTGAGTCAAAACATGATAAGGGCGGGACGTGCTCTGCTTCTGCTGCACGTCCCCGCAGAACGAGAACGAGCAGCGGAAGCGAACAGAAGCGGGTGCACACATTTGATTCGGGAGGAGACGGAAAGAGGGAATTAATAGATCACGTCCGAGTCGCCGCTCGAACGCAATGGCCGACTCAGGGAGGGAGTGCACCCGAGCGGTTGGGTGTGCGGATGGGGGATGTGCTGAGAGGCTTGGACGCGATTGACAAAGGTCCGTTGCTAAGACCATGAACAGACCGGCGACCTGCGCTGGTCTCTGGGTGCACTGTCCGGAGACGGGATTGGGCCCCAACAATAGAGCACATAGCGCTATACTGATGCAACGAGGGACGCGCTAGCAGAAAGAGAGGACTCACGCAGTATCCCATAGTGCGAGCTGCACGGCCTTGCCGTCTAACCGAATCTCCGCGACATAGTTCTCGAAGATGGCTGCCACGGCGTGTTAGTCCGCGGGTGACGGAATGCGTTGTTACGGGTCGCTACTCACTTGGTTGCTAGAGGGGAATGCAAACGTTGTGAGCAACAAGGACGCGCAGGGAGATGATTACACTCACATATTCCTTGGGGAACTCTCCGAGGGCGAACGAGCAGAGCAAGGACGTCTTTCCGCATGCGCCTAATTGAAACAGGAGATGAGCGGGTGCGGGGAAGGAGCGGCAACACCCACGTACCATCGCCGACGATGACGAGCTTCCTCCTAATCTGTGGGTGGAGTGAGACACCACCGCTGGAAGAAAGGCGGCGAGGTCGGAACATACGGGGTTGGTAGCGGAGCCAGACATGGACGGGGAGCAAGACGCGTGGAGAACGACAACGGCGGCGGCTGGGGGCGGGTTGGGGGCGTACACGCGACGGAATAAAAAGAAAGGTCGGTGTGGAGGAGAAGAGGGAGGAGGAGAGGGACGCGGTCGGGGACGGAGAAGGTGACAGAAACGGCCACCACTGCTCAATGATTACGTAACCAGGGCGGGGACACCGCCCGACTGCGCGCGTCATCATCCTCTCCCCCTCCTCCTCCTTCTCGTCCGATTCTCCACGACTTGGCCAACACCGTGCTGGTATGTTCTCATGCGTTGACGTTATGCCCGTACAGACGCCATTTCCGCGCACTTCCTCAGCTCTGCGGAACGACCTTGCCCTGGAAGACGTCCATGCCGAGACGTTGCCGCGGTACCGCCTCTCTTCTTGGCCTCCGGATTCGCTGTCTCCGGATGCGCTATTTCATCGACGGCTTCCTACTTCCTCAACTTTATCTGCTCGCGCTTCAAGGCATCACAGGCGATCCTGAAGCCAGGCGCAGAAAGACTGGATGCGCAGAAATATGTTACACGCGTCGCGACGCGGCTCCGATCTAGCCGGAGTCTCTTTTTGCTTAAGTTACCTACATGACTGACAACTCCGTAAAAAGCCTAACGGTTCTATAGCTCAGTGGTAGAGCATACGATTGCAGATCGTAGGGTCCCGTGTTCGAACCACGGTGGGACCTCATTTTTTGTCTCTTTCGCGAGGAGTGGAGTACTTTTATCGCGCGAGCAACGACACTGGTGGGCTAATTATTTCCTCAGTACCCATGTTCTGGACATGACCAGGGCGGCACAGGGCTATTCGAACGCGAATCCCTCAATACCCATGGACCAGCCTCGGCCGTAGGAACACTCCTCTCCTCAAACCGTGGCGGCTCCGGCTCGCGACGCCGCCACTCCATGCCCTCCTTGCGCACGACGGCCTCCCCCTCCTGCGGGTCAAGCAGTCCCACGGTGAGCTCCCGACCCTTCTCCGGCGGGAGTACCTGGAAGTAGCACGGCGGATGCCCCTCCAGATCGAACGACACATATCGCAGCGCGGGCGACGCCTCCGCCATCTTGCCCACCCAGTCCTCGAGCTTGGATGTTTTGGAGCCCCGGATGTCATCTGCCCACCTGCTCATTTCCGGGTGGCGTCGGTCGCGTTTGTCGTACGGGGACTCCTCCTCGAGCGGCTGCGCGCGCAACCGCAGCGCGACGAACGCGAGCTTAGATCCCTCCATGAAGGGCACGAGCTCGTCCTGCACCAGCGCAATATGGTAAGCACCCACACCCAAAACACAGCGGAAAGAAGCACGCACCATAGTCTCCCGCAGCTCATACGGCCCCAGCGGATACAGATCAAACCCGATGTGCGTCACGCCACTGCGCTTCCCGAGCATCCCGTCCAGCGCACCCCAGTTGAATGCATCCTCCACCGCGTAGCCAGAGTGGACGAGGAGGTGCGTCGGCCGCGCGAGCGACTGCGCGCCCGCAACCCGCGCCCAGCCGCCCACATCCCACTCTACGTCCATGCGCCGCACGTGTCCCTGCGGCATCCCAAGCATGCACAGCGCGTCCTCGTCACCACACAGATGGTCGAGCTTCTCCCACGTCGTCGGGTCCGCGAGGAGGTTCGCAGCGCGCAGCGCCCCCATGACTATCGGAGGGTCCCGCGCGTCCAGGCGCACGCCCGCGACCTCCAGCGTGCGCACGTTCGGGAAGGTGCGCACGAGCGCCGCGCGGTCGAGCCCGATGGACGAGCGCACGCTCAGCGCGTGCACACGCGGGAACACGATACTGGGGTCCTTGTCGTCCTGCGCGAGGAAGTGTGCGGTGAGGTTGACGCCCCACGCCGTGACCGTCTCGAGCGTGTCGCGGTGTCGCGCGAGGGTGTGCGCGAGGTCGACGTCGTGCTCGGTGTTCGTGTGGCAGTCGACGTTCACGTACACGAGGGGCGAGCAGATGCCGGTGACGACGTCGTGTGCGCGGATGCCGTACGACGAGATGGTGAGATGCTTGACGCGTTTCAGGCCGACGAGTGCGCCAACGAGGGCCTCGTCACGCTGCAGTAGCTCCTCGCAGAAGTGGATGGTGAGGTGCTGCAAGGCGGTCGCACGGCGCAGCACGCTCGTGAGGAGCTTCGCGCTCTTACGCATCTCCTTCTCCTCATTTACAGGTTTCACTGTTTTGGGCTTGAACTTGTCGTTCTCGTCCTCGTCGTCAATGTCGTCCTCGTCTTTGCCGTCGTCTTTTTCTTTGCCGTCGTCTTTTTCTTTGCTGTCGTCTTTTTCTTTGCTGTCGTCTTTTTCTTTGCCGTCGTCTTTGTCTTGGTCGTCAGTATCGTCGTCGTCGTCGGCCGCGTCGGCCGCGTCGTCCACAGGCCGGATCTCGATACAGAGGAAGAGGCGGCGGAGGGACCTGGTGCGCACGTCCAGGTCCCGGAGCATGAAGCGGCAGAAAGAGTCGAGATGCGCTCTTGTGCGGATCGTGACCCCTGGGCGGAGTAGGCGCCGCGCGCCCACGGTGGAGAACAGCCTGCACGCGCGCATGAACGCGGAGATGTCGGAGCGGGAGTCGAGGTGGTCCAGCACCATCGCGTAGATGTCCAGGTTCAGCGCCATGGAGTTGCGGTACATGTTTGAATGAGCGGCGTGAGTGAGTGGCGTTGTCGCTACCTGGCGCGTCAAGTCGATATCTCGGCGTGTCATGCTGACTCAGGGGGTAACATACCGTGTGTGCACCTGGCAGCCAATTCAATGTAAGGATCGTCTGAGCTGGCCTGCAGCAGATGGTGTGGAGAGAAATGGTGGGAGATGGTGGTTCTGCGGCAACAGGTGGTTGAATTTCGCGCCGTAGGTGATATTCGCCGTCTTGTCCAGATTGGCACAGGCGCTGCTACCTGGGAGGACTCCAAAATGAGACATAACACAATAGGAAGAGCCCGGGCGCGGCTTTTTGTCACGTACGATTTCTGGAAATTCAAAGTCTGCGTTAGCACGCCGGCGTGTGAGACCTAACAAGACACGGTGGACACCGGACAGCAGCTGCGAGATATCTCACAAGTCACCACCCAGCAGGGCACACATGCCGCATAGTTCATTCCGAGCCCTCTGCTTGCCTCACTACATCAGCCTTACAGTACAAAATCGGAGCTCAGTGCTGTACCGGACTCCAGGTTTGTACTGCGAGGCTGGCAGTGACGGGAGGTCCACGAGTGTCCCTCATAGGGGCTGTACAGGTTTCGTTACTGTCTTCAGCAGACTTTTTGCGAGCCGCAAAGGCCTTTTCTTTCAGCATGCTGGCGGGAATTACGATGCGAAGTGTCCTCGAAAAGGATGTGGTTGCTGTCAGGTTGCGTCTTACGAGCTCGAGGACTTGGACGTTCAAACGTTCAAACTCAGAGTTCCCACGGGGACGGGATTTTCAACTCCGCGCCCTTCCTCACACAGATGTTATTGCAGTAATTTGGGTTGCATAAGGCTGATACTCAACTGAAGAAGCGAATCGGTTAATGAAGTAGTTGCAATTACAGGGCTCTGGTCGAAAGGAGATGGCGGTAACGGTGTAAGAGCCACGAGCCGAAAACGGATGCTGTCCGCGTACGGAGGTCATGGGCGTCTGATGCTTCTTCCTCCAAAACTAACCACTCTGTGTACTACGAGTCGCTGGATCTTGCAAGTTGGCTATTCCTGGCTTAAACATACGGGTTGGTTAAACACTCGTATACCTTTCAAAAGCGCTTGTTTGTTGAGACTGCGGCGGTGGCATCCCTCAAACTGGAGCTGTTAATCGTCTCGGTATGAATATTGGTATTTGTTGAGACCTCAAGAGCTGATAACAAGTCATATAGGGACATATGGCACTATCGCGTCGTATACAGGGATTTACAGGCCGGAGGGCAGGCCAGAAGGCGTGCCGTTCGCCGCGGCGGCGTCGTGCGCACGGGCTAGGAACCCGTACTCGGGCAGGTACCTGCAACATCAACGTCAGCGCTCTCTAAATATATCTCAAAGGTGCTAAACAACACCCACTGGTCGAAGAACGGCATCATCTCCGGCGCGCCAGGCGTGTTGCGCCAGTCGCGCATCAACTCGAGCGAAACGGCGAACATGGAGAGCACATGCACGCCAGCGGCGCGCATGCGGTCGTTCGCGTCCTGTGCAGTCTTGACGTCGAACGTCCCCGACGCGTCGCTGTTCGCGTACACGGTGTACCCGGCATCGACGAGGGAGAGCGCGAGGAACGCCGTGCAGACCTGTCGGCGCACCATTAGCGTTCGTCTTCGACAGCGGGGACCAAGGGCACTCACGTCGGTCGTGATCCCGGCCAGGATGACCTGCTTCTTGCCAGTCGCCTCGACCGCTGCACGGAAGTCGGCATTGTCCCATGCGTCTACCTCACCTTGACGCTTGATGAAAGGCGCGTTGGGGTGCATCGCAATGACTTCCGCGGGCAATGGTCCGTTGGGTCCTGGTAGTATGTCCTTCAATATTCAGCCTTGTACTGAAGGTAAGTATAACTCACCCGTTTCGGAACTGGAGGTCAATATGGTCGGCAGGTTGAAGATTTTACCGAGCGCGGCGTGCGCGAGGATGTTGGTCTTGAAGTCGGCCGGCGTGTAGTCGCGCACGAGCTGGTACAGGCCCTCCTGGTGGTCGACGACGAGCAGGACCACGTTGTCCTTGTCGATGCGCTCGTATTTGAAAGGCATGGTCGCTGTTCGAGAATAAAAGCCAATCAGCTCGCGGGCGGCGGCGCGTCACACGGAATGCATACCGTCGAGGTGAGTGAGCACTGAAGAGGAAGTTGAGCGCAAGAGAGCAATGCCCGTCTGAAGACCTCAAACCTCTGCAGCACCTCCTTATATACCTTCAGCCCCTCTCTCATTCTTCAATAACGATCAACTCGTCAAGGAGGCACTCATCTCAAGTCCTGCCCTTGAGTCGACTCTCAGCCGCACTACGCCGCCGCCCCGTGGAGAGCCCTCTGCCTGATCCGGGCGGGCAAGCCACGCTCGCCGCCACACGACAGAACGCAGTCACCCGCCGATCCCTGGCACGCCGTGCTCTCGCCGGCGGTGTCCCTCTTTTCTGGCCCGATAAGGCCTGAGCGCGACCACACCCGCCACTCGAAGCCCGCGCAACCTACCTCGTTGGCAGGCGCCGCTGATGAAATGGAAGGAGCCCGCGCGACATCCGACGTGCACGGCCAACGTGCCACGGGCAGACGCTCATCGGCGTGTGGTCTTCGCCCGCGAGAAGGGCGGACGGGGGTGGTCATGAGGGTGTGCCCGGCGAAGGTGGACGGCGTTTGGGAGGGCAAATCTTCGTTGGCATGGCCGATCGTGGTTGGTGGTGGTGTTCCCTGCTTCCTATTGGTAGAGGGTCTTTCCCGCGATGACGGTAGGTTGCTCGAAGTTGATATGCCCTTCGTCACGAGCTGCGAGTTTACGTCCACCAGACGTCTACGGCGAGCTATTCGAGTGCCTCCTTGATTGAAGATGAGTGAGCACTTGGAGTCGGGGAGCGCTTCTACTAATGCTCACCTGCGTGTACTCAGACGCATCTATGATGAGCTTGTATGTTCAATGATCATATCGGTGCATGTTCATTTGTCTTGCGATAGCAGTTTGGCGGGGAAGAGGTATATCGAGGAGACACCTCCAGAAACATACCATCCAACATGTCCCAAGACCTGGTGGCGCAGCGATAAGGCACATTGTAAGAGGATCGTAAATTTGTACTAGCCATTATAGAGATAAGTATAGATACAGTCGCGCCGTGGCCCGCCAAAGCCACCAGGATGAGGATGCCAATGCCGAGCTATCAGCCGCCATTGGGCTGTGTGTTATATCGTTATACCGTAGAGCCGCCGTGCATTCGTGGCGAGAGAGAAAGTAGGAGATCATGCAGAGAATCGTACACAACGTCGGGCTTCGTCAACGTAGGCGCATGCAGGTTTTCGTCTGAGAGGATGGGTGCGAGGTAGGAAGGAACGCCGAGGCTCAATGGGCCGCGTTCGATTTTGCGCTGGGAGCGCCGTTCGGGATGGGGCTCGCGGGGCCGTTGGTCGAGGCGGACGCGGTCTCCACAGTGGGTGCGGGCGCGGGCACGGACGTGGAAGCCTGGTTGATAAGCTCCGTCGCAGCCGCCGAGCGAGGCGCGAGCTGCACGTAGACCTCCTCCACGCGGCTACACACAAATCTATCAGCACCCGTCTCCCAACACTCGAACATCGCGCAAGACTCACCATGCAGCCCCATTGCTCTTGACCTTCATCTTAGCGTCCGCATCGAGCAGCGCCTTCTCTGCTACCGGCGGGAGCGCGACGTCGAACACCGCGAGGATGTGCGCGTAATGGCTGAATAGCAGCGCGTCCGCGAGGTACCTCCCGGGGCACGTATGGTGCCCAAACCCAAACGCGAACTGCATCGGGTCCAGCAGGTCATCACGCAGCTTCGTGCCGGACGCGTCCAGCCAGCGCTCCGGCTTGAACGCCTCCGGATCTGGGAACAGCTTCTCGTCGCGCGAGATCGCCCTGCGCGTTCACATGTCAGTGACTGGTAAGAGAGTCAGACCTGAACGCGCGCGTACCAGTTGTTCGCCATTAGTGTCGCGCCCTTCGGGATCAAGTGCCCGTTATACACGTCGTCCTTAGTTGCCTCGCGTGTGACTGTTGCGGCGCGATTAGCTCCGTAGCTAACGCGACAGAGGAATGAGGGTACTTACTAACGGGAGCGATGGACACCCAGCGCAGGACCTCGGACAGCACCGCATCGACGAACGGCAGGTTTGGGCGGTCCACCATCGTCGGGAGGCGCTTTCCCTCGGTGAGGCCATCGACCTCCGCCTGCGCGCGCCGCTGGATTTCCGGGAATTTCGCCATCGCGAGCAAGAACGTCAGCGTCGCGGACTCCGTCGCAAGCATGCCCCCTAGACGCGATCGCAACCCGAATAAGTACAAAGGCGCGCGGGGCGGGAGGCGCGGATCGGAAGAAAGACGCACCTGCGTTCATCGTGGCCCCGATCATCTTCGTGCGCATGTCGAGCGACGTCTTACCGAGCGTGATGTCGTACATGACGGAATCGTTGCCCGCGTCCTTGCCCTCCTGCGCGAGCTTCACGGTCTCGTCCGCCGTCGCGTTTAGCTGCTTCTTCCACTTCGCGCCGAGCTCCAGCATCGGGCCGATGACGGGCGTCCACGTTGGTAGCCACCGAACTGCGCGCGGGTCAGGTCAGGCTCACGATCGGTGCAGGAAGCGAAAAGGGGACGTACGGGGAGGGAGGAGGTCGAACACCTGGAACTTGTCGGCGAGCACGTCCGCAGCAAAGTGCGCGAGGTCGTTCAGCTGCGTGAGGATCGTGTCTGTCGGCTTCGGCTCGTACCCAGTCGACACCTTCAGGAAAACGTGTCCGATCGAGCTGCGTATCGCATCAGCGTGGGCCCGACCATCGTGGGGGCTGGCGTACTCACTCGTCGATGACTTGCGTGAGGTCCGGCGAATGGAGGTTTTGCATGAGCGTCTGCATGAAGCGCCGCGAGGACGTCTCGTAGTCCTTGTTGTACTTGCCGACTACCTGTTGGCCGATTTCGTCGTGGAACATCTTCCGTACGTATTCGTAGTCCGGGCCCTGTGGCATGAACGGCGCCGTCCATATCAGATTGGATCTACGCGCGCCGGGGGTCAGCACTCGCTAGCGCCGGGGTCCACGAGGGCTACGTACGAATTCGCCATCCACCGTGAGGGCTTGTTCGAGTACTGGTCGGCCTTCTTGTTGAAGAGCGTGTCGATCGCCTCTTGCGAGTTCAGCACGATGAGCGTGGTGTTGAGCACATGCAGCGTGTTCACGTCGCCTGCGCAAAAACAAAAGTCATATCAGCACCCTTGTCCTCAGCAACATGCCAACATGTGCGCGCGTCGACGAAACAACGCGCGCGTGAGAGCGGGAACACAAGCGGAAGAATAAGCTCGTCGCGCGCGCGGGGCGCGCTCCCATGCGCCCACAGAGATGCAGGGCTGCTATCGCGCGGAGATCTCGGAATGAGATCTGGCGCACTCCGCCACCCCCGGACATGCGCACAACGCGCTCCGACTCCGTGCGCGACGCACGCAGCGCATGCCCGCCAAGTCTGGGGTCGCGGCCCCGACGCCGCAGCCACTATCCGGGACCGCGTCTGCGCCGCAACCAGGCACACCGCCGCGGGGGCAAATGGATATTGGGGGGAAGAGAGACGGGGATGAGAGCGGGACGAGGTACTCACCGTACTTCTTGGAGATGTTATGGAACCACACCCACTGCTCGTTGCTGGGGATCTGCTTAAGGTTGCCGATGATGGGAACCCCGGGCGGACCAGGCGGTAGGTGCTTCGAGCGCGAGCCAAAGAGGAACGACATTGTCGCGTAGTTTGATGAAGAGGGATGTGGGAGGCTGTGAGCGCGGATGTGGGTCGCTGCTAGCCAGGAAGTGTGCTATGAGCAGAGGGCGGGGCGGGGCGGAGGACGAGGAAGACGAAGCGACAGTATATATACGGAAAGTACGCTGGATGCTGGCGCGGGCTCGGGGGCGGCGGGAGGAGATGGGCCGGAGCGGGATGGGCGATTTGGCTGGAGATGTGACACCTTGCTCGGAAGTTGATATGAGCGGATGGCGATGCGCGTCCAATCACACCCTGTTCGCCAACCGCCAGGGTCCAAGTTACTCACGCATCGCGGCCGGCGATGCAGTCGCGAATAGCGCAGGGGACTGCATATGATAGCGGGTGCGAGATAGCGTGCATCGGCACTGGTCAGCAGGCGTGGAGTTCGGCGCGCCGTGGTCTGCTATGCAGGCAGGGAAGACGAAGGACGGATTCATGAGACGCAAAGTTCGCGTCTAGGCTCGCCGGATTGCTTCCGTGAGGACTCTGCGGCATAGAACTACTTCTGCAATTCCGCTCGAAGGAGGTAGACAGATCTGCAACCCTGACATTGGCCATGATATATTTCGTGACAGGGGTGCGCTAGCTTCTTCTGGCGGGGCCTCCGATAGAACGACGTGGCATCGCGCGCGCAGCAGGCGTGTTGACTATTTGTTGGGTGGATCGCGATGCGTGCATGTCAGAGTAGCGCAAGAGGGACGCGAGGTACGACAGATGGCAGCGACGTCGACAGAAAGTTCAGGATGAGTTCGCCGTCGACGCTGGGGCGTGCCAGACGAGCGTGGCCGACGAGCTTGCCGATCAAATGTCTCCCCACATCGGGCGGGGCAATGTCGCGACCAATCAAAGTCGCTGAAGATCTCATCCACTAGATCCCCTCCGATCTCTTCCTCCGCCCGCTCGACGCTCGTCCTCGAGGCCTCTTGTTCACTGCCCGTGATGAGGTCATTTTGCAGCGCCTCAGCTCGCTCACAGCCCCCTGCTTTGTTCTTTCTCTGCTTGACGCCATCTACGAATCAGCCAAAGTGTCCACTGCGATGCAGCGAAGGCGCGTGGCACCACGCGCGCGGCGGGCGAAGGTTCGAAGCGTCTCCCACACTTCTCCAGCGGCTGCGCTGTCCCGCGCCCGGGAGGTACGAGCAGATATCGCCGGGTCCTGGATGCATTCCGCCGCGAGCTAATTGCGCCTCCTTCGTAAGTTATCGCCGTTGCTACGCCTGTTCAGGTGGTCGACCCTCAAACGTTCGACCTGGCGCCAGACCTCCCCGTCTTCCGGCTCCGGTCGACAGGCCATCATTCTCCGTTGGACTCCAGCGGCTTCAGGAGCGACGACGCGGGTAACGGCACACCCGTTATGGAGACAAAGCCCGGTGCGTATCAGTACTCTTACTTCTCCCTCGACGTGCGCTAGCGACTCGGAGCGAGCGAGGATCGATCTGTGCGCCCGCCGCCACGGTCGAAGACAAGTTCCGACCAGCCCGAGAGCGCTGTTTTGCTGTTCTGCGGTGTTGCGGGGCGTCGAACATGACGATGTGAGCCATGCACATATACAGATGAGCGTGGGCGCGCTGTTAGCGGCGACAAACCTCCATCGCGTTTCATGAGCTAGGCCATGACAGGACCATGTGGACATGTGGCCCTGAGGCGCTGTGCGCCGCTTGAAAGCGTACCGTTTGTGGCTCCTTCGAGCTCTGGAAGTCTACGCAACGACGTTCACGGTGCTGATACCACAGCCTTGCTACCTAGTACCCACAGCATCCGTCGCGGGCGTTGGCGTTTTGGAAAGGCTCCACATGAGCAAGAATCCTGCATTCTGCCACCCTTCTGTCAAGCACCGCGGCGGTACCCGTCCGCAGTCCGTGTACAACACTAGTTGAAACTCTGACACCGCTTGCCAGTACCTCATCGCATTGGCTTATGCAATGTGCTTGTATACGCCTAACAGGTAAGTGGGGATGTTAGCTTCTATGTTTCGCGTTGCTAAACAACGGTTACGCATGCGCACGTTTACGCTTCTACGCTTCCAGCCAGCTAACATGTCTGTGAGTATTCCGGAGCGCAGTCCGTCGTGGATAGAAGTATTCGCGTGTCTCTCGGCCGATCGCGACGCGCACTGTTCCGTCATTTTGACAGCTCTTCGCAGCGGCACTCGACACTCGCTCGTTCACAGATCTGCCCCCGATGTGCTTCTGCGTCTCGATCACGCCCACGGTGCCTTCCGAATTTGGTTTTCCAGACGGTGCACACCACGATCGCTCCATCCCCAGAAACCCGATCATCTGCAAAGGAACCGGCGAACGTCTTTGGCGACCGCGATCGCTCTTTGCGTGGCAACGAATAGGCTCCTCTTCGTCTCGCTCTCGCTCTCGTTTCCCTGCTGCTCCCTGGTTGTGTAGTGTCGACGTCACCCGAACCGGCCTGGAGCAATCTATCTTGACACTATGCGCTACATTCCCCGGAACCGTCTCCTCTGTGCGATCTTGATATGCAAATCCTGCTCTGGCCGCGAGCGAGGTCCCTTCACTGGACCTTCGGTTCCGAGCGCCAACCCCCGGTTCCACTGCAACCCACGTCATCTCCCCGAGTACTGAATCGACGGGCCCGCCTTCGTCGATCGGTCACATACCACTTTCATAGATCACGGAAGATCCTTCACCGATGCTTGTTTGTGGGGCTTCGGGCCAACGCCACCGGACGTCGTAAACATGCATATATGCGGCTTCCTTCGGTTGCGAACGTACTTTGTGTACCCGCTAGGCTCCGTCATACATCTCGGAGCCGAGCCGGTGAGTTGTCTCGATCCAAATACCAACCCCTACCAGCCTCCACCTGGGCGGCCCAGAGACGCAAGGTCCCCCAGTCGATTGCAAGATGTGCAGAACATGCCCAAACGTTCATCGCAGTCAACACAAACGCATCAACCTCGCTCGCTAAGGAAAGTGCCAAGACATAGTTTGCGGCGGAACAAAAAGTCACTCGCATCGGTACTATTGTCGTTTCTAAACACGGTAAGCTCTCCGAGGACGCCGTCGTGACAAACTAAGCTTTCTTGTGGCAGGTGGGAGACGTTGCACTGCGACAATTGTCATTGTTGTGCAACGAACACTTGTTGCTAGCGCACGATGCGCCTTTTGTAGTACGACATTCAAACATATACATAAGCTGTCTCAGCTCCCAGTACGCTCTCTTTCACGGGACGAGCTTACTGCCCTTCTTAGCTGATCCTAGCATGGCTGCAGTGGTTCGGTAGGTCTTCCTTCCTAAACCGTTGAGTGTGCTCATGTTGCTCAACGCCGAGGCATTCTGTATCTAGTTCTGGCGAATTGGTGCCGCAAAAAATTCCGACACTCAGCGAAGACATCTATGCCGCTATCATCGCCCTCCTCGACACCCAATCGTCTATCTCCGCTTCTATGCAAGCGTCCCGAATGCTGTACAGCCTCGGCATGGGCCCCCTGCTGAGGATGGGGGTCTCAATCCGCACACACAAGCATCTCCTCTCCTTCTGCCATTTCATGCGGCGCAATCTCCCTGGCTGCGCCCAGTACCTGACGAAGCTTTCTATCTGCATCCCCCGATACAGCTTCGCCGATGCCGGCGGGTCAGTCAACGTTCTGGAAACCTTCAAGCTCTGCCCTCTCCTGGTGCCCATCGTCAGCCAACTCACCCATCTGGATGACCTATCTATCGACTACTGCGAAAAACTCCTCCACGCCGACGAGCGTCTCCTAGACACTCTCTCCGCCCTCAAGACCGTGCGAACGTTGCGCGTCACCACATTCGGCTATCTGACCCACGAGCTCGTGAACACCATCCAGTCTCCCCTTGTGAGCGTTCATGTCGATGGCGTGTGGCCACTGGTAGGAGGTATCGTCACCACCGGCTCTCAACTATTTCCCAATCCGTTGGAGATGCTCGATCGACACCAAGCCACCCTCGAGAAGGTCTTCATACGTTTCTGTGATCTGACGGCGGAGGTCGTCCGACTAAGCCCCATAACCAGCGTCTTCCCTCGCGTCTCCGCACTGGCGCTCATGGACTGCCGCGTGGACGAACGGTCCGTGCTCGTCAACGCCTTTCCGAACCTGCGCTACCTCGAAGTCACGGTTACGTGCAAGCGGGAGGACATCGAGAGCGAGGACGCCCCGCTACCGCACATCGACGACGCGTACGACCTGAACCGCGCCAACCTGCGCTGCTGGCCCCATCTAGACCACGTGTACGGGGACCCCGACGAGCTGTACGCGCTCGGCCTGCACTGTACTGTCACGCGGCTCGACTTTATGTGCGTCCTGTACGAGGACCCAGTCCTCAATCTGCGGACTGTCGTTGTGGACGTGCGCCCGTCACGAGTCATCGTACATTGCGGGCTACCCGGAAACCTCAAAGACGACGATATCAATGACCTCGATCTCACATGTCTGGTCGGTTATGAACCCAACCACACTGTCACCCATCTCGGAGTCGACCTGGGGCTCGGGAGCCTCTCCTATGATCCCATCCTCTACCAGGTATGCCCAACCCTTCGTCCGTGGTATGCCTCGCTCATCCTGACACATAATGGGGCCGCGTCTCCCGTGTAGAAAGCGATAGTGAGCATGCTCAAGCCCCTCAAGGTTGTCCGGTTCTTCACGTTCCGCGTGCACGCCGTCGCCCTCGAGTACGAGGACGAGCACCACGAGCCGCCGAGTGCCGCACACCTCGAGATCCTCTCCAAGTTCCACGGCAAGTTCCTCGCATTCTGGGTGGCGCGCCTCGCAGAGGCGATCCCGACGCTGGAGTACGTGTGCTTCCGGGTGTGGAACAAGGAGGCGTACTGGCGCGTCTCGCGCGAACGGGGTGGCACGCCGCAGTACACGCGGCTCGGATTGGATGCGGGCCACGCGCTTGTGGAGGCGGAGGGGATGCAGTGGCACGGTGGTGCGAAGCCTGAGCTGTTGCTCGCGGTATCAGACGTTGCCGTCGAAGCCAGCTGAGGATGTGGACGATCGGCTAGACAGAGTCAACTTTGCGTGTAGGTAGAGAGAGTATATCATGCCATATACTACCTAACGTCTTCCTTCTTTCGGCGAACAGGACACATGTACATGAGAGCTGCGTACATCACTGTTACCCATAGATTACACGTCGGTAAGTGAACCAACGAAGCACCTTCTCCTTGTTTAGATGACTAGTCAGACTACTGTTTGCCGCACAAACCACTTCATACTCGAAGCGTCAGCTCGACGATGCGTCCCTCTTCGTCCCGCCGGGCCTTGATCTCGTACCCGCCGTCACTTCCACTCACTGCAAATAGCTTCAGTTAGGCGCAATCTCTCCGGAACGGAAACCTCTGGGAACTCACAAACTACTCCACTCGGAACGAAGACGTTTGTGCCATCGCCATCGTCATCGAAGAAGATCTCCAGCATTGCCTCGCAGTCCGTCCCCGTGGCTAGTAACGACTTGAGGGCATGCTTCGAGAATAGGCATATCGTGCCAGAGTCAACACTGAAGGACGCCACGACTTCCCAGTCCGCGTCAGGCTCCGACGCTGCGGGGGCTTGAACGCTGGCACGGGAGGGCAGCGCGTTGTAGTCCACGGTGCCGTCGCGGATCCACACAAACCGAATGAGCTGCCGCTCGTATCCCATCATGTTGTTGTCACCTTCCTAGGGCTCCGCGGCCGTAACGGACGCCAGCCATACTCCGGGTTTCGCGCCGGTGACCTCGGCCTCGAACTCATCATCCTCGCCTTTGGACGTGCCCAAGTTGCCGCCCACGAAGGCCCCAGTCCTGAGTGTTAAGATGACACCTTCGAGGGTCGTGGTAACATTCAGGTGCAAGGGCCTAGCAGGCAGGAGAGGAGACTCGAGTTCAGGGGTGAAGGTGATAGATAACCAGGTCGAGCTGAGGACCATCCTCAGCTCTCCAGGGGTCCTAATATACATAGAAGCCATGCTGAAACGGTGCGTACTAGGGGAGGTAAGCCTGCTACCTACGGGACCGTAACAATGAGGCGCTGCCTCATGGTGTCCGCACCGTAGCTGTACTGTATCCGCGTGTAGTCCATCCACATCAGTAACATGAGGCGTAGGTGAGGCATAGGTGAGGTGCGATCAAAGTCCATGTCCGAGACGCCCGGACCGTTGTAACATAATCCCCCTTCTAGGACCTGAAGTCGTCCTCGACTTCACGACTCTCCGTCTCCTTCGTCGGGGTAGAGCAACTCGTAGCGGTCGACGGGCGACGGGGATTGCGACCGAGAGGATTCACGACGCTCGTCGCGATAGGGACAGGCAAAGTCCACGTGCCCAGGGGCGGTCTGTTGACAGTACATGCATACGCGTACTGGGCAGTTGGCGAAGTTGTGGCCGGTGGTGATGCAGTGGAGGCAAAAGTCGCCCTGTGAGACGGCGTTGAAGAACTCGTCCGATCCGTCGCTCGTGGTTGTGTCCTGAGCTCCGACTTCTTTGCGGGGTGGCGACTCAAGTCGTTCTATGAGCGGGAGACGTGGGTGGCGTGGTTCGCGTTGACGACCTCGTGGATAGGGGGTGCCTGGTCGAGACGGGATGCGG